TTTTCAGCACATGAGAGAAATGAGTGCCTAAACAGGGCTCCCATGTGTAAAAAGCTAGCATATAAGGAGAAAAGCTTCTAACCCACTCCTTCCTGTTCAAGATCTCCACTTGCAGGTGGTTTTTAAAAAAACCAGCAATACAGAAGAGCATTGAAAATGTGAACCTACTGTCTGTTAAATTTCATACTACTACCTTTCTGCTGCCTGTATCAACTACAGTAGTACCTCAGTTTATGAATATAATCCATTTTGGAAGTCCGTTCTTAAACTGAAACTGTTCTTAAACCGGGGCGCTCTTTCCCTAATGAGGCCTCCCGCTGCCGGTGCCCTTTTACCGTTCGGAGTCTGTTCTTAGACCGAGGTAAAGTTCGCAAACTGGGACACTATTTATGGTTCTGCGGAGTTCATAAACCAAATCGTTCTTAAAAAGGACTGTTCTTAAACCGAAGTACCACTGTATTCTTGAAAAAAAAATACATACAAAATGTGTATTTTAGGGGAAAGTGCATATCAAAATACCATTTAAAACTAATATTTTATAGGTAGTTGAAGGGATGCAAAACTGGCTTGAAATGGAAACAAGCTGATTCATCCATCCCTGCTTAAAAGTGTACATATCCCTGTTACATATCCCTGCAGAAGCAAAATACCATTGAGATCAATGGGGATTATTCCCAGGTAACTAGGCAAAAGATTGCAGCTTCAGGATTGTTTCCATTGATGGTCCAACTCGGAGCAGACCCATTGAAACCAATGGACATAAGCTAACCTTAGACCATTCCTTTCCATGGGTCCACTGCAATTCTACTACCCATTGCATCTTTTGGTAGGGGTGTGCTTTGGCCTCAGATTAGGGCACACAGGAATTAAGGGCTGACTAAATGCCTTAACTTTGCCCACAGTCTTTTGTACTGTACTACCATGACACAAATTCCGCCTGCCTGTTGTCTCAATAGTGACTATAGCATATGTCCTTACTTTAAAATACCTGTAATTTTTTTCCCCATACAGGGCTAAAATCACATTCTGATGTGCTAGTACAATACTTGCAGGGAATTTTTCAAATGGATTAACAGCCATGTGGGTTGGCAACTGCGACACAGAATTTATAGCCATTGTAGTGCCCCCTATCTTTTGTACTATAACTCCCATTATCCCTGACCATTGGCTATACTGGCTGGGTCTCATGAGAGACACAGTACATCATCTGAGCACCTACTCCTGCCTTATACACAGAAGAACACTCATTAGTTTAACTGTTGGAGATGGATACATACCTCCACCAAGGCGAGTAAATAAATTCATATTTGTATTCTTCTAATAGGTAAAGGTAAAGGTACCCCTGCCCGTACGGGCCAGTCTTGACAGACTCTAGGGTAGTGCGCTCATCTCACGCTATAGGCCGGGAGCCAGCGCTGTCCGCAGACACTTCCGGGTCACGTGGCCAGCGTGACAAGCTGCATCTGGCGAGCCAGCGCAGCACACAGAACGCCATTTACCTTCCCGCTGGTAAGCGGTCCCTATTTATCCACTTGCACCCGGGGGTGCTTTCGAACTGCTAGGTTGGCAGGTGCGGGGACCGAACGACGGGAGCGCACCCCGCTGCGGGGATTCGAACCGCCGACCATGCGATTGGCAAGTCCTAGGCGCTGAGGTTTTACCCACAGCACCACCCGCGTCCCTATTCTTCTAATAGGTACCATTTAAAAAGATTTGTTGGAGGTATGTGTGATTTTGTCATCTTTCTAACACACATTTTGTCATATATATGTAAAATCTAAGTATTTTTGTGCATATATTGATTACATGCATACGCCCCTCCAAAATATTACTCAAAAAAACTTCTGGAAGGCACATTTTGAATGTGTGATCCATTCCTAGAGGGTTTTTTTTTTTGTTTTTTTTTTGTAAAGCTGTTTCATATTATTTGATTAATGGCTGAAAATTGGAATACAAAGATAAAGGGAACTTTGAAATTCATACCTTGGAGTATTAAACTATACTTTGGAGTAGATGTAAATGTCAGAGAGGGAAAAGATCTAATGAACTCTTTATTGGCAAAATATAGCTCTGCATCTGCACTGAATTTAAAACTTTTTTTTTTTTGCAAAGCATATGATTTCAGTCTTAAAATAACCATTGAGAAGTTTTCTTACTATTGTTATGAGTTTGGGGAGTTAAAGTGGATGCCAGGCTCCTCTAATCCCTGGATCCAGCAAGTGTTACAATTTAATCAAGGCTTCTAATTCTTGGAATAGCCAGGCTAGCCTCCTGGTGATGGTGAAAGCCTGGGTAATGAGCCATTAAGGGGGATTAAGGGGCTTTGTGTGAGACAGCAAATGGGTGGGGGCCCCTTCCCCAACAGATAAAGCCAGATTTCAGAGTTTTAGAGACGGATGTGACCTAGACATAAAGCAGCGAGCTGGAGAGTGTGTCTGAGCAATTCTGTTTGAATCCAGGGCTATGGCTATGGGACAAACAAGAGCCTTTGGGGGTGTTAGTGCTGTGAACCCCTCCACTGTAGGTTCAAGCTGTATATATGTATAAATAAGTCATGTAACATAAAGATACCACAGTCTCCACTGTGCTGTCTTTGCAAAGACAAACACGAACTCCGGATAAGCGCCTGAAACCCTGGAATCTTGCATCACTCAGAGACTGGGGCGATGTGCAACACTATATTGACCCTCGTCTATTACAATTAAATGCCTTTGTTTAAGAGCTGTACAGATCACTTTGGCAATGTAGAAGTTGCAGAAACTGGTAGTGAATACAACCAGAAGTGATGACTATTACTTCATAAAACTATTTTCCTTTTAGGACCCCAAGTTTTAATTTGCCCCCGATCTCTTCCCTGCCACAATAATGGCTTCAGGATTTAAATCCGGTGCTGTTATTGTGACTTCAAAGCTTTAAAAAACTGCAGTTGAATGAAGCAGTTCATCTGTCATTATTCAAATAAGAAGCAATTATGATGAAATAAAGATAGAATTCCATGGAGAAATGCCCCAATCAATTTTCACTTATATTTAACAGGAAACATAAAATGATGCATAGAAGAGTACATTTAAGTTAGTTTTTTAAAAAACACACACAAAAAACCACATGCTATGAATGTAAAAAATAGGAATTGCTGATCTTTATCAAGTTCATAGTACAACTGCAGGAGCCATATAAATAGTTTTCACAAATATTGACAAAAAGATAGCTTTGAAGGGAGCAATTATCACATTAGGTGTGGAAACAAAACTATTTCCATATTCTAGATTTGTTTGGATTGTCCATTCCAATGAGGACTACTTCAGATACCACAATTTTCTGTTATCTAGATAAGCTATGGGCAGGAGAATGCAAGTTTCCTGTGAAACATGGCATGGGTATTTTTTCCAAAATGGTTTCCTGATTGGCACAAACGCATCTGTACTACAGTTCACCTATCATGCTAAATCTATTAATGCAGATTTTGAATGCAAAGAAAACTGCTTGCCAAGCAGCACAAGGGTTGCTTTTAAATGATAATTGATAACATGCAAAGTGGGGCTTTTCTTTTCTAAGTTAGTGAAGCACTAACTTGACTTTGTTTGATTGGGTCTCAATATTCTAATACAATATGATGTAGGTAGTGATGAAGTAAATGGGAACAAGCAGAAAAAGTTTGTCACCATGCCAGAAAACTTGGTTGTATATGATTTTACAACATTCCTATATTTATTTATTTATTTCATAAGATTTATACACCACTTGATTGTAAAAAAAAATTAAGCTGTTATCCATTATTCCCATTTTTCTTTTTAGCCATGAAAGTATTATTTCATCAGAAGATTGCTCAGTCAATTTTTTTTTAGTTAAACAATGATATTTAAATGTGTTGCTTATGACAGAGGTATGAAAAGTATGTTTTATTTGACTGGAACAGGTTGTTGTTCTTGTTATTCCAGTTATCGTAACACAAAGCTTTAGAAATGAAAGCCTGAAACATTTATTTTCTGTGCTGTAGCTCTTCTGGGATATCTACTCTCAGCAAATAATATGTAAAATGCTGACACCTAATGTTAAGTTTGAGTATTTTCCTTGAGATGCATTTTCTAACAATTTTAGGAATAAAAATGCTGTTCTGCAAAAAGGCCCATGGCTGACATCAAAGCTTTGGGAAGCTCTGTTGCATCATCTTCCAGTCAGTTTTAGGTACGCATTCAAGGTGAGCACAACACTTGAAGAAGCATAAAGTATGTTTCAGCTATTTTTTTGCATTCCCAAGAACCTATATACAATTCCTGATGCCTCAGCATTAAATAATCCCAGGAAACTGAGATGAGAAAGACTTGTCTCAAGCTCTGGAAAGCTTCTGCCCATCACAAATGTATTAGACCATGTGAACTACTGGTCTGAGCTAGCAGCTCATATATTCCAGGAAAATGGCAGTGTTGAGATATGAAGGCATCATTTGACAAAGCAATAAAACCATCCTGTTCTTCTCCGGCTTCTTCAAGCAGGGGAACTACAGTTCTGACATAGATTCTACAGAGTAGCAGAACCAATCCCAGAATCCCAGTGAATTTATATGATAAATGTGAACACACAAAAAGTTCTGTGCTTATAGTGTCAGCACTCAAGTCTGCAACAGGTCTTTAACTAGTGACTGCAGGACTGTCAGACATAGGATCACCCTGTGTACCAACCCCTGCACAAAGGAGAAAACTACAGGGAAATCAGTCAAGGAAACATGGTGAGAGTGAGTCAGGTAGTGCCCATTGACCCTTATGAACAATTTTCCCTCATATATAACCTTGTCCTGCAATTGCGCTTCTCAGAGTCACTGCCAATACCACTTGTCCCAAAGGTACACTTAGCTCGTACTAGAAACTGAACCCTCTGGAATCAATTACCAGCTGAAATTAAACAATTACTTAGTGTCTTGATATTTAGGTGGCTGCTGAAGATTCTCTCTGTGTTTGTGTGTAGGCTTTCCCTGGTTACTCAGTTTTTTTGAAATTTTATTTGTAGAACTATATAAATGATTTTATTGAGTTTTAGAGTCTAATCTTTTGTATTTTGTCTTACTGTACTGTACACTGTTTCTGGGGTGTATGGGGTGTTAGGGGAGGGGTAGTACTTCTGGTGGAGGAGACATCATGCTCCTTCTGGGCTAGTTTGACCACCTTTGGTCCCCACCCTGCACTCAGCTCTCACCTGTGGATCCTAGAAGCTGTTACACCCCAGGAAATGGCTTTGGCTGGCTGGTTAAACCAGGTGAGGGTAGCCGATGGGTCTCAAACTCTTGGTGAATTAGGGACTTCCCCTGCATATGAATCTGGCGGATTGAGTGGATGAGACCAGTAGTGGGACAAATGGTAAAAGAAGTTGGTTACAGTGCATGTTGCAGACGGAAATGTGGGCAGATGGGGCTCACCAACCTGGGAAGGTAGCCCAGCTAGGAGAATGAAAACTCTGATCTTAAACCTCTGCTGCCTTGCAGCTATACTCATTTGTGAGGAAGGCTTCAGGAGTAAGGTAAGTAAAAGTAAGGTAAAGGACCCCTGGACAGTTAAGTCCAGTCAAAGGCAACCATGGGGTGCAGCGCTCATCTCGCTTCAGGCCGAGGGAGCCAGCATTTGTCTACAGACAACTTTCCACTTCTGGCACAACAGAACACCGTGACAGAAGCCAGAGCGCACGTAAATGGTGTTTACCTTCCCGCCGCAGCGGGTACCTATTTATCTGCTTGCACTAGCATGCTTTCTAATTGCTAGGTTGACAGAAGCTGGGACAGAGCAATGGGAGCTCACTCCATCGTACAGATTCAAACCGCGACCTTCTGATCAACAAGCCCAAGAGGCTCAGTGGTTTACACCACAGCGCCACCCGCATCCCTGCTTCAGGAGTAAACCCCAAGGAAAAATCTGTACCCACTGCTTTGTGGGACATCTTCAGGAGAATAAAAGGCTAAGGAGTTACACAAATCCAGAGTGGACTCCCTAAGATGGTTGGATGGTGTCTTATACACTTCCTTCTGGCAACTCCTGCAGCCAAGCTGGTACCAAATTTATTCCTGTGGACCACATCAGCAAGGCCGAGGGGGGTGGGTCTTGTTATCTGAACAGCCCAGGACCTCCAAACACACTGCCCAGGCTTGTGTCCTGGAGGGGCCAGTTCAGTGCTGCTAATGCAGCAAAAACAATGCAGAAGGCAGACGTTATTGTTATTCTCCATTGGTTTGACTTTACTACCTGCTGTAACTAAAAATGCAAATTTCCAGAGTTACAATTCTGCAAAAAAAAAAAAAAGTTTGCTTTTTAAAAGTTACTCTTTAAAGTCCTCATTTTCCTCATTATTTAATAAGTGGCATATATGGAATGTTATACAGCACAGTAAGTTATCATAGGCTTCCTGGGGCTTATTCACACATGGTATCAGCAGTACACTGAAAATGTTGTAAGAATACCCATGTAAATTAAGTATTGGCAGAGAGCTGTCTTATACAAATACATCCATTCAGAACTGGCTATAGCATCATGGCTGAATTCAAACACAAACCCAGATAATTTTTATGAATATCCAGTAAGCGTTCAGAAAAAACGTATTAAAAAGGACTAAAGAATCACCAGCTATCTAGATACCATGTCACCAAGACTTACCAGAACTGTGCTCTCCATCTTTCCTTTGTCTTCACACTCAGCTCATTTTGCCATATTTCTCTCATACAAAATGTATACTTTATAGATTATAGTTCCCCATATGCAACATATTGGGGGAGGGGGAACCCCTGAAGTACAAGATTAATGCAAAGTTTGTTACAGTGGGATAAAGTGAGTTTGGTGCAATATACACTGATGGTTGATGTACAAAATGTTGGTCTCTTGCTGCTCCTTACATATTCAGACAGCATAATGTCTAAATATTTTTCAGATGGCCCAGTGATTAGACGGATATGGTGGTGGATTACAGTGACAGTTTACTAAGAAGCATACATTTGCCTCAATCATACCACATCTGGTGCACTTACAAGATAAGCCTATGATTCTACACTGAATTAGGAGTCAAGCCCCACTTGCTTAATGGAAGTGTTTCACAATCAATGAGCACGTTGAAGAACAAAACAGTATGATGCCTCAGCATTCCAGAAGATTGGCATTCTTTTAAAACCAATGTCAGAGGTACGATGTCAACACATATACCTTGATGACCACAAGAGCCCAAATAGATATAGATCAGGATCCCCCTGGATCTGTTCTTCTAAAGAAGCAGGCTTCTGGGTCATTATTTTGCCTGGGTATCCAGGGGAGCTGTAAATCCTTCATAAACGGCTATAAGTGAGCAAAGCAACTCAGCAGAAGGTTTGTGAGAAACGCTAAATACATTTAAACAAAAGTTGAGATGTCTAAAACTTAAGTCATTTGTGAATTCTTAAATTCTACTTAGATGTTTATGAATACAATTTCAGCGCAAATTAAAATTCCCTTTAATAGAAATTGTGCTTAAAATCCAATGCAGGTTATATCCACAGAGTTGTATATAGTGCCTTATTCCACACAGTGACATTAGACAAAGATTAGGTTTGCAGCTGTCTTTCTGTTTCGCCTGTCAGAAGTAAACCAGAATTATCTAAATGAAGAAAGTATCTAGAATGCTAAAGACTAACCCTATTAAAATACATAAAGCATATTAATTTATGGAGCCCAAATAAGTAGAAATAATGAGTTTTAATAAAAAGTGTATCTATTGTAAATAACTATCCAAGCAAAATTAATCTTTTGGGGCAAATGGGTGGAATACATATAGCCCAGCCCAAGAGAAACAAACAAACAAACAAAAATTGCTCAGAAGCATTGATGCATCTTAGTAAGAGATTAAAAAGTATAGCTGCACTGTCAGTAAGATCAGGAAAGTGCTGCCGTGTTTGTTCTTTGCTTTACAGATGCCATTGCAGATCCCAGGATTTCAATAAATCTGTGCACGTCATGGAAAGAATTGTAGAGAGGAACTGGGGCAACACGGAGAGCATTGGGTTCCCGAATGTCACACTGCAAAACAGCCAATAAACATCTAGCAAATTAATATAGCTTCATATTTGTTTGCCAAACTCCAAAAGCAGCAAAGCTAACATAAAGTTTGTGCTCCTGTTACAATGCTGGCCAAATGCAATGCTTTCCTCCATTTCTGGCCCATATAAACTGAGAATAGAGGGGAAAGATGGAGAGCTAGGGTTCTTGGTATTGATTTTTCCATGGTATATTTTACAGTGCAATTCTATATATGTTTACTCAAAGAAGTATGTCTCATGTTTAATGTGGCTTGCTGCTATGTAACTAAGTGTAGGGTTGGGATGTTAAAATCACAATAAGCCTTTTTTTAGAAGGGAAGGTAGATACTAATTCATGTTTTGCCATTCCAAGCTGAAAAATCAGGGGGACAAGGGGAAGAGAAATTAATACAAATGAGTTATTATGTGATATTTGGAAACTAGTTGCTATATGCATCAGAATGTTTTCAGAGACCTCTGAGCTCTGGCATAGTCACACCCTATGCCAGAGGACAAGGACCAATGCAGAAATAAAGGAATAAGAAATCCCATTGCTTTAGGAGCCCAGATTGTCATTTCCTACACAGGGAAGGTGTAGGAAACTAATAGTCATGTGTCTAATCAGTTAATACTGATTTTCAGGACTGGTTTCTTAAAAGAAAAGGGAATTGTGGTGGCGGCCCCCAAAGACCTGCTGTTCTAGAATGTTGGTGCTCTGGGATTCTGAGAATTCTTGTGAGGAAAAGGGATTGTGGGTGGGAAATATAGTGGCAGTGGAGAGCAAGAATGATAAAGTAGGTCAGGTCAGGGAAGCTGCCTCTGACTTTGTGCATTACATTATCTTACAAATAACTAACAGCTGAGAGACTGTCATGGCAGCATTTTATTGAAACACCTAGGCACATACCACCCTTTCAAATGATATGTTAAGAAGCCATTTCTAGTAGATTGTAAAAACATCTCACTTTTGTTTTGTCAGTGGCTAGAAAGATATGAGGAAGGTGACAAGCGGGGGCCCCTCTTTCCTGGTCAGACGCCTTCACAGTTTAGTTTCCCCTTCCATAGCACACAACTCCTCTTAATCTTAATGCTGTGGATTTGCTTCAGATCCTTTTCTCCAACTAGTCCCTTCTTGCCTCAGTTTTCCATTTCCTCTGTCTTCTACTCTCAACTCCTTTTGAACTACACTCTCTTCTAACTATTCAGCCCATTACTCACTCTTCTGCATTCTACCTTCAGCCTCCTCACCTCTACAGTTCCTGTTTGGGACCTCTCCCCAGTCTTTTAATCTATTCCTGTGCAAGATTTTAATCCTAGCCCAACTGGCAACTTTCTGTTCTCTTCCAGAAGCTGCGAACTGTTTAGTTCTGTGAGCGTTCCGGGCCATCACACCAGCTCAGTTAATCAGTGCCACTACTATAAGTCCAATACAATATAGACAGCTTCAAAAGTGATTTGAATTAAGCCTTAAAATGCTCAAGATAGTCAAGTGATACCTTTTCTTGCATGCATGCATTTATTTTTGCTGTGGAAGTCTACAATAACGGTATCACCTTATATATTTTATTTTGTTTGTCCCCCAGGGCAAACATAATAACACCACTATAAACCAATTAATGTGTTTTGAAGAACCATATCAGTATTCTGATTCCCCCTCTTCCTTCTGACCTAAGCAGCGGTGAATAGAAGCAATTCTAGAATTATCACAGAGCCCACTATCTTTGTTAAATAAAGCAATGTGAAGCCTTGGTTACTTACAGCGACACCTCTTTTTTCCAACTCTTTAAAAATATCCTTAATTGGAACTGAGAAGACCAGTGTGAGCTGGCATCCTCTTTCTTCAATTTGGGAAGGTGTGATTATTCTTACAAAGGGCTGCTCAGGGTCATTTGTATCTTCACTATAGTAATGCTTTATCAAATATTCCAAGTAACCAGTCAGAAGAATGGATTTCCTTCTCAGGAGTTTCATTGTAGTTTGACCAAATACCTATATTTAAAATAAAAACAGACAACTACATCATTGCAGCAAAACAAAGAGAGCCCAGACAAATATAAACTGCATCCTTCTCTACAAAGCCTATATCCTATGATCTACTTTAGCTTTGCAAAAAGTGACTTTTGAGTATTGTAAGATAAAAACTTAGTACCAGAAATAAAGCCAGTCATTTTAATGAAAGTAGATATATCTGCACCTGAGTGCACAAGAGCACTCATATGGTTGGGAAGAACATTTGTGAACATAAATGTATGAATGCTGTCGTGAGTTTCATTCTCAAGCTGTCCACAATATGCAGATGCTGTGCTCAGGAGAAAAATGTTTTCTCTCAGTAATCCTTATAAGAGCAATGCAAACTAGGTCAGAAATGTTATCCTCATAGTACAGCTATATTTAAAGTCCCTTCTTCTGGTCCCCGTTTTGGCTGATGCGAGATGGGTAATGACTGGTGATAGCGGCTTCTTGGTGGTGCTATCCTAGGGAGATTTTCCTGGTTCTAAGTCTGTTCTATTTTTTGGCACCAAGTAAAGATCTTTTCATTATCATCTAATGAAATTGTTGTTTCAATCTGATTGCTGTAGTTCCAAGGAAGAACAGACTCATCCCTAGAAAGGAACGACTAGGGATGGGAGAATCTTTCAGTTTATGTTCTTCTCTGTTTCTTATTTTTCCAATCTTAAATTCATTTCTACACATTGTCACATCACTCTGAATTTTTTCTTTAAATGTCATGAAAATTCACCAAAATTGTAGTGTGAATTTCTACCTAATATACTCAATGTAAGCAATCCTGCCTAATATAAACATCTTCCAAAGCAGTTTCCCCTAATCTAACACATTTTCTCTTATTTTTGCTAAAGTTTACATTTTTATGCACACTTGACTCTACTACATGCATTTTTTTGCATATACATTCCTTAGCTGAAGAACTGTGCTGCAAAATTTGGAGAAGAGTGAATTTCAAGGATGGCCATGTTCCAGTTTGAATATTGTTTCGGAAGGCAGTTAGGCAGGTTTGCCTTTAAATGTGAACTGAACTGAATTTCTCCCTCTTCCCTAGGAACAGCATAAGGCGATTGTTTTTTTGGAACTTGTACCCTACACTGCTTGGAGGGTGGCCTTGAGAATAAGAATGCCACCAGTTTAATGGCACTGAGACTTGGGGATGCACAAGGGGGTAAAAATATTGTGTGCCTTTATGTAGAAGCTGCCTACGGTTGCAGAAACTTAGGGTTTCTTCTGCAAGATTAGGCCATATAAAGTCTATTCACTTGTGATTTTGCAAGGGGTGTGGGAATGCTGCCAGGAATAATGTCCCCACAACAAACCTTCTCCCCTCGCAAAAGGCAAGAGATTGTCCTTGCTGTGCATTTACACTTACATTGCTTAGTATTTTCTTTAGAAGCTGTACCCTCTGTTTAATGCATCCCAGAGCAAGATGGGAAACAATTTTGCAAGCCATCTCTTGCCAGATACACATTCTATTTCACTGTACTACAGCAATTAGCACAAGGGAATCCTGACTGTGCCAAAAGAGGAACACAGGCGCAAAAAGGCAAGTCCATAGAAACTGATGAGCTCTCATTGCCTTTGACCCCCTGCCGTGGGCTAAATGGCTGCTCCCCCTCCCCCTTATGAACAGCACCATCTGGGTCAGAGCGGAGAAGCATCTCTAAGGTCACATAAAGTTTACAAAAATACAAGAGATGTTTAAGGACAAACAAAATGAATTGCCAAACAGAAGAAAAAGTATTGCCGTGGCCCTTTGCAATTTTTCAGAGCAGGAAAAGCAAACAGTAAAATTACTGATAATTCTCTGGCTTTATTTATTTAGGACTGATGATAGCATTTAGAAAATTATTTTTCCCCCAGATGGATTCAGAACGTCCCTAACAGACAACTAAAGGCTGCAATGAATACAAGTATGTTTTAAAAACTTTGAATGTTGCAGGTTACAGAAAGTTATAAAATATTATTTTTCATTCAAATATGCATGCACTAAATTAGCATCTGACAGAAATCAGCATGTAAGTGGCATTATGAGTCAACATCATTATATAATCCCATCCTGAAGATTGCTGATGGTTTTCTACAAACAAGCCAATTCCAGGAATCATCACAGAACACTAGACATTCTGTGCATGGAAATGACAATTGATAGAAGTCTCTCTTTTAAGCTCTGAGAAAATATTTTCCCCCTTAGGAACTCACATATGAGAAGGAAGTTGGGACAATAACGATTCCCTATCTCAAATATTGTTCCAAGATACATTATCTATTTCCATTGTATCTGTATTGGATGCGCACTTTACTTCCTTGTAGAAACCTTGCAGATTCACAAGCGAAACTTTTATAACACATTTAAATTTCGCATCTACCTTCATTTTGTTCTCCTGTGCATCAACTGATAAATCAAGCAAGGGAGCCATAAGATCTTATTCTACATTATGGGTGACTGCTAGATGTATGTCAAGATACAAACATCTGACTTTTGGTACATAGTCCAGGTCAGTCTGCTAAGCAATGAACAGAAAAAATATAAAGGTATCTTGAAATGCAAGTGAAAATGACCCTGGAAATTTTATGAGATGAAGCAGTCTTACTTTGTAGCCATTATAAGAATGGGGAAAATGACCTAGTGACTTGGCACTCTGTGTCTAGTAGTGTAAAACATTCAAAATTAAGTGATGTTAAGGAAGAGCAGATGGTTGTGATCCAAGATATGGCTAGTTCAAATTAATATTTGTAAGTCAGCCCCATAAGGCTGAGATGAATATTTTGAATGCCCATTCACAGCTGTGAAAGTTGGGACTGTTTTGGCTATTTTTCTCCATTGGGCATAAAATAACTATTTTCAGGAGAAAGGGACTTACTGTGAAAAGTGATGTTGGCAGCACACCCACCCTCTCCATACAATTTCTTAACTTTAAACATACTGTACTTTTGTTGCCACTGAAAGCAATGACAAACCAGACATAGAATCATAGAATCATAGAGTTGGAAGAGACCACAAGGGCCATCGAGTCCAACCCCCTGCCAAGCAGGAAACACCATCAGAGCACTCCTGACATATGGTTGTCAAGCCTCTGCTTAAAGACCTCCAAAGAAGGAGACTCCACCACACTCCTTGGCAGCAAATTCCACTGTCGAACAGCTCTTACTGTCAGGAAGTTCTTTCTAATGTTTAGGTGGAATCTTCTTTCTTGTAGTTTGGATCCATTGCTCCGTGTCCGCTTCTCTGGAGCAGCAGAAAACAACTTTTCTCCCTCCTCTATGTGACATCCTTTTATATATTTGAACATGGCTATCATATCACCCCTTAACCTCCTCTTCTCCAGGCTAAACATGCCCAGCTCCCTTAGCCATTCCTCATAAGGCATCGTTTCCAGGCCTTTGACCATTTTGGTTGCCCTCCTCTGGACACGTTCCAGTTTGTCAGTGTCCTTCTTGAACTGTGGTGCCCAGAACTGGACACAGTACTCCAGGTGAGGTCTGACCAGAGCAGAATACAGTGGCACTATTACTTCCCTTGATCTAGATGCTATACTCCTATTGATGCAGCCCAGAATTGCATTGGCTTTTTAGCTGCCGCATCACACTGTTGGCTCATGTCAAGTTTGTGGTCAACCAAGACTCCTAGATCCTTTTCACATGTACTGCTCTCAAGCCAGGTGTCCCCATCTTGTATTTGTGCCTCTCATTTTTTGCCCAAGTGCAATACTTTACATTTCTCCCTGTTAAAATTCATCTTGTTTGTTTTTGCCCAGTTCTCTAATCTGTCAAGGTCATTTTGAAGTGTGATCCTGTCCTCTGGGGTGTTAGCCACCCCTCCCAATTTAGTGTCATCTGCAAATTTGATCAGGATGCCCTTGAGTCCATCATCCAAGTCGTTGATAAAGATGTTGAATAAGACCGGGCCCAAGACAGAACCCTGTGGCACCCCACTAGTCACTCTTCTCCAGGATGAAGAGGAACCATTGATGAGCACCCTTTGGGTTTGGTCAGTAAGCCAGTTACAAATCCACTGAGTGGTAGCATAGTCAAGACCGCATTTTACCAGCTTCTTTACAAGAATATCATGGGGCACCTTGTCAAATGCCTTGCTGAAATCAAGGTAGGCTACATCCACTGCGTTCCCTTCATCTACCAGGCTTGTAATTCTGTCAAAAAACAGATCAGGTTAGTCTGACATGACTTATTTTTCAGAAATCCATGCTGACTATTGGTGATCACAGCATTCCTTTCTAGGTGCTCACAGACTGTTTGCTTAATGATCTGCTCCAGAATCTTCCCTGGTATTGATGTCAGACTGACTGGGCGGTAATTATTTGGGTCCTCTCTTTTCCCCTTTTTGAAAATAGGGACAACATTTGCCCTCCTCCAGTCTGCCGGGACTTCGCCTGTTCTCCAGGAATTCTCAAAGATGACTGCCAGTGGTTCTGAGATCACATCTGCCAGTTCTTTTAATACTCTTGGATGCAGTTCATCTGGCCCTGGAGACTTGAATACATCTAAACTAGCCAAGTATTCTTGTACTATCTCCTTAGTTATTCTGGGCTGTGTTTCCTTTGCTGAATCATTTGCTCCAAATTCTTCAGGTCGGGCACTGTTTTCTTTATTGGAGAAGACTGAGGCAAAGAAGGCATTGAGGAGTTCAGCCCTTTCTGTGTCCCCTGTTTGCATTTCACCATCTTCTCCTCTGAGTGACCCCACTGTTTCTTTGTTCTTCCTTTTGCTACGAACATACCCATAAAAACCTTTTTTGTTGCTTTTAACCTCAGCACATTCCTTGCCTGGTACAATGTACTAGGATACTGTTGGGGGAGAGGGGACGGTGACATCTACTACTGGCAGCAGCAGCAAAATTATTTTATAAAGCAAGAAGAGGGGAAGGGGCACTGCTACTACTTTTCCTAGAAAATCCCAATGCACCAATCCCCCCCTTACTTCTGTATTTTCTTCTTTCTCTTTGCCTACAGCGCCACCCTATTTTCACTGGGAAAACATCCTTAAGGGACTTTCAGCTCACTAGTAGCTGTATACGACACCTATCTGACCTCTTGATTTCTTGCCAAAAAAATAAAAATCCACATGTGAACACACAAGTGCTGCTTTAGTATAAGTGACAACTAGCTGAAGACAGGTTCATTATTTTAAAAAAAGAATTCATGGTGCTAGAACATACTTCAGCTTTGTTTTAAAATTAATGCCTGTCTCTAGCATTCCATCAAGATGCTACTTCTGCTTTCTCCTCCTCCAAGCAAGTTATTATTATTATTATTACCCTGACCATATGGCTGGGTTTCTCCAGCCACTCTGGGGAAGGGAAGGAGTGGCATTTTGTTTGAAACCATGGTAGAGGCAGCAACCAGGCAAGAATTCCAGTGTTCTCTTCACTGGTATGCTACAAGCAGATGTTAAGGCTGGCAGTATATTCATAGCAGTGAGATCATCCTTTTTATATTACATTAGTCTTCAACCAGACTTTTTGTTTAACTGCTGTATAGGACGCAATGTAGGTTAATACTACACAAATTGCTTCATTTGTTTGTACTTGATCTGTCATGAAAATGTAATTGCTCACCTCTAAACTAGCATGGAGGGCGCACACCAATAAAATCGAAGGGTTTGATAGTCGAAATCCATTGATGCCAGGGCTCAGTTGCAATTCTGCAAGATGAACACATTCTATTAGATCCCTAGCTTTTGTTTGTTCCCAGAACGAAGAACCAATCACTCACAGGGCTTCCATCTTGTCAGAAAGTACTTTTGGTTTTGTTAGCCCTCATCCAGTGTACCAAGGCATACAGGCATCATACATACAATGCATACAGCGTTGGTTAGGACCTGCATGCCCCCCTCCCCCCCCCCAAAATTAGAGAAATATAGCTAAGCATTATCAACTTCACATATTGATGACATCAGGCTCCAAATCTCTACATAACTGCTCCCAACAGCTTCATATTGAAAGTTAAACTAGCTTTGGCAATGAAATGGTTCCCTATGGCAGAACTCCAGGGATTCATGGTATAATCACCTTATGCTCTCTGGATCCTGCCATAGGTAGGAGCAGAACTGTTGCAAAACAGAGCCTCTCAACTCTTTCCCACAGAGACAGCCTAATAAAACACCATAGTTCATTATATCAAAACTAGCCAAAATATTGAGTGGAAGCCACAGGGTTGCAGTCCTACCCCTCCACCTCTCCATAAAGGTCAATGGGGCAACAGATTATGATTCAGTCCATGAAATGGGCCTGAACCTATCCTGGGAAGGATAAAGAGAATCAGTATCTTCCAAGAGTTGCTGCAGCTGAAGCACCTTCCTCAAAAAAAAAGTATTAGCAATCAGGTGGTAGCTGTCAAAAGCCTTTCAGTCCAACATCGGTTTTTAAGGAGTAGGTGCAATACCATCTTCTTCTTCACGGCAGTATATCCTTTTCCTTCACACAGTGAGACATTCACCACACCCTAGACCCACCTGACCACACCCAGCTCGCCTTTATTAGGCAAAGTGAGCAAATCAAGAAGGCTGACAGCTGCAACCACCTTGTTCACATTTTCAGGCCTCAAAAAATGAAACTGATCCCATAAAATGTGACCAGGTGGTGTGTTGGACACTTCATTTGTACCTGCCACAACCAGAACATTCAAGTTCTTGTGAAGATTAATACTTTTATAATTCAAGTGCTTAGCAAACATGTCACAGCAATCTTCAGGGGGCGCCAACATCCCATTTATCAGGAGAGATGTTAACAAACCTCTCACCACTCAGAAAAACTCTGCTGGACAGCTACTTGAGAGTGCAATAGAAGCGGCAAAAGAAGCTTTCTTTGCCATCCCTGTTGCCGTGAAACAGGCAGAAGTTTATGCTCTAGTACATGTTAAGTCGTTGGAAATAATATATATATCTGACATGTTCTTGGCCTTCTCTATTTCTGGCCCAGGGATTTGTGGGACAAGGAATAATTGTTACTCACTATTACAAAAGCCTTTCAGCTCAGCAAATCACAACATAGCAAAATGATATAGCATCTTAAAAACATTTTAATATTGAGTCACCAGGCTGTAAAGTACAGCAACTCAAAAAATGACATAAAACTTCGCTCTGCAAAGGCCTGTTAAATCAGAAGTAGGAATGTGGCCTTCTTGGTCATTGTTTGTTCTTCTTTTTATGGTTGGGGGGAAAGAATCTGATTATACAATCTATATAAACCATAAAATAAATCCTTACATAAAACTGAATATGAAATATACATACTGTTTTCCATGAGAAACCGGGTTTTGAAGTCATGACCCCACCATCCTACCAGCCTAAAAAGAAGGTGAAGGGGTAATAGCACAGTTGGTGACACAATAAAAATATTGTTGAATGAACAATATGACCAGTGTCAACAGACACAGAAATGTACAGATGCTGATGAAGTTCTCTAGAGTCTGGCCTGGATGAGAGCTTCAGGGCCTTGAAAAGCTCAGCTCAATGAAGATACAAGCATTGCAAATTCATTTTTTTCCCCCTGTTCAGAATAAAATCCAAGCTGGAGGAGCATTCCTGACTAATGCTAGCCCATCTGTTGCTCCCACACACAGACACACACCACCCAAACTCCTGAAATGACAGCTCTGTGAGGTCCGGACAAGTTTCCACTAGGACCTCATCCCGCGACAGGAAGCATTTGCAACCAGAAATCATGGAGGCTCAATAATTAACAGCCGTAAATGGCAAATTTCTGTGCAGACTTCTGCTGGCTGTGCAAAGCTGTCCGAGGCAGCCAAGGGATAGGGGAGGCCTGCAAATGATGAGGCAGCATATACAAAGATGGTTGAGGGGGAAGCCCCTTCCCACAGTGAACCCTCTTGGTCCACGGAACCTCTGCAGGGGGTGGACTTTCCTACCCAACTGGAGGATTTCAAGGCTGTAGCTCGTTTGTCTCAAATGCTTTATGTACAACCAGGAGAGAGCTCTCCTGACCACACAAGTTTGGGAGCAATTTCTGGCCATTTCTACAGGTGAGAAGGCCCTCAGAAGGTGCAGTGAAGTGATGTGAATCAATTAATGATATCAGTACAACGCAAGAGCCAGTCATGTTGTGCTGCAATGACAGACACTGTATTCCATCCTGAGAATATATTCTAAGCAACTCATGAGTTGCAGTGGTTAGTCACAATGTGTGCTAGTGACTATTAGAATAAACTGTACCAAATAACATGTTGATTTTCTAAAACTTGTGAATATTAATTTGGGGGGATAATAGATTCTTTACAATCCTCTCTAATCTATAATGGAATGTCATTATAGACAACAAAGTTGAGAAACATCACACTACTGCTTAGTATTATTATGGCCATTCAAATTTCTATTGAAACCACTAACAAAATAATAGCTTTTGGTTATGACACAACACGGAATTGTCAAAATAAATATATAAAGCATCGTAAAATTAATGCCTGAGAGATTTTGTTCATGATGCTTTGAATCACATATGAAAACATCAGCAACCGTTTTACAGTTTCAAGCTACATTTTATATTTTACCATAAAACACAATGTTAGTACATATTCATGTTATTGCAACATCCCAACTAATTCAATTTTGCAGGTCTTGCATCATTTTAATAGGGTTGGTACAGCAAAAAAACAAAAACTAACTCAATGATCTTGATGCTTCACAGAATGACGTTCTAAACTAAGGTCAAAAACACCAGAGCAAATTAACTCTCTCTCAGAATGTCTACATGGACAATAGTAGCCTAACTATATGACAAATAAGATTCAAATCTTGGGTGCTGACCATGTTGAGGTCACTACACAACCCTAATTTTTCCTGTGGTGGTAGCTCTCCTGAGAGGGGAAATGGGATAAAATGATGTTAATGAAGGCCTTTTAAGGGTCTCTGAACAACCTTTTCATAAAATTCCAAAGACTGATTAGTAGCCTTCAAATGGGCTTCAAATCTCTCTGCTGTACAATCAGCAAAATGACCATCCAGCATGCACTGTGAAAAAAAATGACATTTCTCATCTTCCACAACAAAAACACAAGGAAGGGGGAAACAGAAAGAGAGCACAATATATTGAGAGGGTGGAAATGAGGAAGTGCAAAATGCAGATGGGACGGGAAGAAAAATGGCAAGTAATAAAACCTGGGTGTTCATCAAATACACCAACAAAGCTAGCCTTTTATTCTGCTAATGCAGATTCAGGTATCAAGTCATAAAGTGTTCAATAGCAAAATGTCAACAAAAAAGATGGTGAACCAACATAAAGATTTCAGATAACTGAAAAATCTATTTTAACTCCCCAATTATTTCTGAAGGCTAATTTAGTCACTGCCTTGTGTACGAGATTTTTCAATTATCTGAAACTATGCATTATCCTTAGTGCTATGAACTACCATTTCTTTGGAATGTCAGGAGATGACAGCAAGACAGGACAGGTGGTATTGGGCAGAGGTCATTTGCAGGGGGACAACTGAGTGCTGAGACTGCTGCCTACACCTCCTGCCTTCTTCCATAAGCAAGAAAGCTTTCCCCAGAAAGGCAATATAACAGTTGGTTTGTTCCACACATTTTCTCATTAAGAAGGCAACATGTGAATGCATTCTGTAACCCTTGTGATAACCACTCAAAAGTAGTCCATAAGCATTTTTGAGGATAGTGGATACAATAAAAATAAAATAAAGAGCAATTAAATCTCCAAAATGGAGATGTTAGGTTTCAGTGGTGAGCTTCTTGTTCTTTGTGTTCCCTGCCCCCACCCATCCTCTACCTTATCACATGAACTGTTTCTTTAGAATCCCATAGACATAGCTCAGGTTATAGTTGCACTTAATTCTCAGTTGTTCTTAGTTGTACATTTGGGGGCATTCTACCTCCCGACTAATGACCTCCATAAACATTAATGACCTGAGAAGGGGCTGCAAATTGAAACTCTAAAGGATTATTGAGTCTGGAAAGGGTGAGGGCAAACATAAAATTAGGGCTGACAAATTTCTGCAAAATATTAGCCTGTGATGATTTGAAATAGCTAAGGTCTTAAGACCTGACTATAATGGCTTTACAAATACATGTTTTTAAAAATAAAATATAGTAAAACTGAATAAGATGCTAAAGTAAAATTTATTGAGGAGCAAATATTTGGAATGCAAAATGAGTATTTATAATCCATTAACTATTTAGAATATCCGCAGTCTCTAGACACCACAAACATGCTTAACATAAATGGCTTCTTCATTTTAGAGTTTGAATAACCATTTTGCAACAACTTATACTTGGTGGTCCCCCGGGCTTTGTGTCTTGATGTGATGCTACCCAAAAGGCAATTGATAGCTGGGGGTAGTAAAGACATGGGCTGGTTCTGTGCCCATAGTCGCCTTTGACTGGACTTGACTGTCCAGGGGTCCTTTACCTTTTACCTTTGCCTCTGTGCCTTAGAAGCCAACACATGCAGTGACCACTTTACTGACTGTTTGGTATCAGTGTGAAGAGGCTGTGTGTGCATGTGTTGGATTCCTTGCAAGACTTCTGATTGACTGGGATTCCAATGGCCATGGACCCCTATGTGAATACATATGGTGCCCTATATACTCTTGCAACACACTAAGAGACTTTTAAATCTACTGTACATTATTTTAATGCTGTATTGTTTGTGTGTGTGTGTGTGTGTGTGTGTGTGTGTGTGTTTTAATTTTTGCTGGTTTCCATTTTTTGTTTGGTTTAATTGTAACTTTTTGTAAGCCGCCCTGGGAACCTGTTGGATGGACAGGAGCCAAATTAAATAAAGAAGCAAAACTAAACTGGAGTAATAGTGCACAGCTACAGCAGGTAATAATAGATGGAGTATACAGTTGTTGCCCAATTTCAAGGTGGTAATGTCATATGATTAGAAATTAAAAGCATATTTCAGCAGCATCTGGTTTTTAACCTACACAGCAAGCTCCCGTTTTGCTAGTCAAAGGCAGCAAGACAGAAAATTTCTGGAGAGCAAGAATTATGCCCAAAAGGATCATAATTTGCCCCCATGGTTATGCTAGGGAGCAATCCCATCAGTAAAAGTTTTGTGTGTTTTTATCGAGCTCAAGATTTCCTTTCACATCTGTGTGCTTATAGTGAAGCACTGGGCATTCAAAACTTGACTTGTTTCGTTTGTAGTTGCATTAATGATGCAAGAGCGTGGGATATAATGATTGCTATGTATATGCGGTGTAGACATCAAAGGAGATCCAGTTTAAAGAACGTAAGGGTGGGGGGAATCCTTTGACCTTTGCTTCTGAATAACAGATGAGCATGCTGCTCATTTATAATTTATAACCCGGAGGATCACAAGGTTCATTTGTGTTCTAGGGAGGGAAGGATCCCATCTCCACTGACTACTGATTTATATTTTATTTTTTTAAAATAGAATGAACAAAATTGGGCTTGTATTTATGTGGCTTGAGTTTCAGGGCAAACCTTCCTGTCCAAGGGGACAGTCTGTGCATTCCCCACACACCGTCAACAAGACAGAGAAGCAAATGAATGGCAGCAGGTGAAACACCCTATAAAAAGGGCAACTTTTCTATAGCGCTGTAGTTCATAAACCTTCTCATCATGAGCTTTCTCTGCTCCATCACACTTGTCTTTTTCCTGCTCAGCTTTGAAAGAGGCACCCTCAGAATTTATGATCACCACTTATAAAAGTGCAGTCAATGCCTGCAAAGCTTACAAGGGCAGGCTTTGCAGAGCAGAAATTGGCAGAGATGGTCATGTCGCACTCTGGACTCATACACACTTCCATTTGTCCCATGTTGTCTAGACATGGGTCTGAGAGGTTCTTCTTTTGCCTTGCCAGTTCCCGCGGCAAAACCCGATGTTTACTGCTGAATCGGAACAAACGTCAACTGAGTCTTCTACGGATTGACGTTTGTTCTGATTCAGCAATAAACTGTGGGTTGCCCCAGGGAAAGTGGCAGGATAGAAGAAAAACCTCTTGGATCCATGCCTAAAAATCATGGGAGAAATGGAAGAAATAGCGGGACAAAGGAAGTGGAGCTGAGCTATGCTGAAGCACTGCTACACCTGGAAATAGGCATATCTATTTTTCCTCCCCTTTCCAACACACATTTTGTCACTCTTCCAGAGTTTTAAACTACATCACATGGCTTTCTAAAGAACAAGCCACATGAGATTTGTAAAATACATAGCTTAAAACTGAAAAGCCAAATAAAAACAATGATATACTACTACACTGTTATACTACTTGTGTTTAAGGAAGATCTGCAGGGGTGGTGCTATAGGTTGAGGGTCTTTTGTGTTAAACTTTTCTTGCATGTCTAATTATCAGTTGTGTCCAATCTACATACTATACATCCTTGCAGTTCATTATTAGCAGATTTCTCTCTTAGAATGCTGTAGCTATCCTATAGTTCTATGAAAATGTTGTAAAAAAAAAATCTAGCGTTAACAATAGTCAAATAATGAGACATTTTCATTAGAAACAAAACATTTTTTTTCCTATTTAGCCTTTTGTGCAGCCCAGGAACAAAATTTAATGAGAGAAAAATAATGTTTTTTTAAAAAAATGACAAAAAAACCCCGGTGACTGGCATAACTATCTTGACTTGGTTGTGGCATGTTAAATGCCACAATTTGGAATAATTGTTTTACCCAAGAAGTAACTGGATGTCCTTTCTGATTGCAGCTTTTATTTTCACATTCGGTAGAGAGTTTAATTTAACGGTTGTAGCAAATGCACTTTGTGCATGAAAAACGCATTGGCTCTTTGGTCAACCAAGTGCAAGGTGATTTACTGCTGATGGGGATTTGAAAACAGAGGGTGCAGATGTCCTCTTTAAAGATATATTTTTTTCCTTGTTAGTCTTTTAGATTCAGTTCAACTGGGAATACACCAATCTCTGAGCATGTCCCTCCATATTACCCCTCCAGGTCAAAACAAAGGGAGATTGAGTTCACTTTTATAACAAGATACAAGTTTTCTGTGCTCAGAGTATGTGAAAGAGAAATAGCCATTATACTGGGAATCCAATCAGGGCTTGTTGAATTCATACAGAACTCCTCTGGAAGCCTCTGAGGCTTTTGTGATGAGGAAAGGTAATTTCATTCACAGAGAGCAGGCAGAGAAAAAGTATGAGGAAGCTGCAAAAAGAATTGAAGTCTAAATTACATCCTAAGAAAATATCTTACTCAAACCAACCCCTCTAAGGCTAATGAAGTTGAATTAAAACTGTTAAATCAGCTTATGATCAACTGTTACTGCAGAGTGTACATATATCACTTTTATTTAACTACATCTACAGAGAAGAAAGGGGGGGGGTGCAGGAGAGAATACAGCCAGAAATACTTTGGAACTGCTATTGAGAGTATCAATCCACTGCTTTCATTCAGAAATTAAAAATCAACCTGGGAGACAATTTATTCCTACATATTATTAATGAAGTACGCAGTAATTATTCTAAAAGTATTGGGGGGAAACCAATACCATAATAGTGAAAAATTATAAGACAATGCCTTGCTGCTTTAAAAAGCCTGTGAAAATGTGATAAAACTTTCTAGAGTGCCTCAAAAAGATTAAAGATAACACATGTGCTCTTTCAAAGATGCAACTTCTTCCTTAACGTTGTTAGTTGCTGTTGACTCTCATGATTGTTTGTAAATCACTTTGTCTTTCTTTAGCACCATGAATTAATTCACAAAGACTATGTAACTATGCAGAGTCCTTGTAATGCATCCATCGAAATAAGCAATACTAAAGGGCCCTACATTTCTGAACAGAGAAAATGATATATATTTCTACTCGACATCTGCTATATTAGACAGAAATTAAAGAATATATTAACTGGGTCAAGAATTGCAAGTAGCATTTTGCATTGCCTTCTAAGCTGAATATACTGTACATCTCAGAAATCAATATAAAGCAGTGATGCAAAATTATATTCAATTAAAAATACTTTCCAGTGCTAATAATGCAATAATAATCATTTCCCCCAGTAAGGTTTAGGGATAGCCAAATAGAAATTTTTTAATGCACACATCTTTCACTATGTTAAAAGAGCTAGAATCAAATATAGAAAAGCACCCAAGAATAAATTCTCCTTATTACAAGGTGATCTTTTCTGTTTACCTTGTGACAAGGATCATGCATATATTAAGCTTGCTTATTGTCCCACATTATACAGAATTGTACAATAATACAAGCCGATATACTTATTATGGCTTGGTTTTTGTATCAGTCACATGCTGAATATTTAAGGTTGCCCTGTTTTTGCTATACATATAACTTTGTAAATGATTACACTTCTTGTGTTGTGTAAAATAAACCGAACAAAATAGCTCTTTTCTTTTTTGAAATTTGTACTCCTTACTAGCTCCAGATGTTTGCAGAACCTTAGATTATTCTTATTCAATTCTCTTGACAGTTTTGGGCATCCTTGACAACCTCTTTCTATCAAATTCCCAAGACAGGTAGTTGTGATCTTTGACTTCTCATGTGCATTTATTGAGAAAGAGGAGCTGAGTGTTGGGACAGAAACTGATGAAAGGCCTACATATTCAGCACAATATGGTTTCTTAGCTTATGTTAATAGGGAATTGCCTCCAGTATAAAGATGACCTCCCTGATGACTCATAATGTGACTATAGAAACTTCTTCAGTCAGCATTCAACAACCTGATGCTTGTGTGTGAAGCTGTATTGTGAATCCTCTCTTTATGATGCATCTGCCTCCCCAAAGAGATTGTGATAATTTCCACGTTGATACAAGACTTTTCAAATCTCCCACACAGAAAAAGCCCAAACTCTTACACCGTACACATCCCACCTAGTTTCATCTTAGCTTTGACTAGTTTCCAAAGAGGCAGATGTGGAAGTAGTGCTGCATAGTACTCTACTCTGCCTGTTCTGTGAAAGGACTTCTAGAAATCTGGATAGCTTAGCTATAGAAAAGTGCCTGAAAGGGAGAAAGGTAAAAAGATAATATAGATCAACTGTGCAACATTTTGCATGCTTAGGGGTATACATGTAAGAGCAGGTAATGCAACCTCAATGGAATCCCATAGAAGAAAATAAGCTAGGGGCATTTTTGAATGGGAAAGGCTTAAGGAACTCAATGCTCACCACTTCTACACTCAAAATTGCAGCCTCTTGAGGCTGCTTTTCATCCACAAAACTTTACATGAATGTGTGCATGACATGTAGGTACCACACACTTTCTTAATGTTCCCTCTAATATTTTTTTTAAAAAAATGCCCTTGGATATTTGCCATTCACTTGGAGAATCCAAGAATTAAACCCTGCAGGCCTATTCTGTGTCTAGATTGGCCTAATCAATCACATCTCCCAAGACAATGTCCCATTAAACCTAATTAGCCAAAGCCTTTATTCCTAAACTGCCTCTACTCAGGGGAAGTTTTAACTTTTGGTTTTCAAATGAGCTAGAGGTACTTAAAATGCTCTCCCCTCTTCATTTGGCAGCAAAAATAGCTTATTTTTGAGTACAGTCAAGGGTACTTTAAGAAGTTGGTGTAAAATTTTGATACAGCCCATGAACATTTTAATGTTATCTTGCAACATTATATGAGAAATGGGTAGCTGCTCAGATGAGAAATTCACTTTCTTTCCTTTTGTGCAAAGTCTCAATACAAATGCCGTCTAAACCACCAGCATCTAAATAGTTAGAAACCATTTCCTTTATTAGCTTTGTAAATTACTATCATTAGAATCCCCTTGCTCTGCTTTCACATGACCCTTCTTAAGAAACAATTACAGTCTATCAGTAATAGAAGCAAGTCTTTCCAAGGACATCCTCTATATTACCACTAAATTCTTTCATCTCATTCCAATGACAACAACTTTTAGGGATGTTAATCAAAGCTGACTTGGTTACACTCTTGAAATAGAAGCCTTTCAGGTCAAGTCATTTATTTATTATCAGAATAAATGTGTGTGTGTGTGTGTGTGTGTGTATGTACACAGATAAGATTTCATTGTAAAAGTCATGACATCTCTCCTGTTTCAAATCCCACTTCAAATAAGGCATTTTCCAGAGCATGTGACAGTGATGCCCTGTAATGCTTTTGACACAGCATCATTGAAGCCATGCAGCTGTTTATTTCTCTTTTTACTCAAGTGCAGGTTAGCCACACATGAAGGAAAAAACATACTTATGAGCTATAGTCTGAAGCAGAAGAATGAAAGAATAAAGCACAAGAATGAAAGCAATTCACTTCGTTGACAGCCAAGAAGTCATCTGAATGTATTATAAGCTTTTCTTCAAACCTGGAGCCTGCTGTGCAAGGTATGGCACTCCCTACCCACCTCACCCCCACTAAACTTTGAATAGCTGTTTATTTCTATCATTTTTTTAAAAAAAAAAGATTGATGCTTTTAAAACATGTTTCTTCTCAGTATAGCATCCCACCAAAACATCGCAGAAAACTCTGTTTTATTTCAAGACCCTACCTGCTGGTAAGCCTGTGATAAGTTTAAGACTTCATAATAAATCCTTTCATTTTAATACTAGGCGGTGTACTGTTTTGCTTTAATCCTCTGCTGAAGCTTATCTATTATTCTCTTGCCTGCTTTACATATATTTATAACCCTTTCATCTTTTTGAATTGTACATTTTGAAAGCATTCAGCTTAGGAAAAGTTGTTCCCACCCCAGAACTCAATTGCTCAGAAAAAAAGACTTTTGTTGTGCTGCCTGAACCACGAAGCTGCAACAGCAAACATGCTACCCCTACCCTGGCTTCAGGACGTGCCTTACTTAAGGCAAATTAATGATCATAAATATCCTGCCATGGATACCTACCATATGCTAAAGACATTAACGATAGCATCGCATGGCAATAAGTCAGCCATCCCTCGCTTTGATCAGCCTATGTTTCGGAGATGCTAAAAACATAATGATGCTTGTCTTTTTACTCCACATCCAACCACCAAAATTCACACCTTTAAATACTATTTAAATACTATTTACAATCCCACTGCAGACATCACAGTAAGATCAACTTTCACAATGCACATAACTCACAGTTCAACACACATTTATGACATGAACAGGGACCATTCTCACATCAGCACATGGTTGCTACAGGGAAATACCTCTCAGCTGCCATAGTCTATGATGAGCTAGTCATATATACCCGCTGTCATGCATAGACAAAAGTTGGTAGTCAGCATATACTTTGCTACAACAGAATGCGGTAATAGCCACCAATCTTAAAATTGGATTAGATAAATTTTTGGAGGATAAGGCTATCAATGGCTACTACTCATTATGATGACTATATACGCCTTTCAAGATAAGAGGCCTCCGAACACGAGTTGCTGGGTAGGAGGGTGGGGGAAGCTACAACAATAGGAGAGGTCTATTGCCCTTAAGTCCTGCTTTTGTGCTTCTCTGAGTTATTTACTTTGACATGATGGGAACCTGATTGCTGGACTAACTAGGACTTCAATCTAATCCAGGAGGGCTCATCTTCAAAGTGTTAACGAGCTGAACTAGAACTTGCAAGTTTAGTTCTGTTGAATTAACCCTATAGAATGTAAGTGTCAACAAACTGGATTGTGAGTGGAATAATTTATACAAACAAATAAAAATATAACAGAAAAAACTATAACTGACTAAGAGTTAAATCAGAACAGCAAAAATGAGTCCTATCAGTGATCACTGCTGTGAAGGAGTCACACTGTTCTTATTTACATAGATGTGGGCTTCTACAGGTGAAACTCAAAAAATTAGAGTATCGTGGAAAAATTCATTTATTTCAGTAATTCAACTTAAAAGGTGAAATCAACACCAGCTGATGGCATGGCTCCCCAAATCAACACAGACTGTGGAAACTTCACACTGGACTTCAAGTATCTGGCATTGTGTGCCTCCCCATTATTCCTCCAGACTCTGGGTCCTTGGTTTCCAAATGAGATGCAAAAGCTGCTCTCATCAGAAAAGAGATTTGGCGAGCCATGTCATCAGCTGGTGTTGGTCTACTGTGCTTCATTAAGTCCAGGGTCAATGCAGCTGTCTACCAGGAGATTTTGGAGCACTTCATGCTTCCTTCCGCAGATGAGCTTTATGGGGATGCTGACTTCATTTTCCAGCAGGACTTTGGCACCTGCCCACACTGCCAAAAGTACCAAAACCTGGTTCAATGCCCATGGGATTACTGTGCTTGATTGTCCAGCAAACTTGCCTGACCTGAACCCCATAGAGAATCTATGGGGCATTGCCAAGAGAAAGATGAGAGACATGAGACCGAGCAATGCAGAAGGGCTGAAGGCTGCTATTGAAGCATCCTTGTCTTCCATAACACCTCAGCAGTGCCGCAGGCTGATAGCATCCATGCCACGCCGCATTGAGGCAGTAATTGATGAAAAGGGGCCCAAACCAAATACTGAGTACATATGCATGCTTCTACTTCTCAGAGGTTCAATATTGCTCTATTTGCAATCCTTGTTTTTGCTGATTTCATTTAGTATTCTAATTTTCTGAGATTGTTAATTTGGGGTTTTCATCAGCTGTACGCCATGATAACCACAATTATAACAAATAAAGGCTTGACATAACTCGCTTTGCATGTCATGACTCTATCTCATATATTAGTTTCACATTTTAAGTTGAATTACTGAAATAAATGAACTTTTCCACGATATTCTAATTTTTCGAGTTTCACCTGTACATAGGCCTACCATTACCCTTTTCAGTTTACAGCCTTTTGGTTTTGTGTACAAAGAGAGGGGGAGCACTCTGGTGCCTAGCAGCTACAGATAAATTCATAATGAAGATGAAGTGCGCTCTGGTAACAAAAACTCAGAAAAAAAGAAATGTGTTAGTGAGAGGACTCTGCTGTTTTAGTGCTGCAAACTCAAACTTTTTGAGTTTTTGCAATGGTATTGTTATGTGTGTGTGCTAGTCGGAACTCACCATGAATGTCTCCCTTGTTCTCTTATAAGGCCAATGGTGTCCAAATGAGAGGTGCCGGAACTGAGTTCTGCTTGCTGTGTCCAGATCAGCAAGAGTTGTTCAGATTAGCCAATTCACTTCCAGTTGATAGCATTTGTCACCTTTTCTTTTTTTGCTTTCTCTTACCCCTATACGAATAAAGGTTCTGTTCTCTCTCTCTTTACAAAGCACCTATTTCCACCAGCCCTCAAGATTATTTTGAGAATCATTTAGTCCATAAAGCCTTTCCTGCATTACCATAAGCAATGGCTTTAGAGTGCTTCTTTCTACTAGTTAATACACTTCTGACCTTTCCTAACTACTCCTTTATATCCTTCAGTTCTGCTTCATCCAACTTGCTTAGAACACATGGCACTTGATGTGTCCTCACTTTAGTATCTTTTCATATCTAGCACTATGTAAAAGGATAAAATATCTCCTCTTCACTTTTCTCAAATTATGCACAATTTTATATATATCCTCTCCCTATTAATTTGCATGGTCTTGAAATCATGTTCAGCACCCTGAAGTTCCCAGGCATTTAAAATAATAATAATAATGGTATTCCTTTAGCTATCATCTCACCCTCTAAAAGAGAGGCTGGTGTTAAGAGACATTTACATTTCAAAATGTGTGGTTCAGCAATTTTAAAATTGAGACCTTCCAGACTCAATCTATACCTAGCGACATATTGCTGCTTAATCTATTTACTCTAAAACCTCTTACACGAAGCTTCTGATGTGTGGGGATTCATTAAATTTGTCATCTGAAAGTGATATTTAAGATATGAGTACCTCACCAGCATCTTTAGTGAAGATAGATGCTAATTATTCATTTGGTTCTGGCAGGGATCCTGCTTTTAATGCTTTTCACTTTCTTATTGTTTGATTATAAAAAGGGAAAGAAAGCCATTACTTACTGAGCCATTCTACGAACCACTATGAACTGACATCACTTTATAGGATTGACTTTTAGAGTCTCACCATTTCTGATATGCTGGGAGGCGTTGTTCCCTTCCTGTGATGTAATACAGCTGCACTGATTTGACTGGGGCACTCAATAGGCCCCACTGTTTACCATGGGTACAAATTATTGTGATGTCTGTGACCAGAAAACCCACTGCATCTCATATATGCAGAAATCAGTTGCCATTACTGAGGGTTGGGACATACTCTGCCTAGTGCGATGGTAGCCAGTTTCCCTCAATTTGACAGTACGGGACCTGAACATCTACACTTGGTCTTATATGTATCTGTATGTTTATAGCACTGTATATAATACATAAATGCATAGGGCAAACATTTTGTGTAACAAGAATTCCTGCAATTGCAGTCATGAGTGTCTGCATGTACCCTGTTTATAAGATTATGTGTGTCCATAGGACTGAAGTTGTTCAAACAGGAAATCTGTGAACAGGTGGAAGAAATGCAGTAATGGCATGAGCTTCTGTGTGAATCAGACCTAACTGAGATATATAAAAAAGCATTAATATGCTGGATATACACAACATGTTCTACTCTTATATGCTTCACATTTGAACAGCTCAGCATTGCCATTGAAAACAAGTGCTGGGTTTAAGAATGGAAAAATGTTTGAGATGCAGGAGTTCATAATACGAGTCCCCCCATCTCAAATAAGGTTGATCAAAGGTTCCTTTGAGCTTTCTCCAACTAGATGGGGATAACTGTTTGTAGCCAGAGACTGGGCCCTTTCAATTGTTGCTGTCAGGGACTGGGCAGAGGAGGAATGGTGGAAATCACCTCCCCATCCTGACCCTTCCAGGGAGGAGGAAGAGGAAGACAGTATAGATTTACAACAGTGGTTTGTGGGAGGTCACAGCTCAGAGGCATATAAGGGGGAAAGTTGGGAAATAATGGGAGAGGAGGAGGAGGAGAGGGAGGAAGCGGAGCGACAGCTGACTGACACAGTGTCATTTGAAAGCATCCCAGACCCTCCATCTCCCAGAACCCAGCGAGCCTTGAAAGTAGGAGAGCAAAGAGCTCAAAGACAGAAGGAACGTAGCAACACCTGCAGAAGTGATGAATGAGGAAGTGGGAGAGATGGGGTGGTGGAGATTCACTCAGGACAATGCCATTATCCAAGAGGCTGGGTCTATAGCCCTCTCTGTAAATATTGAATAACAAAGGATGGTAAGAAACTTTTTCTTGTCTTTATGCTTTCCTGGGCAACCAGCCAGGAGCAACTGACGGCAACCTGACAGGGGCTTTTTAAATAGAAAAATAGGTGCCAGTACTCACCATGAAGTTGTTACAGTAAGTGCCACACTTTTTAATAACAAAAAAGAGGTGCCAGTACTATGTACCCTTGGGTATCCCCTGAAAAAAAGCACTGGGTGTAAGATGAAGAAGGGGAAGGAACAGGTTAACAATGTGTCTCCAAAAACATCATTATGGGAGTGACAGGACTCTACACTTTTTTTGAACTAGAGCTGTGTACAAATGGACTCTAGAAATTACCCACCTTATTTGTAAGTAGAGAAAACGAGGGACCATTTCACTAAATCTCTTTGGGGAGGAGAAATTTACTGGAGGTGTAACTCACTATTACCAGTGACAGTAGCAAAGCATTCTTTTTCCAGCCCCAAAGGTATTGTGGCTGCTTCTGCTGCAACAAGTGGAAGCAGCAGCAACTACCTTAGTAGATGTGGCTTGCTGGGCATCACAAAAGCAGAGAAGAGTATTAGAGGGAAATTCCGCAAAGCAGCCTTCAGAGAAAAATATCAGAAATTTTATCAGAAAAATGTCTTCTGTGAAATATGATAACAGCTCTGCTTTGAGCCCCTATATCAATTATTTTCACCAAATAGAATTCATTCTTTTTTCATAATTCCTCACGTAAGTAACTATTCTTTTAAATTATAGCTTTTTTTGTCTTTATTTGTTACCATATTTTAAATTGTCATGAACTGCCCCATTGTTGGGTTGAAGTAATTTCTGTCACGTCAACCCTGGCGAACTTATTTCGGGCATTCGCTGGCATACCACATATCCCGAAGTATTTTTGTCTTATTCACCCAGAAATCATATAGTAACACCTCGCAAATAAGAAAAGAAAGGGGGAGATGCTGGGAAGTTTTTGCCTCTGCACATGAGTCTGAGAATGTTCTAAACAGTTCCCATTGAGTTCATGAAACAGTGTACCTTGACCTGTTCTTAATGCATTGCTGACCACATCTACGGAACATGATTGTTGTATTCTTTCATGTTATGATCAATCATTAGTAATTGTTTTAGTCTTGCTATATCAATCATTAGTTATAATTTAATTAGGAGGTTTCATGCCTGTCTAGTTCTGTGCTCCCTTTCCCAGCCTTTAATCTATTGGTGATTAATGCCTATATGTAACCCTTGCTCTGTACTTGTGTTAACCAATCAGCAACAAGTTGCTTTGTGTTTGTATCAACCAATCAGCAACAAGCGCACCTGTGGCAATGTTGTAATATTCAATAAAAGAGTCTTCTCAGGGCTTACTCCAGAGATGCCTCCCATATGACACTTGCTACTCGTCTGTCGTTATTTAAACCCAACATCTGGTGACCCCCGACGTGCCAGATCCCTTCATGCAGCCTCATACTTCACTCGACTGGAAAAGTCTCAGCGCGCTACTCCGTGAGTATGGGGGGGAGCTTACAAAGTCCCAAAAAGAGCATGCTAAAGAACTGTTTCATTTAGTCAGACAGAGAGTAGCAGGTGCGCATATTTCCTTAAAAGAAATTGAATGATTGTTATGTCATATCGCTTGTGAGTGCCCCTGGTACCCAGAAATAGGGTCCTTGGGGATGGAAACTTGGCAAAAGATCGAAAAAACCCTCTTTGCAGAACCGAGGGCTCCAATTCATTGTCTGCTCACTTGGCAGAAATGTGCAGATGCCGTTGCTAAATTAGGACCTCAGGCGTCTCCCTCGGCCCCTGCCCTTTTAGCCGTTGCAGACAATCCCCCACCTTACCCCAAGCTTTTGCCCCCTTCGCAACCCTGCCAATCCCTTCCTACGTCTCAACCGTCTCAGCCTGCATCCTCCTCCCCCCATCCCTCCTTCGCCTGCCACAGCCCCTGTTTGCTCTACAGGAGCTGTGCGCGCTGCGCTTTCTCTGGCTAGGCAGAAAGGGCTCCTGTCCTTAGAGGAAGAGTCTGAATGGGCTGGTGAAATGCCATCTGCTTTCCCTATCACCTATACAAACCCAGGAACTGCTCAACAGCAGGTATTGTACGAGACGCTTCCTTATTCTGTAATGAGAGAATTAAGGAAAGCCATTACTGATTCCGGTCTAAAATCCTCTTATGTAATAGGAATGCTAGAGGGAATAGCAACTGGTTATACAATGCTACCTCAAGACTGGAAAGACCTGATGCGCATGCTTTTATCCCCGGCTCAGTATGTGGTGTTTGAGAGTGAATTTAAACATAGCGCATCAGCCCTGTCTGATCCGCAGTATACAGCCAATCAACTTTATGGTGCGGGTCAGTATGATAATATACCAGCCCAGGCGACACTGACACCTTTACATTTTAGTCGCACCGCGACCTGTGTACAACGAGCCTTCCGGAAAGTCTCTGTCTCAGGGGAACCGCTGAGCTCCTTTGTCAATATTAAGCAACAGCATTCGGAGCCCTACCATCAGTTTATAGATAGATTGAAAGAATCAGTCACTAGGCAGATTGATAACACTACAGCTCAAAATGAATTGATGAAAAAATTGGCCTTTGAAAATGCAAACACCGATTGCAAGAAAGCGTTGCAGTCCATCATACATCACCCTAAATATGACCTGGCTGATATGATTCAAGCTTGTGCGGATGTCGGTAGCCAGAGCCATGCGATGTCTTTGCTTGCCGGCGCAATCCAAGCTAACAATAAACCTACAGGCAATTGCTTTAATTGCAAGCGCCCAGGCCATTTTGCTAAACAATGCAGAGCCCCTGGCGGGGGGGCAAGCAGGGATGCTGCTGCCAACAAGGCTAGACCTTCCAAAAAATGCCCGAAATGTGGAAAAGGCTATCATTGGGCAAATCAGTGCAGGAGTCCGGGAAACTCCTTAGGGGCCCCACTCCCGGGCCAGGACAAATAGGGAGCCCTCCACCGTTAGTCTCCACTATTAAAACCATCTCAAAGGATACACGCTCTGATTTTACCATTGAATTGATCAACCAAGAGACCAAAGACACTGTTTTACCTGGAGAAATTGTGCTTATGCCCACCCAATTGGCAGGCCCACTACCTCCTAAAGTCGCAGGCTTAATTTTACCCAAATTTTCTGCGGCCAAAGAAGGAATCCAGGTTATTCCAGGAGTTCTGGATCCTGACTATGTGGGCACAATAATGGTTCAACTTTGGAGCCACATGCCCATGCAGTTAAAAAAGGGTGAGTCCTGGGCGTATTTGGTGATGCTCCCTTCTCATCCTACTGCTTCTATTATGGATAGTAATTTGCACGAGCTCTCTCCTTTTCCCCCACAGCTGTTAGCTGTAATCCAGCGGATTGGTGAACAGAAGCTTCTTCGTAAGTATAAAATCAATGGCAAGGTTCTGGAAGGCTTGACTGACACAGGCGCAGACATTTCTGTAATTTCCAGTAGTTGCTGGGACCCCACGTGGCCCCTTGAGTCTGCCTCTGCAGTTTGGGGTGTAGGTGGACCTCAAACCTCTTCCAAAAGCGTACAGTGGCTGCCTGTTTCTCTGCCTGATAGCTCTGAAACCATTGCATATATCCAGCCCTGTGTTCTGAAAATCCACCTCAATCTGTGGGGCAGAGACTTACTACAACAATTACAGGCTACCATTCAATTTAATGAGTAAGCTTGCACTCCCCCTCCACTGGAAATCAACCACCCCGGTATGGGTAGAACAATGGCCCATAACGGGGGAAAAGCTACTTGCTTTAAAACAATTGGTGAGTGAACAATGAAAAGCATCATTTGTCCCGCTCTCGATATCGCCACTCTGTGGAATTGACTAATGATTGTGATGATTTTGTCTCTCTTCCCAGTAGGTCTGAATATATCTCTTTAGCTGATTCTCTCTTAGGAGTCCCTGGATTGGCTGTACAGAATCGTATGAACATTAATTCTTTAGCTTGTTCTGCAGCAAAAGCCCTGAATTTTACTTCACAAGCTCTTCACCTTTTGAACAAAGAACAGAGTGAACTCCACCATGGACTTTTACGAAATCGTGCTGCTATCACTATTTGCTCATGCTTCATCATTATGGCTGTGAACAAGTGAATGACATGTGTTGTTTCAATATTACTGATAATTCTAAAGCCATTCAAAGCCAAATCTCTCATTTGCAAAATCTTACACACCACATTAAACAGGACGTTGGATTTTCTGGCCTCTGGGATTCTTTCACCCAGTGGCTTACCGCTTGGTTACCAAACCTGACTTGGCTTCGTAATCTCTTTCAATATGCCATTGTCATTATATGTATATTAATTTTGCTATGTTGCTTCCTCCAATGCATTCCTGGCCTCATAAGTCTTTTGTCTCGGCTTCTCTCTCCCCCTCAGCCACCCAATAAACTCCTTGCTGCCTACTTTGCGAAATGGCAGCACCAACAGTAAACATTAGGGGAGATGTGGGCAGACTTATTTCGGGCATGCGCTGGCAGACCACGTATCCCGAAGTATTTCTGTCCCGTCAACCCTGGCGAACTTATTTCGGGCATTCGCTAGCATACCACGTATCCCGAAGTATTTTTGTCTTATTCACCCAGAAATCATATAGTAACACCTCGCAAATAAGAAAGGGGGAGATGCTGGGAAGTTTTTGCCTCTGCACATGAGTCTGAGAATGTTCTTAACAGTTCCCATTGAGTTAATGAAACAGTGTACCCTGACCTGTTCTTAATGCATAGTTGACCACATCTATGGAACGCGATTGTTGTATTCTTTCATGTTATGATCAATCATTAGTAATTGTTTTAGTCTTGCTATATCAATCATTAGTTATAATTTAATTAGGAGGTTTCATGCCTGTCTAGTTCTGTGCTCCCTTTCCCAGCCTTTAATCTATTGGTGATTAATGCCTATATGTAACCTTTGCTTTGTACTTGTGTTAACCAATCAGCAATGAGCGCACCTGTGGCAATGTTGTAATATTCAATAAAAGCTTCTTCTCGGGACTTGCTTGAGAGACGCCTCTCACATGACACCTGCTACTTGTCTGTCGTGATTTCATTCCAACACCCCATTATAACTATTATTATTATTTAATTAAATTTATATAACACCCTATACCTGCAGGTCTTAGGGCAGTTCACAAGATAAAATTGCAAAATAAAAACACAAAATACATAAGCAAAATTTATATAAGCAGAAACAGCCAAATAACCCCCCTCAAAACACATAAAAACCTTTAAAAACAATTCATTTTTGTAAAAAATAAATAAATTTTAAAAAATTAAAAACACAATTTAAAAGCAATTTAAAAGAATGTTAACAGTACTCTCTGCTGGGCAGCAGCAGTTCTTTTGTAGTCTGTCTTGTGGAGAAAAGCAGGAGGGGAAAGATACAAACTGTACAAAAAAAATAAATACAAATAAGCTAGAATGGTATCCTAGACTGATGCTTATGTACTCACTGGAACACTTTCTAGCTAGAATCTGTTACAACATTTTTATGGATGTCATTGAACATCTAATGGCTATCAAACAGTATAGTTCATATATTCTTCTCTGGAGCCCCATGTCCAAACAATTGATGGTGGCCTGTAAGAATGGTAGAGCCATCCATAGTATATCATCACATATCAATATACTTGTTACTTCTAGGAATATTTCCCAGTCTAGGAAAATTGGATTCCCTGTGTTTTTCAATAATGTGCTGAACTGGAAACATGGAAATTCCCATACAGATATGCTTCGCAGCTCCTAACTTATTTCCTGAATTTTTTATCCTATCAAGGATCTCAGGCTATCATACATGATTTTCCCCTCCCAGCCCACACCCCATTTTTACTTTTATAACAACCCTATCAGGGAATATGGCTAGCCCAAGATTACCCAATAAGCTTCAGGACTGAGTAGAAATTTGAACTTTGTCACTCCAGTTTCAGCTAAAGACTAGCCATTACATCAGTCCGGCTTTCACAAGATACCTTATTAACATCACCATTTGCTAGGATGCAATTGTGGTCTCTAGGGCTTGAAAAATACAAGGCAAGACAGGGAATACTTGAACGTTCCAGAAATTTAAAAAAAAAAAAAAAAAAAAAGGTTTGTAGCTAATGGTGTTGTTTTATGCCCTGTGTTTTTGAAGAAATATAAAGTGCATATCTGATCCAAAGCAAGATAAATTACATTAGAGACCAAGATTGCATCTTAATACATCTTGTTAAGTCGTATTAAATATTAAACTTCCTTGACAGGTGGACAAGAATAAGGACTCTTCTGTGGCTTACCCCATTGGCATTTTGTTTAAAGAAAGCTATAATTTACAGCATACATTGTAATTTAATAAATTTCAGAAAAATTACTTTCCTATAAATATCAATAAAGTGAAGAGAATATGAAAAATGAGAAGTTAAAAACAAATCTATAATGGGCAGGGGAAAGGGTAGCCATAAGATTGGTCATTGGATGAAAGCAATTGATCAAATCATTTAAATGGCATCAGGAAGCTCAAGTGGATAGGAATTTAATTACTTCTTTAAGAGGAGGCTAAAAGGCAAGGAAATGAAATCTTAATACCAGTTTATATGTTGGAATGACCCTGTATGGCCACTGGGTGTCATCCTTGATTCAAACGAGGAGTAAAGACCTTCCAGACACAGCATAACACCTGCAACTTCAACAGCAGTTAAATTCTACTCTATTTGATTGTATGGGATACAGCAAATTGTTCTGCATTTAAATCAGCAATAAAATGGAATACTCTGACATAGACAAATTCACTTTTGTCTCACTCCCTTATTTGGAGACCTGGAACATCCTGGTGATGTAGGAAGCAAAAAGCAGAAAAACACAAGGATGTGATTGCTCGAAAACAATATGAGGACTAATCTTAAAGTCCCAAATAAATGCTAATTACTAAGGCTAATTTTGAAGGTTTCACATTTCCCATGGTACCCAGATTTAAACTGTATTTGCTTTCCTAGATTTCCCTCCCCACTGTTTATGTTTGAGCATGGAAGGACATGAGAATTACTGGTTTATGTGACTGAAAAGCGCATGCTGTACACTGATGGTACTATAAAATACTTGTACTACTAAGATACTCCAGCAGATATTGCATTTCCATTGCTTTGTTCTGCTGTGTTTCTGTGTTCTGTCTTGTTTTTAGTTTTAAAGATTGCACATACAGTTCTACAGGTGTACAATCCACATTATTACCATTCTTATGTTTTCAGAAATTATGGCAAAACATAGCCTTTTTCAGTATTTGAAATAAAGGAAATCATTGTATAAGTGGCGTTTAACCTTTTATGCCAAATAATGTTGGAAATCCATAGTTAATAGCTCCGCTCCACGGACTATACTGTCAGTCATAGTTTATTATGAATATCCAGGAAAGGTTGATCTAGAATATAAACCTAGTCAGCATATGCTACAGTTCTTTTGCTTTGCAAAGGCATGGTCTATGCAGCTTTGACTAGTTTCTTAAATGGGGAGGTACAAAAAATGCCTTTTCCAGAAGGCATCAGGTCTGGCAAAACTCATGCCCCTAAATGTTGTGGGCTGAAGAGATGAGGCATTCAGGTCCCAGAGCATCAATGTTTTACATAATAATGGTAAGTAACGGGTTTCCCAAAACTGTCTAATTCAAGTATGCTCCTCCTCCATCTCAGACCCATCACTTCATTCCCCATCCTCCAACTCAGGATAACAGAAATAGATTCAGGCGGTTGTTTGCTAGGCAAAAGTTATCTATGTGCAGGTGTTGTTCTTTTTATTAGGGCTTGTCTTTAGCTCTGAAGCGCTTTCCACATCCTCTTCAGAAGGGGAGTGCTGTTACAGACTTAGCATGTTACTTGGGGGACCTGGAGGGTGGATGCTCTCCTGATCACTCAATGCTGAGGGATGAGACCCCAAAGCCTTGCTCTGCCCAAGCATCTCAGCTGAAAGGTCCAATAATAAGGTGCTTTTCATCTGCATTGAGATCCTCTGACTTAAACAAAAGAATTGACAGGCCTTGCTTGAGACTAGACATGGGGACTCCTGAAACACCACAAACTCATCCTCAGATGTGGATGAGTCTAAATTTGATGGCAAAATATGTTACCTGTCGTCGTCTGAGAGTCATGTCTTGCTCACGATAGAAGATGTGAAGGAGTTCCAGGCTCTCTCTCAAGGCCTGTGGATTTTGGACCTTCTCCAAGTCTACAAAAGCCGTGCAGGAGAATTGACCACACCCTCCCTAGCTCAACTGAGCTAACACTGTCACCGTGTGTCTACTCAGCTGGAACTGGGACAGTCCACCGCCAAAGCATGTGTGTGTGTGTGTGTGTGTGTGTGTGTGCGTGCACGTGCGCACTACAGTTAGGAGGTGCTGCAGATCCTGAATCCTAGCTAGCACATACCCACAAGTGCTCCGACAGCAGCTACTGCTGAGCTTGATGAGAAACATGCACACTGAGTTGTGAGAGGTAGTCAATCTTTTCCTAGATGCCTTTCCCATTGTTTTGATGCACACCTTGCCTTCACCAGAGCAACAGAAAGGCAATTGAGGTGTGGAAGGGAAGGGGCCAGAAAGACTATAGAATTTTTTATTTTTTTTTTAGAATGCTGAGAGGGGGGGATGCAGAGAATTTGGCTCAGAAGCAGATGGAAATAATATTAGCCAGAAATTTAATCAAGGAACCTTTGGAAAGGACTGAGGTGGCCGTGGGGAGAGAAACAAGCACCAGTCACAGCTAAGAAGCTGACTGAGAGATTTAAAAAAATCAGAAAAGGAACAGGTGGAGAGGCTAACCTCACACACAACAAAGAAGTCAAGGAAAAGGACAAAATACACAGGCCTAGGGAAGAGGACACAGACAACAGCAGACCTAAATCAAATGGTCTGCTCCAAGCAAAGACAGGAAATGAACTGAGGCCTCGAAGAGAGGGAAAGGCAACAATTTCATTCTAACAGAGTTTCTTTCCTTTGAGCAGTAGGGGGAGCTAAGCCTATTGGAAGAAATTCAACACCCAAGGGAGAAAAAACACATTACAACAAATGCTCCTAAAATAGAACGTTTCACAATTTACACTTTAGTCATCTATGTGATGGTTCTTGGATCTTTCTGTCCCAAAGAAAGCTGAAAATGCTTCCTCCTAGAGCATTTTTAAAACAGACCTGCAAATTTCAAACAAGGTTACAGGAGAGTAGTGGCTGCAAGCATTTTATACATCCAATAGAACATAATTGGCATTGCTAGTATTCTGTGAGAAGCAATAACCTTGTAACCCCAACTATTTTTATTTCTTTAATTTGGATGATGGAAATTGCAGGGGGGGGGGTAATATTTCTGTCATGCTCCCTTTGTGCATAAATTACCAAAGACAATGTAAGAAGATCCATAAAATACATTTATACGGGACAGGAGAGGCGACATAGACAAGTGAAAGAAAAACAAAGAAAATAGTTTAAAGAAGGAACAAACTTCTTGGCATTTATCTCAAGCAAATCAGAATCTCCAAGAATCAGCTTGTAAATTGCTGTTATCTCCCATAATGAGTTCTTCTCAATTAGAAGTACTAAAAATGATTCCAAGAATTAATCAGAATTATTGTGTCTAGACTGTTGTGAACAATATTATCTGTCTAGACAGCCTTGCTTATAATGCAGTTGTGCTTCTACCATAACTACTTTTACTCTGAGATTTAAACTTCCTAATTCTAGCTAATATCAAAATATAAACCAGCAGTGTCTTAAAACATTAGCACTAGAAAGAAATATTTACATTTGTTAAGATCTTTTAAAATATATAATGCTACTATTCTTAAAGAATGTGATGTACTGAAAAATATTTGTTTTCATGCAGCAAGCGTACCATCGAAGAGCACTTAATTTTCATAGATTATAAAGGCTTTGATAATGCATATCTTTGCCTAATGCTTCCTAGCTTTATAGTTGGATATAATTTTAATGAAAACATGACACTATTAAAAAGCCATTAGCCACAGAGCTGAATTTCTCTTTGATTTTGTTCACAAACCAAAGACATTAAAGATACTATTTAAAAGAATAATTTTAAAAATCAAAACTACTCTATTAAAGCATCTATTTGACCTGACTTGGGGTTACTTATTTTTAAACATTATTTTTTCACTATTAGATGCATTTATAGGAGAAAGCAGATTCCCAGCAGACTGACATTGGATGAACTCCTCAATGCAAAGCTTTGGGATGGCTTCCCTAAACGGTGACTGATGCTACCATGCTACCAAACTGTGGAAGATTTGGCTTAACAACCCTTCCAGATATTTAGGGGGGGGTGTATGTACACACATACAGTGAGCCTGCCACTTATGTGAGTGTTCGGTTCTGGGGGTCTACATGCAAAGATAAAATTGCGAAAAGTCAGGTACCCGCAGAACCGCCCTGTCCCACAATGTGGAGTGCTGCTTACTGGGGCCTGGGAAGATCGTAGGAAGGCCCCAAGAACTTCTCAAAGCCTTCCTGTGAATATCCCAGAGCCCGGAAGCGTGAAGGCATATTCCTTAACAGGCTCTGCGATACTACCAGAGTCCCCACACTGCCTTCCCAAAGCACAGTAAGCAAGGAAAACCCACTGGGTCACTGGTGGTGGGAAAAATAAATAAGTGGAGAGTAATGGGTTTCCCCCATTTACTTATTCATCTCCCATCATGTGTAAGGTTGCAATTGCTTAAGTAAAGCAAGCACAAGTTGTGGGCTTACTGTACACACCCACACCCCTTTATTCTTTATTTACAAATTCTGCTGCCACCATAACATCTTTAATAATATTTTATCTTGTCCACTTTATATGTAATTTATTGAAACTTATTTTTTCTTTCTTTTATTATAAACTACCCTCGGGACTGTAGTATAAGGTGATGATTGAATAATGGAATGAACATGCACAGGTGTTTTAAAATGTTAAAGGAATATATTTGCATGTATTAAACTCTTTGTTTATACAGGGTGAGATTCAATGAAGCCCAGGTTGTCATCCACTCATGCAATGGGGCTTCTACTTCCTCTTCTCTTTGCTGAACTGCACTGCAAGTGCCTATGATCAGCTCTGGAAAGTTGGTGAACCCTCCAGAGCAGATATAGGTGGCAAGAGGGGGCTGCAAGTGGGTGAGAAGAGAAACTGAAGACCCATTGCACATGCAGACAAACAGCACTGGATGCTGCCCATACAATATATATTAATAGACTAGACGACCACAGAGACTAGGGCTTGCCGATCAGAAAGTCGGTGGTTTGAATCCCTGCAACGGGGTGAGCTCCTGTTGTTCAGTCTCTGCTCCTGCCAACCTAGCAGTTTGAAAGCATGTCAAAGTGCAAGTAGATAAATAGGTACCGCTCTGGCGGGAAGGTAAACAGTGTTTCCGTGCGTTGCTCTGGTTTGTCAGAAGCTGCTTAGTCATGCTGGCCACATGACCCGGAAAAACTGCCTGCGGACAAACGCCAGCTCCCTCAACCATAAAGCGAGATGAGTGCCGCAACCCCAGAGTCATCCGTGACTGGACCTAACGGTCAGACGGCCCTTTACCATTACATTTAAACTGTTTCTGATTCAAATTTGTACTATTATATTAAGGAATCAGTTATATTCTTATCTCAGTTTATTGTCCTGATTAAAATCCCAGAAATGCTAAAGAACAAGACTTGAAGCTCTCTCTCCAGAAGGGCCGGCCCACCCAAGAGGCAGGCTGAGTCAGCCGCCTCAGGTGGTAGAACACTATGAGGAACACTATGAGGAAGGGCAGGGCCCCTGCCCACCCTGCCATTAGTGAAGAAGCAGCAGTGGCCACTCCAATATCACCAGAAACTGCCATCACCACTGCTGCTTAGTGGGCGCCACCACATGGCCCAAGTAAAGAGGTGGTGGCGGCATGGCAACAACATCTTTACATTTCAGACTGCACCTGCTCTCTGATTCAGTACTTAATGGAAAGATACAGGGCTGAAAAGATCTGGCAAGTTTCCTTCAGCTTCTCCTGAAGTTTGTCTTTGGGTCAGGTCATACATGTGTCTTGTCTTAAGCCTTATTGTTTCCTGAGGCCAACTGCCTCCTGCTGTCACTCTCATACCTTCTGCCTTCCTTTCATCTCAACTCCTGTTCCTCTGCCTGCTACTTCCTCGGGCTCTTTTCTGCCTGAACTGTTCACAGTGCCCATGCAGGCCACACATTGATCCTTTAGCAATTCTGGGAGTGTGCTTTTATACAATTTCAGACCTTTCACCAACAATCACTTCTATTATCTGACATCCCATTGGTTTATAACTATGAGTCAATGTGAGCCAGCAGAATGTTAATTAACTGGCCTTTCATAACGTGACCTTTTGAATCCTCCTATCTTGTATAAATGCTGACAGGTTTAACTATGAACCACAAAGGCCTATAACAGCTTCTCTGTATATGCAGCAACTGACAGCAAGCTGCTTATAACCCCTTACACTTACCTACTTCTAAATACAATATTACACACTCACACATTTATTACCATATTACTTTCTGCTCTCCATATTTTCATAGCATTTTTTTAAAAAAAGCTATCTCAGTCTTTGTCAATTCTCCATACTATATAGTCAGTAAAACATGAGACTCTTGATCTCAGGGTCGTGGATTTGAACCTGTTATTGTGCTTCTAGCACACTCTTGCAGTTCTATCACACAGAAGCGAAAATATATTTCATGCATTTATTTATGCATTGCGGTATTCTTTCAGTGTGATCAGTCCCAGTGCCATAGTCTTAGAAAATCAAGGCTGTTTAAAACAACAAAGAATACTCAAGGAAGTAGAAGCAGTTAGTTCCTAGGAAGCTATTTTTCAAAATGAAGAATCACGAGTATGAAGGAGGTGGTTTTCTTGATTACTTGATTCCCTGGTTAAAAGAATACCGCTAAGAAATTTTGGTTTGCTGCTATGTATGACTGAGCTGATATCAATCTCCATGAAGGCAAAATAGACTGTGTGTGCACATAAACAAAGCAAGTTATCACAATTTTGAAACAGCAATTCAAACACCATGCTTGTTTTATCTCTTCAGATGGGTTTTATTTGTCTAAAAAGTATTAACACTGTTACTTGTAAAACTGTGTATTCCTGCAAAATAACACTGGCTGGTTTACAGCATCATCTTATAAATGAATGCTCAGGGGAAAAAACTTTTCTGGAAGTAAGTGTGTATAGGACTGCAACCTTAGTGTACATTTCCATTTGTAGGGTTGGGTTTAACACACAAAAATAAATGAATTGTATATGTTAGTACACACACAAATAAAAAAAATGTGTTTAGCAAACTCTTCATTATTAGGATAGTTTTTTGAAAATGTGAAAGATACTTACGTTGGTTTTACAGTCTGGGAATGTTTCTCATGAATGAAAGCACCGGCTAGACCTCCTGCTCCCGAATTGAGGTACTGTAAGATAGAAGTCAGCATTTACATATATTTTTAGTTTTATCGTGCATGAAAGCATAACTGACCTCTCTTTGGAAACTGCAGACTGACTTTGATTTAAGTATAATGTGAGCGAGTGTGAACCGGTAAGGAAAGTGTTCCTTAAAACAGCTTTATATTTTAAATTGCATAGCTTCTTGTAATATTGGCTAAGAGCACGTAAAGTGGTTTCTTCAGATGATGCTCCATATTAGTGGATTTCCATTTCCCTACAGTCTTGCAGAACCTTCAGCATATTTTGAAAGCGTTTCTTCATGACCATGTTTTGAATTGCCAACTGTTGAGGGCAAAGCTGTACTGAAGCAGCTTACCCAGCTTACATGTATTTAAAATGTAATACATATAACACAGGTTTATATGAAGCAAATAATGAACAGTTCTCTTCAGTCTTTAACCAACTGTTCTGTTTGGCTGTTTTTGCAATATCTGTTGATATTTAACTGTATTACAAATACTCCAGAATACTAAAGACATTCTCACCTTATAGGAACACCAGCAGGCAAAGTCTACTCCCCATTCGTGTAAATGCAGTTCTACGTTGCCTACAGCATGAGCCAGGTCAAATCCAACAAAGCAACCCTTGTGGACAAAGAAGTGACTTTAAGTTTGCTTTGTATATACAGAAATCGTTATTTCCATGCAATGCAATGGTTGGAAAGCCACAAAATGACAACAATGGGCGCATCTGTCTAGAAATGATGCAAGAAGCATCACGACCCTTCCACAACTATGCTCTGTACAGCGCTATTGTAACAGGACTGCTAGCTGTGGCCCGAAAAATATGTGACACAACCACCAGTATACCAAAACCATTCAACCCCAAGACTTATGAAAGCAAATGCAACTCACAACCTAGATGGGGCCTGCCTGGAGCTACAGACTTCCTGTCAGCTCTTCTGTGGTGGGCTGGATTCACTTTGGTAGGATCTAATATTGTACATGCCTAGAACATGCTCTTTTCCTACCTGAGAATGCTAGTTGTGGGAAACATACCTGAACCCCCAGCAAAGAACAACTGCACATTGATTAAACAACAGCATGAACATTTGGGAAGTTTCAAGTATGTTGTTTGTTGGCAATGATGAACTCAGCCGCATTTACATCTGAGTAGATATGTATAGGATTGCTCTGTCATCTACTGTAGTTCCATACTATTGAAATAAGCTCCCCACAACTGGAAGCAAGCGAAGAAGCAAGTCTACTGAGGATTTCTGAGGGAAGGCAGGCTCTGCAGGGCCTTACGTGCATTTTGATGTGAAACTCCAAGAAAATACTAGAAATGAACTATGTAAGCATGCATAGAAATTACCACTTGATGGCAGCATTTTTAAAGTAAAGAATAATACAAAAAAATAGTATTATAAAGCTGCTGTATTCATGAAACTGAAGAATAACGATGGTACATTTTGTGCATGGACTACAAATTAAAGAATATCTTACTTTTTTTTTTAAAAAAAAAGGTCTCTTTATAAGCAAGGTGTGAAGATGAATAGTGAGGGCATAAATTCCTGTATCTTTACATAAAAATAGCACGAAAGCTTGAGACTATTGAGTTCTTTCTTATGCTCCATCTAAATTATTAAAACAATACTTCGGTATATTAAATCTCCTCTAAACTATGTAGCTCTCAGAAAGTAATTGCATTTATAAGTGTGATGTGCTAATTCTAATGAAGCCACTAATGAGGCTGTCAGCCTATAAAATTCTTTCAAAATGAAGGGATGAACTTGTAGGCCTCATCACTTGTCAAATGTAGCTAGAAATGATGGATTAAAGAAAACTATATAAGGGTGGGCAAAAGGGAGACAATATTCTATTGACAGGTTGCTAAGATTCTTGCAAAAAATCTGGACAGGGCAAGCATGATTTGAACTGGGAAGACATTTTGTATGTGATTTTGCAAGAAGGTGTACTCAGGAGGATAACCTAATGAAAGTTAATTATGGCTTAACTATGGATAGAAGTTGAGTATGCGTTACACATTTAAAACATGTTGGTGCGAAATTACGAGGCTTAGATAAAGGCAGATATCATCTCGTGACTAGGTAACATGCTGACTGAAAGTACTTGTCCTTCCTCTTTTCACAGCTTCTTATCATATGCAACTATGTAAATGAATCATCACACATAACTTCACAGCAAACAAGACTTCTTTTCAATAGAGTTAGTACAGTGACCTGTTTCACAGAAGCTTGTAGCCAATGCAGTGCTGAGTGTCCCATCAGCACAAGGATTTACACTTGTGCAACAAGACTTTCTCTTCCTCTCCTACGCCCCACACAAAATGCTCCTTCCCAAAATCTGCTCCAGAGGGTTTGGGGAAACCCCAGTACAGTTACAGGGGCTGTAAGGGGTCGGGGGGGGGAGGGGCGGGTAGAAGGGGAAATTTACACAAGTGTAAATCCTTGTGCTGACAGGATGCTTACTTGGTGCTGCGTTAGATGCAAGCCACACAATTCTAGCCCAACTGCATTGGCTGCCAATTAGACTCTGGGCCCAATTCAAAGTGCTGCTTTTGACCCATAAAACCTTAAATGGCTCAGGATATTAATATCTCAAGGACCGGCTTTCCCCGTATGACCTGACCCAGACGCTGCAATAATTCTGAGAGGCCTGGAGGGCAGCAATACAAGAAAGGGCCTTTTATGCAGTGGCTCCCCATTTGTGGAATGATCTCCCCAGGGTGGCTCGCCGGGAGACTTCATTTCATATCTTTATGTGGCAGGCATAAAGTTTATCTATAACTAGGCCTTTGACTAAGTGAACTTTTCATGGCCTTTTAAATGTGTTTGTGGGAAGGGGTTATTGGTTGGTTGGTTGGTTTTCTTATTTTGTATTTTGCATTCTCGTTTTGTATTTTTATGTTGTGCTCTGCGCTGTGATCCTTGGCAGAAGGGCAGTATACAAAAGTAATAAACAAAATAATAATAATAAATAACGCTAAACCATAGTTTAGGACTATGTGAAGGGACAGAAGTAAGGCTTGCACAGAAGCAAGCTCTCTTTATACAGCTATAATTTAAACTAACCAGAGTTTAGCATTAAACCCAATCTGGCTATATGCACGGTAAGGAGAAAGTGGATAAAGAAAAGCTTTTCTGCCTCTCACATAACACTAGAACTTGGGGCCATCCAATGAACCTAAATGCCGGAAGATTCGGGACAGGCAGAAATAAAGTACTTCTTCACACCATGCATACCAAAACTGTGGGCTTCATTCAAAATCTTCCCTCACTCTAAACCTGCCCCCTGATCTTGAACTCAGTTGCTTCAGAGTAAGTCCAGATCTGACCATCAAGTGAGAAGTCAGCTGAGAGCACAGATCAATAGTTCTTACATATATACTTTCTTATCAAGATCCATGTTCCAAAGTCTATTATATACTGGAAAGCTTAGCTGAACTCTCCAGCAGTAGTTAAGGTTTCATTTGCTGAGCTTCTCTTGCTACCATTACCATTTTGCCAACATAGGTTATTGCAGAACTATGCAATATGTATAGTATATGCAATATTCAATGTGTATGTATAAATACTATAAAAGCACAACCTCATAAGAATACTGGAATATACTCTGCTCCTAAAACAAGAAAATCCCTTTGAATAAAACAGTTACACAAAAAGGACTGGTTTGGGGACGACTTAAAAAAGGCTTTATGCATTGGAAAGATGAAATGGCTTGTATTGCATGGGTGAAAACATATTAATGCCTCCACAAAAATCCAAAACATCATAATACTCAAGCAGTGACTCTCTGAGACAGTTAGGCGTCTGAAGTGGTAATCTTATATATACTTCTTTGTCTCATTTAGCATGTGTCATTTACTTCAAAGTAAACAGTCACAGAAGCATTATGTACTTAAGAAAAACTGAGGTGAGGAGATTTCACAAATTACAACACCATCACCTAGCTTCTATTCATGAATACCAATACAGAAAAGTTGCAGCAAAAACCTCATTGTCCTTTTCAGTATTTTTATCATGTGCCAATGATAAAAGTGTGATTTAGCTATCTGGACACAAATCAATTGATAAGATGCAATGGAGACACTGTGGTCTAGACTTCTTTCCAAATATAGATTTCATTCCAAATATACCCTTATACATGTACTTTCTTCTGATGACATTAGAAGTGTTTTTAATTTTTAATTATATAATTACTCATCTAGGTGAATTATCACACCACTTTTAAGACAGACATTGGGAGTGGTGAACATGTTGCCCAAAACCATCCACCTTGCTTTAACCAAATTAAATGAATATAATGAGCAGTTCTCTGAACAGTGACTTGTTTGAGTTGAGGCCATGTTTGAGGCCTCATTACACATGAATGCACCCTACAACCAAACACACCCCACAACCTATTATATGGGCTACAATAGAATGCTTCTTTCAAACCTATCTTCAGCCAGAGGGTGATATCCTGTGGGTGCCAGGGAAGGCCACTGATGATGCATGAGCACCATGTTGGTGACGCTGACTTGCATTAATAGCAGACTCATAATGAGTTTGCTAATCCCTATGTTGCCAATATGACACTATTTACAATTTAAAGGGAGGCATGTACCTAAAGAATGAAATGGAGAATCCTCAAGGTAAGTATTGGTATTGGAATGAAATTCTGAACATGAGCAGTCCATGCAGCATTTTATCGCAGGGCCAGTTTTTATAGTGAACTCATTAATTAATAGTGAACTCATTTTCCAACCATCCATCCTTATCCTGTCACAAAGGCACCACCCACAAACAATAAAGAAGCAAAAGCAGACCCAGAAGTACCCCCCCCCAAAAAAAATATATGCAGGGGGAAGCCCTCTAAGGGGCCAAATCACAACCACCACCAAACAGTCCAATGAGGGATGAACAGGCTCAGTTGCCGCATAATGTTGAGAACAACAATAGCAGTAGTACAGTAGTTTAAACTCATAATTTTCACAAGTAATCAATGTGAAATATTTCTTTTATAAAATATAAAACTGGGAGAAAGAGTCATAAGTTTTCTGAAACAATCATTTTTTATTTTTTATTTTTAAAGCTTCCTGAAGGGGTTGGGAAAAAATCATGTAATATAAAACTGGATTACAAACTCATGACATAGTTAGTGGTTGTGTTTTGGTAAAGAAAAAGCATCCAACCATGCTAGGACAACTATTTTGCAAAATGCTTTCAAACTCATCCTCCACCACCAATCATGGCAGGAATGCATTTTGTGTGTGGGTTCCTTCTTTTATATTGTGTTTAAAACTTGCTTACAGAAGCAAGTTTTCAATCAATGATTACAAACTTACAAAAGGAAAAACTGTCTTTTGATTTCTTTTGTAAATCTATCTACTAAATAAATAAATATTTGCACAGCACAGATTTTCGCAAAATGGCTCTCGTCTGCTTTCCTTCTTTTATTAATATTCACGGTTTCATTTTTATAAGTTATGAACTTACCAATGTCATGGTGCTCTGTGCTTTCACTCTCACCTCCCACAAGTGACAGCTAATAACATTGAACAGGGGCAGACCAACACAGGGTATCGTGACATCAGGAGACAAATATAATCTATTAGATAATATAGAGAGTAAACTGGCAACAACAGGTGTGGCTGACATTTTTGATAGCAGCAATATATCCACCATAATGTCTAGTTTGGCCCAAAGATAAGATCTGTAGCTTAATGTGTTGAATGTTCTTACTTACAGAAGGAGATGCAATGATCTACCAGCCTTTCTCAACCTGTGGGTCCCCAGATGTTGAACTACAACTCCCATCACCCCTAGCTAGCAAGGCAAGAGCTCAGGGATGATGGGAGTTGTAGTCCAACATCTGGGGACCCACAGGTTGAGAACCGCTGATAGGCCTACCAGGGAACATCTTTCTCAATATGAAACCCATCTGTTAAGAAAGCTCAGCAGAAGAAGCCTAGCTTAAGGCTGTCCCTTACCTCCACCAAACATTCAGCTATTAGGACTAGGGCATGGTGTACGTGTACTGTATTTCTCATGAAGTAGCCTTCTATTTCAGACAAAGGGAGAATTTCCTGATCCTAAGTTTAGAGATTTTCAGAACATAATGGAAAGAACTTGTTTTTAGAATAATGCTTAGTGATCTTATTGAAATGAGTGTTACATTTTAGTAAACTATTAATCTGTGCATAAAGACTAGCTACTTTTTAGATACAATGTCTAGTTTTAATATTTAATTAATTGAAACTCAACTGTTTACATGAAAATGGGTTTCTTACTATTGTAAGATGTCTAGATCATTTCTGTTTAGACACAGTTCAAATTTAATAAAGCTAAAAATTGTACTGTTTTAGAAAAAGTATCAACAGTTTGTGCAACAATTCTTAATCAATAGAATGATATGTATTAGGATATTCACTTACTATTCAGCATTGCTAGCATGTCCACTGTGACTCTCTCAATTCCTGCAGTGCTTTTTAAAAATGTCTCTAGCTAGATAAGGCACATCCAATAAAAGATACACCTCCTGAAATTCTGTTGACCTCTTGATAAGAACACTTAATTGACAATTGTTCTTTCTGATTCCTGAGGTTAAAAAGAATCCCTGAGATATGTCTGTAGAGTCTGTCTTTTTTGTAAATTCCCCAAGGATGAGTCACTGAAAATGAGTTACCTCATGGAGGTGATATACTCAGTAATCTGCCTGTCTCCTGTGAAATTGCTGAGCTGAATAGGAATACTGTCAGTACCACCAGGAGCAAACCGGCCCTCCTGATGGAATGCAAAATATTTCAACAGCAGATGCTATTGAGTTGGGGAAAAGGCAGCCACTGAACCAACTGTTGTTGAAATACACAAACACCTCTTATATTGAAGCAAATTAAGCTTCAACTTGCTTGACCATTTTTAATGTGTTGAACTGAAAAGGAATGCAAAGTTTCAGTGGATTTGGCTATGTTGAACTGGCCTTGCAATTGCTCTAGTCCCAATACAGATCATTCTGAAAAATAAAGTGAGTAAAACATGACAATATGGATGCCCATTTAATAATAAATAAAAAAACAGTCCACCATGCAAACTGTGCCTAATTTTGTTCCTTTAAAGCAGGGGTGTGGAGCTGGATCCAACCAGCAGACCAGATCCTGACCTTCCCCCAACCTCCCCCTCCCTCAACCCTTTCCAATTCCACTGCCCACTTTTCAGTCACCTGACATCACCATGAAATCAAACCACATCAGCAAAGGCACATGGGTTATGATCTCTGACAATCAGCTGATCAACATCTGTAGGCCCTGCTTTCAGAAAGGAGCCACTTCTTTACCTGCCCCGCTCCAGACTCCATAGGTGCAGGGCAGGTGGGCATGGCTTGGGGAAAACTGCCTTGAGAGCCAAACTGGGCCCCTGCCAGGCTTAATTACGCCAGCAGACCAGTGGTTCCTTGCCACAACTTTACAAGATTAAATGACTAAATTAGCAACAACCTCAAGGCCATGATCATGTAGAACTTGTACCGAGTTTATAGTTCACAAATGCCAGTCTTGCAAGAATAAGCAGCAGTGTTGAAGGCCCAGCAGTGAACATTTTCCATTATTGTCCTCCTCAGAACTTTCATCAGGCTACTGGGAAGAGCCAAGAGCTGCAGAGCATACAGCTGTCCTGGTGAGGAGAAACTCCACCCCCATGGACCAAAACCTCTAGTCCTACCTGGCCCTAGTTGCTAGGGGGCAGGGAGAGAAGGGAGAATAATTTCCCACTATGGCCATCATGGTACTTTCAAAGAGCAGCAGTTTAAGCAGTATCAGCAACAGTGCTATCTGCAGCTTGGGTAGTGAACATTTCCCATCAAGGCTTTTGTAAGACATCACTGAATTGCAAAGGTATCATATTATGTATCCCTTGTAAATAAATTCGTAACAGTTACTAGCCTGAAAAAAATGTTTGCTAGTAGGCTCAGGGTTGGTGGAAGGAGGTTTAAGAACACCATCCCTCCTGCAAGAGCCTACTTCACATCTATGTGAATATGAATGAGACACTCTGTCCCTCCTTCACCAGCCATTCACTCTCCTGCATGCACTCACCAACATCCAATTCCCTTCTTACCTATGTTTGTCAGGCTAATGCGTAAATACAAAGCTGCTTATGTGTTTTTTATATATTAATTCTTCTCTTATTAGTACAGTGGTACCTCGGGTTACATACGCTTCAGGTTACAGACTCCGCTAACCCAGAAATAGTACCTCGGGTTAAGAACTTTGCTTCAGGATGAGAACAGAAATCATGCTTTGGTGGCGCGGCGGCAGCAGGAGGCCCCATTAGCTAAAGTGGTGCTTCAGGTTAAGAACAGTTTCTGGTTAAGAACGGACCTCCGGAACGAATTAAGTACTTAACCCGAGGTACCACTGTAACTGCATTGGAGGAGGCATAAATATTATAAACAAGCAAATAATACATAGTCACCTATTCCCCAAACTTTCAAAGCAAGGCATGCTAAAAAACTAGATTTGTCAAGGTTGCACTTCAGGGTTCCTTCACCCACCCACTGAGATAGGCTTCTTGCTCCCTAGAGAGCTCCTGAACAAAAGCCCTTTAAATTCAACATGGCTTTTAAGAGCTGGTCAAGGAGAATGCTATGTATACTCTGCATTAATAAAACCTTAATTCCTAACCAAAAAACATCCTGCTAGCTGAACATATTGTGAATATTAATAAAAATGTGCATTCATTTGCAAATTTTAATGTATCGCTTGGCATGCCTGCTAGCAAATAACAAAACCCTTTACATCTGGAGGTCCTGTTTCCTTCCCTACCTTATCTTAGCATACACTGCCCAGATGTTTTCAAGTATAATTCCACAGCCTAAGCAACTAAAACAATGGCCTTAAACAACCAACCCAAAAGATTACTTGAAAGTAAGTCCCACTGAACTCAGCTGAACTTACTTCTGAGTAAATGTGCTGTAAAAAACAACCACCTTTCTTGAGATTTTGGATACATAATTCTGCATGTGTGATTTAGATGAAGAGAATACACCCAGATCCTAGGCAGCAGCTGTCAATACTAATTGTATAAAGTTGATTACAGGGTTTGGGGTTTTTTTAAAAGGAAGACCTGAGAGGGTGTGCTTAATTCTTGGTGCCACTCATCGATGAAAAGCTTCTCACACCCAAAATGGTTGGCTTTGAAATATAAAGCCTCTCCTGAGAATTAGAGGAATGGTTTTTCACAACAGCAGCATGAATAGATCTTTGAACTACGTGAGCACTTGGGTATTTCTTGAAAGGGTTGGGACAAAGAACTAGTTAGGCCTGACATGGTACACAGAAGAGCACTTAAGGAGTGTGAATGCTGTCAATTTGGAGATCATTTTATACAGCATTTCTGGAGTTTAAGGCAGAGAATAGGTTCCAATGACACTGGAGGAACTCAAGTGTCAAATGAGTGAAACTTCAAGACCTTTCAACTTTGTCTACTAGCTAGTGTTAAAGGAGTCAATGAATAGAAAACACAGCCAATCTTTTGCTAAGTAGATGGTACTTTTGAACAAATACAGGCACACCTCATTTTATTGCATTCCACTTTCTTGCGCTTCGCAGATATTGTTCCCTATGAGGATTTGGTGCAGCTCCATTTCCAAAGGAAGAAAGCCCTTACAGCCTCTGTACTGTCCATGGGAATGGAGTTGGCTAGGGCTGGAGCCGGGTTTTTCCACTTCCGCCCCTGCAGCCAAGGGGGCCTGGCTTAATAGACTACAGTACAGTTTAAAAATAACTTTTAAGGGCACTGGGAACCCAAAATTTCTTTGACTCATATTATTGCGACATTCACTTTATTGTGGTGATCTGGAACTGCAATATCCCTGAGGTATGCCTGTACAGAAAAGCTGATGCATCAGGTGGAGCTCTACGATACAGCACATTTAGCATAAGGTTACCAGATTTTTTTCAATTAATCCGGGGACACTTTTCAATTTCAATGGATTCTGTATGGGGACTGATTTGTAAATCCAGGGACTGTCCCCAGGAAAAGGGGACATCTGGTAACCTTAATTAAGCACAATGGTTAATTCAGTCTGGCTGCCAGGCTTAATAGCAGAAAAAGGGTGCAGTTCTAATATTCTATTTTGACAAGCCTCTCACTTCCCAGCCCTATCCCTCAACAGTATCTCCTGAATTGACAATTTTTTTTAAAAAAAGACAATTTGTTTAAGTATCAGTATTGTTAAGCAGGCTGCTCATTATTATGTCAAACACTTAGCCAGCACAACTGTTCCCTGGCAGCAACCAATATACATTTGCAACAAACCATTTTTGATTTCTACTTGAACCATTGTTGGCAGAGGCGCTGACTTGAACCCAAGACTGAGGGGCCCAACATGCGGTACACATGATGTTATGTGTGATATCATGTGTGCGACACACATCATGCATATGTTACATCGCCTGGAGAAGGCCAAGCACGGAGAGCAGCATGGTGTGGCTTCAATGACCAGAGGCTCCTACTCTCTCGTGCTCAGGAGGAGCCAGCCACTGAAGCCGCACCATGCTCAGCCTCTTCTGCCCCCTGAGGGGGCCCAGCCCCTTCCCAACAGATATTGAGGGGGTCAAAGAGACTTTGGCCCCATAGAGTTGGTGGGCCTGGTTGTTGGTGACATTTGTCATTGGTTCATTTTCATAAAAGTGTCAAACCTGTCAAGAGCATGAGGGGTTTCTGTTTTTTTGTGGGGAAGGATATGTGAATCTTTACTACTGTAGCAATTGTACCTTCTCTTGACCAGCCTTTGTTATTCTTGGGATGTCAAACAGCTGTCCTGTGTAGTACTGCACACCACTGAACAGAATTATGGCAATAGAGTCCCCTTCCTTCTCAATTACAGCAAGGATATCTTCAGTTCTCAAGGTCTCCTCCCCCTGAAATAAATTTAAGCACATATTTTATATCAACCCTGGCAGTGCTGAAACTGTCATTTCTTGTTTCATAATCTATTTTTTATGATGTGCCTTGCTGACTTCAGTAAGCGATCAAAAGCAAATCCTTAACATGGCAGTAATCTACGAAAGTAAGAGCCCTGGAGTAACCTTTGAATGGGTGAATGATCATTAGTAACATAGCTTCAAGATGGTAAATTATTCTTATTACTATTCTTATCATTATCGTTATCATTATTATTAAAAAGGAGATTCACGTTGCTTCCTTATATGTTTTGCTTGCCTGAACACTTCAAGATTCCCTTAACTGCCTTTGTTTTTGTTTTTTAAGATGTAAAAAGATGTAAATTTTGATTCAAAGAGCATACACAGAGGGGGACATGCTGGTGACTACTGTGAGCCTTCCCCAAGAAGCTATGGCCCAGCTTACTACTAACGATGCGTCATCAAGAGAAGACTCAGTTTTCCAATCTAAAATTAAGACACTCGCAATTGAGAATGGAAATTATGGTATCACCATATGGACACATGACAATTGTCCAAACATGCCACATTTCTATCTCCTGTGAGCCTTAATTTAGTCGTATTATTTGCAGCCTTTCACAAAATGTTATAATGTGCACTACTTCATATAGTTTTAAAAATCCACAGAATATGTGTCTATAACCATAGGTGTTCGTCATGGCAGTATGTGGAAAGTATGGAACTTCAAGATTCAGAGTTAAATATGCCGCTGAATAGCAGCTTCTGAGGAATAATAGCAGGAGAGAGTTATCGCCTTTGAGCTGCGCTTGTGGACTCACCAGAATTACGTGGCTGTGGGAAACAAGATGCTGGTATAGATAGGCCTTTGTTCCGATTCTGAAGAGCTCTTCTTATGTGAACCTGTGTGTATAGCATAAAGCATAGCCACACACACCCCAGTTGATGGACACTGCCATTCTTAAGGGAAAAGCAGTGTCAATCACTGTGCATCCTGTGGTTCCCTGCCAAATTAGGATTTCGGTGACATCCTAATTTGTCCTAACATGTCACCACTGACATATACACAACAACATAAAGATGTCAAGCTGGTCCAAGACTCAGCAATCTATTTATATGACATTTTCAGTTCTGACATCTGCACATGACTTAAAAAGCAGCCCCCTGCATCCCTCTTCACACTTTTAAGACAAACTTTGTATCCCACAGGAAGCTATTAAAAATGTTACTGTATTTGTCTTTCAGAAACAATAGCATTCATATAATTCAAAAATGTTAAAACCCTTAAGTCATTAAATATAGAGAAATTTGAATGGGGGTGGGGGGTGGAATCACTTTTTATCCTTTAAAGCCTGTATCCCCCACTCCCTCTCCTCATTTCCTCTTAGCAAGGGATCATGTAAAACACACCATCACCAAGGGATCAATTAAGCAGTGAAAACTCCAAATGAAATTAGACATGCCACTGCAAAGAGCTGAGATAAGATTTGCTGATTTGAAAGTAGCTCCTATTATCTTAACGATCTCTCAACATCTATCAAGGACTTGAGAGTAGCTTTTCACTTCTCTGGAAAGGGACTTTTTTCAAGAATCAAAAGGTCATCAACAGTTCTACTATAAAGTAACAAAAGTTCTTCATGGTATTCTTTTATAACGATCCTAATTACATACTCCTCCAAGCAGAAACGTGTTGCTGTGGTAATAAAGGAAACTGTATGTAGTCTTCATAGGACTTCTATGAAACAGAGAGTATTCTACATACTGAGACTCAAATATACTGAAGCTCACAAATATATATATTCAGAGGAAGTACAGTATGAGGAACATACGAGTATCAGTGTAGGAGTATTCAATGTAAGGAATATCATCTTCCGATTATTCAGTTTAGATTTGTAGAAACATTTAAAAATAACTAAAAAACATGATTTAAATATATTGAAAAATATAAGTCCACTCCATTTTTAATATAGTCCTAAAAACACATACAAAATAATAAAGTGGAAACCTATTTATTTGTGTAAATTCCCTTAATTATGAATAAAATCAGGATATCTAATACTATAAAAAAGTAAAAAACAATCCACAATGAAACAATGGTTTTAAAAATGTAAGATTTAAAGCTTAGAGAAGTGGATAAAATCAATTTCATTTAAGCTAATGCTTCTTCTTCTTTTTTAAAAAAGCTTTTTCATCATACCTGCTCGGGATATGTGTCTATATACAGTGGTACTTTGGTTTACAAACTTAATCTGTTCCGGAAGTCCGTTCTTAAACCAAAGTGTTCTTAAACCGAGGCGTGCTTTCCCATAGCAGAGGGGGACTCAATTTACAAATGGAACACACTCAACAGGAAGCGAAAAATGTTCCTATTCCAAGGCAAAGTTCACAAACCAAAACACCTACTTCCGGGTTTGCAGCGTTCTTAATCCAAGTTGTTCATAAACTAAGCTGTTCTTAAACCAAGGTACCACTGCAGTCATCTAAAATCTACTTTCCTGTGTTCAGAGAATAAGTCCCCCTGGAGAGGGGAAGGTCTGGTGCAAGGAGAACATTTTTTCACTGTGGGTGTGGTTCTACTCTACTGAGTGCATCTCAGCAACAATTCCCCCCTCCACCTGAAATCACACTATGTTCAGGGTTCCAAGACTAGTTATAGACTGAGGATGATGAACAAAAACTAGGGCAGCAACACAAAGGGAAATTTTCAGGTGCACAAAAGACAAATATTGTCATCTGTACTTTTCTGAATAGAGGGGTATTTGGGCTTTAGGTGAGTGTGTTTCAGCATGAATTGGAAGGTCATATAAGGACTCAGGGCTCTCAGCAGCCAATTGATTTGGGGCACAGTGTTGTCTTGAGTGAAATAATACACAAAGATTTGGCTTTGGTTCAACCAAATGTTGCCAGGCTGATATATACAGTGTTCATATATAGTGTAAGGGCATTCTCTTTTCTATTTCAATGAAATGTCAATGAGACCTGCAAAATAAATTATTTCCAAATTTGTTAGGTTTTGCCAGCTAAGATATCCAGAAAAAACAAGAGAATTTGAGTCAAGGTAGGGACAAAATGCAGGGAAGCACTGATACTTTCTGGTAGCACCTATAAAAAAAATGACTTTGCCTAGTGTTAAAAAGACATATGGGCTGATTCCATGTGAGCAAAACAACAACAACAACAACAACACATACACCCTTTCCCCAGTTGCTCCTGCCCATGTTTTTATGGTCTGTGAAAATGGGCAGGCTTCTATGGGGGAAAGTAGTCCTTTAAGTATGCAGGTCCAAGGTCATATTAGTGACAATACAAATTATCTCACATTAGAAAGAAATATAAGGGCTGAGCAAGTAAATCATAAATACAGGTTCTGATTCAGATGATCTGAATGCACAGCACAATGAAGTTATAACAATTCACTGTCAGTATTTTATACACCTTCACAATCAATGCTGGTAAAATCCCAAATCACTTCTTAAACTCATGAATGTTTAAAAGGATGTGGGAATTTGCTGTGAAGAACCACTGGAGGGCTACACTGAAAACTGAATATATACTTTAGCAAAGTGCTAACAGAGATGTACTATATTAGACAGTGTGCGATGAATAACCCCTATACAGTCAAGTATAGCATCAGCAGGGGTTTCACAATCATCCATCAACGTGGAAGCTTTTTAGACAAAAAAGTAGATCTGGGAAGACAAGGAGATTCTAAGAATAATATGCATTTAGTTTTCTTGTCTCATAAGTTCACAATAGGTTATTTATAATAAGTTGCAAAGAAAATAAAGCATAAGCATACCAATATCCATTCTTGATATCAATATCAAATACCCATTACAAACCTCTTGTGGTTCTATCATAAGCATACTGCTCTCCATATCTAGCCCATGAAACTGGAGTTGAGACTCAACAGCATACTGTAAATAAAATATGGATTGTTTTTAGTGAGCAAATGTAAACAACAAAAGAAGCATTTCTTTCGCATAGCAACAATCATCAGGATGTGTGTGCATGATGTGCTTGGGCAAATCTCTGCAAAATGTTTCCAGTTCTACATGGCTCTTCCTCTTTGCAATTCAGGGAACCATAGAAACATAGTATCATAGAATTCTAGAGTTGGAAGGGACCCTGAGGTTCATCTAGTCCAACCCCCTGCAATGCAGGAATAAGCAGCTGTCCCATACAGGGTTCAAACCTGCAACTCTGGCATTATTAGCATCATGCTCTAACCAACTGAGCTATCCAAGGACATAACTCAGTGGTAGAACACATGCTTTGCATCCATAAAGTTGTAGGTTCAGTGCCTGGCATCTCCAGTTTAAAGGACTAGGTGGCAGGTGATGTGGAAGACTTCTGCATGAGAGCCTGGAAAGCTGCTCCCAGTCGGAGTAGATAATACTTGATTAAATGGTATGGTTGACATGTTCTAACAGCAAAAGGCCCTGCTAAGCCCACACAGATCATTGCTATCTTCCTCTTGCTTCAGTACTTCTAAAGATTATAGGGGGTTGGGTACTTGGCTAATCTTCATGGTTTTCCCCAATGCTCTTCGGATATGATGCTATATGCAAACACAGGAATTTCTGTCACTTTTTTTCATGGGACCCACCCCTTATCTGAGTGCAGCTGGTTGGTGTGGAACAGGCAAATTAGGAATTCACTCTCAAAACGCTTAACTTCCATCCAAACCCCTGGCCTGAAACCAGTCCTCTGGAACTGTATCCATGGCTTGATACAAATGAAAGAAATAACTTTCCAACAGCAACCTCTATGGTAGATTATGATAGTATTATGAAGTAGGCTTGCTAAATTGTTGTACTTGGGGAGACCAATGGAAATCATGATAAAAAATATACAGTATAACCAGCTTGATAGTCAAAAAAGCAGCAAGTTGTATTAATCTCACAGGTGCACTGCCCCCATTCCCCACACTCAATCTCCTTTAAACTGAGAGTTAGTTGTAGAACTGTCTTGCGGTATCAGATGGAGGAAAGGCATGCTACTACCTTCCTTTTAAAATCTGGGTAATGTATGCCAGAGCACATAAGAGGAATACTCAGCCTGCAGAGACAATTGGGGAGAAAACAGACTAGACAGAAGCCACATCGGATTTATCACAGCTACAAGGGTTAATGGTAAAAGACTGAAGAGAAAAGACCTTTGAGGGGTCTTTCCCACTCAGCACCAACTACATGGAATACATTCATGCAATCTGCCCTCCCTGGATGTTTGTATTATTTCTATGCAGCCCTCAGCCGTGTGGGACGAAAGCACAAAAACACAGCTCTTCCTTGGTTTCATATTGTTATAGATCTGGGATACCAGAGTCTGAAGGTGCAAAGGCCCTCACAATTCTAGGAGGTTAGTGAATGTTGGAAATTAATGAATGTCAGAATTTAGCTAATACTTGGGGTATTGAAGGAGACATACAGGCTGCAGAAGTTCTCCTGAACTGGGCAAAACGTGGAAGTTTAGCTTCTGCAATCTAGCCTGGCTGGGCTAGTTGAGTGCAACCCATTATGAAACAGTGGCTGGACATCAACACATCAAAGAAAGATCTTGGGGTCTGTGCAAAAAAAGAGGTTGCCAAGTTTACAGGGAAGGGGTGTGATGCCAACGCAGGAAAAAAACGTTTCCCTTTTAAAACAGAAAAGTTTGGAGAAGTGGAGGGGCCGCTTAACAAAGCTTGGGATATAGAAAGAAGGTTGCCAGAACTTGAGGTAGAACTCCATGCGGGGACGGAAGGGCAAAACCATATTGGTGGGCTAGCTGAAGGCAGGCAGGGGCAGAGACACAGAGATGCCTTGGAATCTGTCTATGGCTCAAACAACATCTAACATTAGTTATGCAGTTGTGCCTTTAAATGCAGGGTTTTTAAAAAGTAAATTGTCAGTGCATACATAACTCCCTATCCCAAATTCTTACATGAGTAGGGGACTTGAACTCTTTGTCCTCCACTATCATTCCAATCCAAGTAGGGAACCCCATGTATGCATTCCATAGAGGGGGAAATGTTCTCACTGAAGTGAAGGAGACACCCATTCATGCAAAGTAAATTACAGGTGCAGTTTCCAAGCTGAAATTTTTTTGTAATATTCCCAAAACTAAACTACTGCATTGACGGAAGATGTTTGTATTTCATACAACGTATGAGCAACAAAAGAATATTAGCTGGAAAAAGGTGTCATGTCAACTAATTGTCTGGCAGCCCAGAAAGGGTCTGAATTGCACCCTATGTGAGTTGCATTTGTAAGGATTTTTATAGTGCCTCGGTGATCAAATATCCCATCAATTTCTGAGTGTTTACAGAGTTTGATAAAGTAGCAGTGAGTCACAAATCTGAAGATTAATTTGCTGCAATCTGTGATGCATGGGCTATTGTCTCATTTTATAGCACACAATGATGTTTGAATTAGTAATCTAAAGCACCATGGACAAGCATTTCCCTATCTGTCTAGGGATATAAAACTGTTAATGTTGTGAGCTTTGTATTGATTTGGTTTCATAAAGTAAAACAGAAACAAGAATTAATAAAACATTTACAACCTGTTGTTGATTTAGACCAACAGCTTGTTCAATGTCTTTAAAAGGACTAATAAATCAATATGGCCATTCAATCTTTTCCTTGTGCAAGGTTTTTATTTGAACAAAAAGAATAAAGGCATGATCAGTAAAATATGCCAAGCCCAAGAGTACATGACCAGATTTCCTGTTATTTCCAAAGGAGGATCAGGTAATAAATAATGAGACAGGATTGCTGGTATGCTTTTGAAAGTCACAATGGATAACACAAATATTATGCAATATTAATTCCTTACATGGTCGGAGGGGAAAGCTTTGGCTTCCAGAAGGATTTTATAGCGATCTGAGGTAGGCTTAAAGAATGATAACTGTAAAAAAAGGTAAAATATTTATTAGTCCATAATTATTAACACTTATTCATTTCATTAGTTTAAAGTGGCCCTACCCCTAAGCTGCAACTTTTTCAGAAGTAACCAGCCACATCAACATGGTGCAAGATACAGTTATGAAATTTATGGATGCCAATACGAAATAGATATATAACTGCCCAGAGTAGCTGGGGAAACCCAGCCAGATGGGCGGGGTATTAACAACAACAACAACCCAGTTCTTTGTAAATTGATGGAGGAACAAGATGAATGGTTCCTGCACGCCATCATGGTGGCTAAATTCTCCAGTCTTCCTTCTCCCCACAGCTGCTTGTGTTGCTGAAATGTGTCTGCATGAATTGAAAGCATGAAAAGAACCAGAGGCTGGTAGGGAAGGAAGTTTGCTGGGTAGGGTGGGAATTTGTTTCTGACTTGGATTTTGATCAAAGCAGGAGAACAATTTGGGGCTCCTAATACTTCCTGAAACTTGTATCCACTCCAAAAATACAAGTTTCATGGGCATCTATCTCTATTTGCAATAGAAAGACTGCTCAGAACTTGGGAAATAAAGATTTCAATCTCAACAATTCTCTATTTCTAGTCCTCACTCAGTGACAGTGATATGTTGGTGGTGCGTGCAGTATACTAGCATGGGTAGTGCAACATGGGACCTGCAAATTTTTATTTCTATGAAAGACGAACTGCAATCTCACATGAATTTATGGCTCTCATGATACACTGCTCACAAGTATGCTACTCAAATAAACTACTCTTTAGTTTAAGCTGGTAACCAAGTATATTGTTAGAACTGACGGCAAGAACCACACAGTAACAAGTCTGACATACTCAGGGTACACACACCAGGGCCTATCCCTCCCTATCTCCCTGACCCCACCTTGATTGTCATGCATCTAATATATTTAGTCTGCTTCTGCCAATGACTTCTGAAAATTTACTTCCACACTCTTTTGGCAAATAAGTGGTTCGGAACTACAACAGTTTCTGATAAATGTCAGGAAAGCAGTCAAAATATAATTTTAGAGATGCATGTGGAAGCCTAAGAAGTAAGTAACAGGAGTGAGCATCTGATAGTGCTTTGAAAAGGGTGAGGTGGGTGGGTAGAACTCTGAGAGGAAATTCATAGGGCAGGGCGGTTGGGAATGCACTAACCTTATTGTGTAAACAAGGTAGCCAATGAAAAGTTTCATGAAAGCCCTGCAGCTGCTCACAGCAGCAAAGGGCTCTTTGCAGTTAGGCTTCCAACCTGAGATGTCTTCCTGGCATGACCTTGTTCCAATTCAAACTGTTCAATGAATATGTTTATTAATGAAAAACTGGGGCTTTGACATTAGGGATAATTGTGGTAAGCTGTAAATTGTAAACGAAGTATTGCACACAGATAATTAGAAGACCACTTATGATTCCTTATAAGGATTTTATGGCCTCACGGGTTTAGAACCATATAATCACAGAATCAAAGAATTATAGAGTTGGAAGGGACCCCAATTCAATGCAGGAATCTCAACTAGATCATACATGACAGAAAGCCACCCAAACTCTGTTAAGGGCTATAAAAAGAAGTAACCCTGACACAACACCTAAATTATAATGCATTTTATTATAACTTACAGAATGCATTGTTTTGAAATAGGATGCTGGAAACTAGGTTAGAAGACTTTAAAAGGGCATTCACTGATCCATCGAAGTCAGATCCATGATTTTAAGTAGGCAAGCTTTTTCTAATTTTATGGTTAATTTTAACTGATTTATTATTTTATTTTATGCTTTATCCCTTTTTTATCCTTCCAGTATTCCTAGTATACATTGCTTAGAAACTGTGGTATTTATATAAATTATTAAAATAAAAAGACAACTAAAATAGAATCTTCATGTTCACAGACAGTGTAGTTTTCAATATCAGATGCTCACGGACAAATAATACCTTCATATACACACACGGAAGAATCAAGCTCTCTTTTAAACAGAATTCTGAACTAGATATATCTAGCAAAGAAATTCTTATGACTTACCATTAGGAGATGCAGATTAACTGTCAAGCCGTTCATTAATGCTACCTCTTCTTTATGAGCCCCTGAAAAGCAATAAGGCAGATGTTTCCTTATTTCTTTTGTCCTGTGCAAGGTCTGTGCCAGTGCTGTGCAAAACCTCATGACATTGGCTTGTAGTCAATGTCTCCCTAATGACTGAGAAGTAAATACATGTTTGATGTGTCACCACGGAGAAATTTAAGTAAAAAAAGTTCCCCTGTTGACATAGTACACCATTCTAACAGGGAAATATTTATTTTTACCATTCTGTTGTGGCAAATAAAGCAGATAATGAAGCAGTAACCCTTCCTTGAAATCTACCTGTTGATTTGTTGCTATCATTAACAACTTGGTCAAATTCAGTACTAGTGTGCCTTTGCCCATTAAATATATCTTCAATATAAAAGCCTAAATTGTCTTAGGGGCAATCATCTATTTTTAAAGTGGCCATTGTAATGCCAAGCTAAAATGTGCCCTTAATAAAAATAAAGAGACTTGCCTAACAATTATTCAGACCTTCATTACAGTAGACATAACAGTGGTCTGTAAGACAACTGGTGCAAAGATGGGAACATGGTTAAACTATTGCATTTTGGTCATGGATTCTGAGCTTTATGGCAATTAATAAAATAAATGAAATTTAATGGGAATCAGAAGCACAACAAATGGATTTTTCCAATACACCAGAAACAATAAGGTGCTCTCTGACTCCTGTTAGTCGATACGGTGAGAGAAAAGGATGAATAAATTCACGTTACGAATGGAAGAACACAAAGAAAAAAACCATCCCCAGGGTTTAGATGAAAATAACATGAACCAGAAAAATATGCAAGCATTATAAGAAGCTTTTAACTCTGATGTGGTTTGTTAAGTCGTAAAGAGGAAGGGGTTATTGGCTGGATTGTTTTTTGTCATCTTTTTTCTCTATCAATGGTTCTTAGTTGCTCATTTTTCTAGCAGTTGCAAGGGAGATAACCAGGAGAACAATCACAAAGGAGAAAAATGGATGGAGATTGACAACAACAACAACAAAACCAGGACAACAGGTTCTCAGGTTCTCCTTCTCTGCGTTTTTCCCTGGGATTTGCTTCAGCTTTCTCTGCTGAGGAGGAGGATTGAGCTCTACAATTTCTAAACACGCACAGCCATGTTGCTTGCATGTGGTGAGCATAATATGTAGCTCCATTTTCTTAAATCGGCCCAATCAAATTTACACAAATGTATAGTACATTGTCCAGAGTTTTACTCTTAAAGAAAAAGAAAAATTCCCAGGTATAAAAAACCAATAGTAGTCCACACTGCTGCACTACACCTCTCTTCTAGATTTTGCATGTATCAGACATGCAGTATGTGAATATATTGAACTGTATGCAGAACAACAGCACATACGCTCCATAAGTGAGAAACATTTACTGCTAAATGCCATTATTTTTGTTGTAGATTTTGGTCATGTGTGCAGACACACAGAGATAACTGCTATCTGCATTCTCTGCTGCCTTTTCTATTCCAAGAGAGATCCTGCAAGTCTATACAATTCTGCTCAGGTGTTGTGCGTCCTGTTTTGCTGTGCACACCCCACCTCTGCCCCTCCCACGCCTCTGTTACCTGCCTTGCGTGGCAAGAGCTTGCTGAAGTCTCGTGAGATCTCATGCGCTCTGTGAGATCTCGCAGGATTTTGGTGAGATCTCACCAATAAAAGGTGCAGCTTGTGGTGCAGTTTTTCCGCTGCTGGCAAAGACAGCAGGATGAGTGGCAGACGCAAGGTAGGTGTGAGGCAGGCATTGCGTCTAGGGCTTCTTCCACTCGAGGCGGGAGCTTCAACTTGGCTCATCAGTGGGCTGAGCTGGATTCTGCCTATGAAAGTAATGGTCCTAGATGTACACTTGTTGTCACCTGTCTGTCTCAAGAGACAATGGAATGTGCCTCCAGGGGTGAAGTCAAACCACTGGAGAATCACAGTGCCTGCTGTGGCTGCAAAAACCATTGATTCATAACTGCTGCCTGCTGTGTTGTTTTTGTTGCATTAGCAACACCAAAATGACCTCTCTGGGGAGCAAACCAGGGCAATATGTATGGGGGTCCTGGGCTGCGCAGACAACAAGACCCTCCTCTCGGCCTTGCTGATGTGGCCCCAAAGGAAAGCAGAGCAATCCTTTTGGCACCATCATGGCTGGAGGAATTGCCATAAGGAAGCGTGCAAGATGCCATCCAACCCTCTTAGGGACTCCCACTCTATGGATTGGGTACTGAAACATAAGCCCCAAATCCTGGTGCTTTTACAACCTGACTGATCCACTTTCAAAATATTTCCAGAATATAAATATAACTACTGTTAGTTCACTTGCTGTTCAAAGCACAGACCAAAAATAAACGGTTAATCTGAAGTTCACCTTTAGATGCATGCCAATATCCTATATTGAATATGACACCACATTTGTCATGTAAGTCTTAGACTCTTGTAAATGATATATTTATTAAAAGCTTTTCTTTATTGGATTTTGGTGCCCACAAAACAAGCCTTATCTGTGCCCTAGGAAAATCGTTATCCTTCATAGCCTGCACTGCATTTCGGAAATGATGCTTCTGTGATCCAATTAATCTATTACAATATTCAAAGACAAGTATCCAGTAGACAAAATGAAGTTTGCTCTCTCCAACTCATTACTCAGCACCACATATCCTGGACAGCATAAACCCCCATATGTCCTTCCTGATAAATCTTTTCTGTAATGGAAAAAAGCATGACTTGTGATGCGCCACTGTAACTTTGGAAAGTACAGCAGTTGCATTAGTGCAACATGAACCAAGCCCTTGCCTGAAATTTGTGTGGAAAATAAAGGGAGAAATGGCTGGATGAACTGGAAAAAAGAAAGAAGACAAGACTTCAAAAAAAGAAAAGACAAGACAGTTTGGGTATTTCAAATAATCCTTATAATTCAAAGTTAAAGCAAAACAGCCCAGTATACATTCTCTCTCAGCACAAGCATAAGAAGGAGCAATGCAGTTAATCTTATTCCATCAGAAGGTTGCAATATATTAATAACATGCTGTGGAAAAAAAGAACAAATTTTTATTTTCCTGTTCTTTTGCTTAATATGGGAATGAATGGAAGAAGGGGTGGAGAAAGTTTGGGTCTCTGGTGACCTTGACTCTGCATTTCACAACATATTTACTATTGGAGTCTTCATTTAACAAGAAAAAGGTATGCTCATTTAATAAGCAAGGTGTTATAGAGACATAAACCTTTAAATGGCCCAAAGGAAAAACCATTTACTGCCTTTATTGTATTCCTGAATAAATCCCACAAGACAACACTCACTTTTTGTTCTACAGATAGAACAAGCTCCAGCGGTTCTTCCTCCTCCATAAAATGCTAAGCATAAAAAAACTAACTTAAAAATTCAGTTTATTTTCTCTTGTCAAGCCTACCACAGGAACACAAATCCCTTCTTTTCCTCCATGTAACTGCATCCATTGTTACTGGAAAGAATGCATACCCATCTTAAATACTATGCTGGATGGACAATATTTTAATAGTGGTTTATTTTGTATTTTATCCTTTTTGCATTTTTTCTTTTTACCTAAAGGCAAATGATGTAGTCATTAACCAGTTGAGATTGTCAACATAATGGGACCATAATTTGGAATTCTTGAAAAGTTAATTTGTTTTCCTTTCTCATTATTGGAGAGGGGGGCAACTCACTAACGTGGCAAAATCAATAAAGTGAAATTTACCCACAATAAAATAATGCTAATACTTGTAAGGTGAATGCCAAGCCACACTTTGAAATTCAGTTCTACAGCCACTGAGGGGTGTGGTGGGATTATCTGTACAAGCAAGGAGGGAGAGATCATGATAGCACTAACATGATAGCAAACTTAATAGTCCCTGGTGTGCAACAGACCTATGAAATACTGCCCAAAGCAAAACAAAACAGGTTAAGGATGTGAAGATCTTTATTCATAGTTTATTTTATAGAGAGCTTAAAACATGGTTCCCCAACAAAGAGAATACAAATAGGCTTCTGCATACAGGTCTACTGTTTTGGGTACAGAAAACTTAGCTGGTGGATAATGGGCAGAAGGGCCTCACTGAGCAGACATAAGCTCTGTGACAGCAAATAGAGTATGTTCCTATTAGTTCTAAAACTCCACTTGTATTTAAAGGCAAAATAACTTCCAAACTTTAAAAAAAGTGTCTGAATGCTGAAGGCATAGTTGAAAGAGCAAAGCTTTAAAAATCTTTTTTTTAAAAAACTCTTCTTGTTTTCCTTGAGAAAATGTTGTTATATTTGACTGCATATGTGGGTCCCAGATCTAAAAATAACAAGATTCTTTTTTTTTTTTCTGACCAAGGTGAACAAGAAAGTGTAAAACAGATTTATTGGCTGTCTAGCAGATTTTACATTAAATTTTCTCATGTAACATTCACAGCCAGTAATTGCTTTGTTTGTTGCTATGTTGTTCTGTGTCTCTAGCTTCCCTTCCTCTTGGTTTGCATTGCTATTTTCTGGACCCCATTTGTTTTTTAAAAGGACACTGCGGACCGTGGTCTTACTGAAGATTTTGCTAAAGACAGAATGGCAACCCTGCAGCAGAGAATTAATTGTGTGTGGCATGCATTGCCACAGACATGAGGTAAGCTCTGACTCTCTAGCTGAAGCAAGAAGTCCAAATGGAGGCAGAAAAAACAGATTTTGCAGCCAGCCACTGAATTCCATATCCACCCCTCTCTAGTGTATTCACCTTCACATCTTACAGCAGCCCCGCAGCAGAAGCACAAGAGAAGGACAGCCAAGGCCACACACAAGATATGAGACCAGAGGCAGCACTGCAGTGCCTCTCTGGAAATACTCACAGATGTGATGAAGAACTTCAATTAGAATAATGAACAAGCAGTCTTGTGATACCTTAAAGGCTCCCAATTTTATTATGTTTTATGCTTTCATGGACCACAATCCACTTCATCAAATGCATAAAGTTACATGAAGGAAGGTAAACTTTCCAAGACATGGATGTTTTAATAGAAATTCCTGCATTTGACTAGATGCCATTCAGGGTCCATTCCAACTCTTGGATTCTATTAATTCTTATATAGTATTTCATTAATAGAGAGGCCCACACAAGCATATGTGCTGTTGGGGGGTGTAACTAATAGAGTTATTAGATAAGGCAGGAGTACTTAACATGGGGCCCTCCAGATGTTTTTGGACATCTCCCAACATCCTTCACCACTGGCTATTCTGCTTAAGGCTGATGGAAGCTGGACTCCCAACAACATTTGAAGGGTACACTGGCTACCCGCAATGTGTCTATTTCTGTATAATCAATTTCTGCACAGTAAATATACACCTCAGATTTGATCTGTATGCTTGCCTGTTTCCTTCAAGGTAGTACTGTTATTGAGAGGATAATTTATTTTCATATCACTCACAGTAAAATAATTATGTCTGAGAATAAGTAATGCCAACCCTTACCCTGGGTATTGCATCCATTGCTTTTGTGACCGCTTTGGGGGAAATGGTTGTTCAAGTGTTACAGTCATCTAGTGACTGCTGCTTGAGGCATAATTGCAGAGGAGTGGCACCACTATTCACACCTCCACTGTTTACTTCATTTCGATCCCAAGTCCTCTCCCTTCCCTGAAGATTCTTTAGACAATTTGACAGGTAGTATCAACTCTAATTTTCATCATTTTCTGCACTATTAATTCTTTTTAAAAAAAAAATTGACTTCCTTGACAGCAATTAAAGACATTATCATGTAACAAGCAGCTATCGCTTTGTAAACAAAAGAAATGATCACTGATTCATGGTGACATTTGTAGGAGTGCCAAGTTTTCTTTGGTTTCATGCATTAGACCAAATAGTTTATGACGATCCCAGAACCACATACTGCAATTAGTTTCAAGATATACATTTGCTCATATATTACTGTCTGCATTAAATCTTCTCAGTACAAAGTTTTAAAATGCAGTTACTTCACATACTTACTGAGAAGCACTCAAAGCAGAACAAAAAAAACCCCAATGGTAAATTTTTGGAAGAAAAGTTCCATTGTCAGGTTTTTTTTCTAGTGCTACATAAACAGTGGGAAAAAATGAAATATTTTCCAAAAAAAATATTTTCTTACCCACAATATCAGCCACAAGCTCCACAATGCACTCATCCCCTAAAGCCCAAGGTCGTTTCCCTGTGAAATGACCGTGAACACCCCTGAAAGAGAGAACAAATGAAAATTCATATATGTGCCTTTGGTATAGTCCTAACATCAAGAATGCAACACTTATTGGGGAGCTAGAAGAGAATATAAATAATTTTATTGCACTTCATGTACCTGTAGCAAACAAGAAGTCTACTGTAGTTTTGTATTGTACACAGACAAAACAAAGTCAACAGACACGGGACAGATTCTAATGAGCCATCTTCATGCTTTGTTATAAGAGAAACAAAAAATAGCAACAGCAAACAGCTAGGGAATAGGACTGTGAATGGTTCAAAGTCACAGTAAACCAAGTTCAGAGTAAACTACGGTAAGCCAGGAAGCTTAGGTTATCATTATGTGTGAATGCAGCCAAAGCGAACCTGCAGCCAGGGGCCTACAATGCAAAACAGTCATGTCTCTTCTATGTCAGGTAACTTGCTCGTCCAGGAAGCAAGATGAAATGGTGATAGCGTACAAGAGTGCAATGGGTCTGGCAGGAATGGGTGACGGGCTAATTTCTCAGTTCAGAGGCAAAACCTGCCTAAATAATGTACTAGAAAATTAATGGTGTGTCCTCTTTTTATATTACACATCTTTGTCCTCAGTTACTTAGTAGGATTTAGAAAAGTGCCCGCAAATGAATCCTCTCATTTGCTCTGTCATTTTACAAGATTCACTGTTAAACTTCTTCATTCTCTGCCAATTCCCCAACAGAAAGGATCTCACATTTTAAATATTTTATGTAACATTCCTATGAGCTATTACAAATTTTTCAATGTGATTATTATTACAATGGGAAAAGATCTGTGTACAATAAATCCAAACCCAAGTAACTAAATTAAACATAAAGAAAAGACAGTAAGAAACAGGTTCACGTGAGTCACTTGAATGAAAAGTTTCAATTATTACATAGGCAGAAGCATTTCTTTAGTGACTCATAGATTAATATTTAATCTAGACTAAACAGATTTCAGTGCCGCATTTTCCTACCTTCTTTTTTTACATTAGATGATAGGTCATAGTTTTTCTATGTACTCAATTCTGAAGTACTGGGCATACTATAGATTGAAAGTTCTGAAAACAGCTGTGAAATTTTACAATATATAGCACCCTAAAACACACCTATATCAAATTAGTTTTACCGTATATCAGACTCAGCCCTCACTTATTCCCGACTCCCAACCTGAAAGGCACATGGTCAATATGATATGTTAACTAATTTCATGAAGCAAAAAGATAGATGACCTAGGCCTGGTTTTCACATTACATGAAACCATAATTAATATAAACAAGCAATTTGCTGATAAATAGTGCACCAAAATTCCAACCTTGTCCCCACTCCTGGCTGTGCCACAAGCAACATGCTACAAGTCTTGGTGTGTCATCTGTACTTGGGTTTGTGGTTTGTTTCTCTTCAAAGCATAAATAGTAGCCAAGGTCTGATCTTGGCAACGGAAGACCAGTTTAAACATAATTTGAGGATAGTGTTGGTGATGAAAAGCTATGTGTTTTATAAGATACAGGGTAAAACAATGATGTTGTACCCCTTTCTAACAGAATACTTTCAAACACTGTCACATCAGGGTCTTCATTAACAAATTGAAATCACTGTAAGATAGATGTTGTAGTAAAACATTATAGTCACTGCATTTCTTAAAAGTAACAGAAATTTGCATAACATTCATTTGCTTCTATTGCTTTCTTGCAGTCTTCCTCAACACGGCAAAATACTAATTTGCCAGTTTCAGTAGCTCTATAAGCTAGTAAGTAGCCATGAAATAGCAACCTTCAGCCACGACAGACTGGCACTGCCTTCAAATAGGACCAAAAGGTTTCCAATTCATTTTTCAGAAGTCTTTAGCCTTCTGAAAGGCTTGCATTTGTACTGGATTTTGGGCACTGACTTTTCTAAATATAAGCTGCTCTTCCCTTACTGTTCTACTTTGGTCTGGCCTTATTCTGACATTTTCTTTTCTTTTCTTTCGTTTCTGTGAAATAACAGACTGCTATCTACTTCTAATATTTTCTCAATACATTGCTTTGGCCTGAGTTTATATTTTTGAAACTGTCTTATCTACACAATCTAAACTAATGTTTATCTACAATTGGTTTAAAACACATTTAAAGCAATGGCTTTCCCCACAAATCCTGGGAAATGTGAAGCTTGTTGGGAATTGTAGCTCTGTGATGGAACAACTCTATTCTTTGGGGGAAGTCGTGTGCTTTAAATGTATGGTGTGGGTGTGACTGGAGTGTGCATGTATGAGCACACAATCATACTTAATATCAGTCTTTCTATTTCCAAAGTTCAGAGGTGGATGTTGATACTTTTGTACACAAAACAGCACCATGAACATATTAGCATGGATATATTAGCAAGCTTCAAGCAACTCCAAAGTTTGCAGACATACCAAAAACTACTAAGGGAGAAGGACACCGCCCCCCCCCCGGCCAAAAACCAGCCAAATGAGGAATGAGCATGCTCAGAAAGCTGACTGATTGGCATGGGGCTGTAAAACCAGGTGGTAGGAATAATAGATTGGAGTACCATGGAAAAGGACATGGCTGGCTGGCTAGCTGACTGGAACATTGAAAAGGAGAACTGCTTCTCCACACTGTTGTAACTGTAGTTTTCTAGACCAAACACAATAATCATCTCTTTTATTTATATCTATTGGCATTCATTCTGTATATAAAAATAAGAGTAAAGATAGACCCAAGCAAGGGAGGCTGCAATCTTGTGCACAGTTTACCTGGCAGTAAGCCCCACTGAAGAGTAAACATGTTGTAGGTGTGATGGGTTTGTTTCGTTACAGGAGTGTCAAAGATAAGGCAGAAACTGTATTCCTTGTTTCATGAAAGGTAATGGACCACAGACACATATAAGATATACAGAATCATATTTACTTCTTTTCACAAACTGAGAAAGAAGGGGGGAATTGATTCTGCTCCCTGAAAATAAATGCCTTGGACTGCAGTGAATTTTGTTCAAACTATTATCACCACACTTAAGTACATCTGTCTTGAGTATAAAATTCTTTCATTGTACCCAAGGCAAACAGATGCATGGAAAATGAACAAATGCAAAGTTAATGTGTGAGAAATGAAATATTACCTCTCTTGGTCCCTTTAAATGGAGAAGAGAGCTATTTAACTTTAACTTCTTGAATGAAGTCAGCCATTTCCCTGAGCTACTACAATAATCACAGAAAAATTGACAGGATTGCATTTTCTTAAAATGGCTGGCAAAACTGCAGAGCTGTGCTAAATGAACAGAGAGAAGTGCTAACTGAAGTTCATATGCTCCTATTCCCTCCTTCCTTCCCTCACAGCTATCTAAAAAAGTAGCTGCCTTTTTATTATTAATTGTAACTCTCCTGTTTTAACAAGAGAATAGGTAAGGACAACTCTTTCCCTCTGAAGTCCAATTGTGTTCAATTGTGCTTATTCCCTGGTAGGAAGATGTAGGATTGAACTGCTAGTAGGTGATATCTAAGTCATGGTCAGAACAGACCCACTGAAACCAATGGGCATTATCACACAGCAAAGTCAGATTGTGTGAAATCAGTCTTAAATCTAATATGATGGAGCAAAAGATGAGCTTGAACCAATAAAAAAACTTTAAGGACATGAGGAAAAGTATTTCAAGAGTAGATAAAATACACCATTTTCTTGAATGATATAAACATTTCCTGGTTATAAGCTCTCTTCACAACTTACACGGGAGCACTGATTTCTTCAGGCTGCTATGAACCTCAGCCCAGCACAACCCTAACTCTCTGGGCTTGATCCTCCCTTCCTGAACTTTAATTATGGCCACCAATCCATGCTTACTCACACTCTACCATCCTTCCATCTTCCACCACCTTCCTAGGGCCATTTCTCCTGGGAGGAGTGTGAATATGGGCAACTGAAATAAACCACTTGAAGAATTTACCATGGACACAAAAATGCTGGTGGGACTAGTAAATGGGGTTCAGTGGCTGATTTTAGTAATAATGAGGGGCCAAGGAAAGAAAGAAAGAAAGAGTTGCAAGCACAGCAATACTGCATGCCTGGAGTTCCACAATTTCAGATTTTGAAACTGAACCAAATTCTGAGTTTATGGCAGACCTTATTACAACTCTGTTTTATTTTTTGAAATGCAAATTTCAGATTTCAGAATGTGAATTTTACAAGCATCTCAAAAGTTTGAGGCTACAAAGCAATATTCTTTATTCTAGTGTCTCAGATTTAGGATTGACCAAGCAAAGGGTCAATCTGAATACTGCTGAAATAGGCACCAGGTTACCTATCAAAGGACATCTAAAGATTTGTGGGAACTACAATTCTCCCACCAGAGCTAAAGTTCCCAGCACACTCAACAAACTACAGTTCCCAAGATTATTTGGAACATACACATTATCTATAGAGATATAGATATAGATATAGATATAGATATAGATATAGATATAGATATGGTGTATGTAGCCTGAAATGCACAGATCAGGACAGAAATAATGAGACAGATACAAGGACTGCAAGAGGTAATCACATAGACTAGTAGTAACAACTACACATACAGACAATAAGTAAGACTTGAACTAGGACCATTAAAAAACAATTAGGCAAATAGCTGTAAGCTGAGGAGGATCCTTCCAATATGAGCTGGTTAAAGGTTACTGCAGCCATTTCTTGTTTTCCTATTGTTGGGAAAGCACTGACTATTCATTGTATTTCCATGAGAAAGGGTTTTTAACAGAATATCACCATATTCAGGCCCATTTTCAAAATGAAATAATTTTTCTTTACCCTCAAAAAAGCAGTTAGTGATTTATGTCACTAGGAGCTACTCACAGTTTAGCCCACTTGTCAAGTTCTTCATCCAAGTAAGTCTTAACTTTCTTTGGCTGAAGACCAAGAGAGTTCCCAGCAAAGTAGACGCAGGTCTCATTCTTATGCACTAAGGCTAGATTGGCTGAAGGAGGAAAATCCAAGAAAGCCATTAAAAATGCTGCCACCATTCCCTTTCTTATCTACACAAAAGATTCCCCATGAAAAACGTCATATCCATTCACTAATGATGAACCCAATATACAACTATATTCCTGAGATAGCCCTCCAATTAACGAACAGGTAAAATTCATTTCATTAAAAAAACACTTATTCATTATGTCATAGATTCTATGAAAACTATGCCAAAAATACTGACATAAAATTCACCATAGTACAGACAAGTGTAGAAAAATATACCAGCTGTGTTAAAAGTATAGTAAAAGCAAGCTATTCACTTTCTCTCAGTAACAAAAAGCAAAACTTCTGAGAAAGGAACTTCTTGGTTTTTCCATTACTATTATTTTCTAAAGAGAAACCAGAGTATATTAATTAATACTGTGATATACAAGTACTTGTACTTAATATTGATACAATAATAATGATGATGATGCTAGACTTCTATTCAACAGTTTGTTGGGTGCTAGACATCACACAAAAGCTATACGCTCCCCAAGTTCCAATACAAAATATAAATGTACAGTCATACCTCGGGTTAAAGACGCTTCAGGTTGAGCATTTTAAGGTTGTGTTCTCCGGCGACCCGGAAGTAACGGAACGGGTTACTTCCAGGTTTCGCCACTCGCACATGCGCAGACACTCAAAATGACGTCACACGCATGCGCAGAAGCAGCGAATCGTGACCCGCGCATACGTGGGTTGCGTTCGGCTCAGGGTGCGAATGGGGCTCCGGAACGGATCCCGTTCGCATCCAGACGTACCACTGTGCATGGAACAAATTCCATGGACCTGATATTGTCTTTCAGTGGATCCAAGTCAACATGATACTCCAAGCCTAGTCAACAGTGCCTGCTCATATAAATGGCAAAAATAAGAGATCTAACATGGGTTGTAGCCTCAGTGGTAAAATATTAGCACAAGATTCTTCCATTCTATATATCACATCTTTTTTAAAGACAATTCCTAATGTTTACTACGAAAAGGGCAAACTGGGGACATTAGAAGCTCAAATGCCATTGCACATGCAGTTAGATAAGATTAACTTAACTCAGAACATCAGTGAAAGGAAAGGAATACTATACACTAGCATATGATTTCACATTTCTATCTTTTGTTTACAGGGATGTATTTGCAACAGTGAACTTTAATTCCAAATTTTAAGCAAAAAATAAATAAATGTTTTGAAGTGGTCCCTCTGTATCATTTATTCTAGTAGCGGGGGGAGTCTTGTGCGGCTCAGAAATTTGTAGAAACCAAAAAATGCTATGATTTTTAAATGGATAGTGCAATTTGAGAGTTTGGAGTCGTCATGCCAAAGTCAAGTCCATCATCATGATTTGAAATGGTGTCAGGCGTCCAAACATCAATGAAGATAACACATCCCTGTTTAACACCTGATGCCACTGTGAATGGTTCACTTTGAGAGCCATTGTTATCCATTCAGGGAAAAAGGGAGGCAGACTATGTTTAGGGCACCTTTTCTAGCCCCTTCCCCTTTTGGGGGTGAGCAGAGTAGATCCTAAATAGGACTGCTCAGTTGTGGATACAGCTGCCAAGCTACTCAATTGCCTCATTCCTCGAGTCAGAACAAATTAATCTGTATCCACCACTCATGCGCAGGTCCCTGACTAGGGTTCCAGATTTCACGGTTCTGCCCCCGTTACCATTTGCCGATCACCATGAGACTTTTTTGGTTTGGGATGGGTTTTTGGAAGACGCCTATGCATGAATTTGCTTGATGTGTGTAGATCAGTGCTCGCTGACCAACGCAGATTCTTCACGGTATGGCTCTATTCCGATGGCATGAATATCACGACGACCAGTAGATTCTTATCTGCTGCAGCCTTCATCTGCCTTCACAGCTCTTGTAACATACCGCTTGTTATCTTCTGCCTGTTCTGCTATTGAGGACTTCTTGGATCATTCTTTGTCTAGCTCCTGCCCCTTGACCTTACTGTCTTGGGTGACCCTACTGGAAATATGAGACTCCCAACGGCTTCGCTCACAAGGATCATAGGAACATGCAAGCCCACTTACCATGACAAGGTGATGATCCAGCGAGAAGCAAACATGTATATGGCTGTAGCACTAGTCCTCTAAAAATTTAACTAAAAATATAGGGCAATATCCAAGTAAGTTGTATTCAGATATATTCATTTTAATGTATTTAAGTTACTTAAGTCCACTGAGTTCAATGAGTCTACTCTGAGCATGCCTAATGTTGGATAACACTCATCTTTTTTGATGGATAATGCAAAATATTCCCTAAGCTGGAAATACGTATATTAAAAATTTAAGTATTTCTTTAGACTTTCATAAGTTGCCAAGATGAAATGTGGGCAAGCGCAGTTCACTTGTGAAGGAGGAAAATATCTGTTGAAAATGTTTTCTGCTCTGTAGGGGAAACGCAAGCTATTATGCCTGTAAATGATAAAACGGGCGATTAGCCCTTTTCATCACCTTTCATTCTATATGCTACTGTTTCCTGCCAAGGGTCATAAGGAACAGTGCTCATTTTTGCATGTCTCAGTCATCAATAGCTTGTGCAAGAATGTATACTAGTCAGCAGCTTGAGCAAATGCATTAAAATTTACATAAACACTTCTAACATTATATAAAGAAGAATAAGTTTACATTTGTCTGAGGCAATTTCATTTTAGGGCTATAGGGAAACATTAAACCACAAAGATACTCAAACTACATTTTAAAGATACTACTTTGAACTCAACCACTAATACATTTTCCAGGCGTAAGAGACAACGAAGATAACTTCTTAATTAAAGCTTTAAAGGCTTTTAAAAAGCCTAAATCACAAAACCAGTTTCAATCTAATCTATATTACTGACGCTCTCCTTGTTTTCATCAGCATCCTTTTTAAAATGAGCAATAACAGAGGTGTAAATATTATTCACACTTCCAAATTGGTTCTGTTCACAGGCCTTTGTTATTCTGAAGAACAATAACGGAGTCTCATTGAGATTAGAGGAAGCAAGCATTTTATTTGTGACTGGGGCAACCCAGTCAGATTGGTGGGGTACAAATAATAATAAAACTATTATTATTATTATTATTGTTGTTGTTGTTGTTATTATTATTATTATTATTATTATTATTATTATTGTCTTTGAGCAATTTTCAGAAGGATTTATTGAAATCCAGTCAAGCATTAGAACAGGCAATGTTAAGGTATGTTTTCATCTGCTCCTTCTATACCATTTAGAGCTTAATATATAAGGCAGTTTTAAAGGTTTTTAAATATACAAAACCATTGTTCCTGATCATTGGCGCACAATACTAGATTGCTACTTACTGATATTTTCTTAACTGGGTGTGGTATGCAACCAAATCACTGTAGCACGGATCCATTTCCATGAGCGTAACAGAACTTTCCCTCCCTCTCCTCCTCCCGTGCAAATGTGCACACACACAACACACACATGCACAATGTGCTCTGGGTTTTCCACAACAGTCCACAAGAAGCATGTTGGGGTGACCTTTTACTTGCAGATATCATTCCACGTGCACAACAATTTAGATGGACTCAACCCTTTTAAGTCCAGATTTACACCATTTTGCTTGCTCATTCCACTTCGAATCAACTTACATTTTTTCTATCTAAACACCACTACAGTCCATCATTCACAGCACCTCACTTTCACTAAATAGATCCTTGCTTTGCAGTACTACTTCTCCTCTTGTCTGGACTTCAGTGTGCTCATGATATTAGCTCCTCTAATATTTCTTCTGAAGACGTAACCTCTAAGTGGTGAATAGGGTTTAATAATTCTAGAGGAGAAACAGCACTGATTGCTTGGTCCACTTTGTGAGTGAGATCATACCTTGACTATGTATATGTTTGTGTGAGCGTAACAAAGAAGCTGGGGAAGTTATAAAGATTAGCAGATGAAAAATAAGATTAGTTAGAGTAGATGTGGGGAACCTTTGGCCCTCCACATATTGCTGAATTACAACTCACACCTGCATCAGCAAGCATGGGCAATGACTAGGGATGGTGAGAGCTGTGTTCCAGCAACAAAGTTTCTGAGTTAAAAGTTTCTTACAGTCCTTTTTTATTACAATATTTACAGAGAGAGGCTATAGAACCCAGCCTCTTGGATAATGCCATTGTCTCAAGTAAATTTCCGGGGGGCCCTCTCTCCCACTTCCTCATTCGTCACCATCATCACCTCCTCTACGGTTGCTGCTAAGTGCCCTGTCTTCAAGCTCTTTGCTCTCCTACTTTTAAGACTCACCAGGTTCTGGGAGATGGTGGGTCTGGAACACTTTCTAATGACAATGTGTCAGCCAGGTGCTGCGCTGGCTCTCCTATGATTTCCCAACTTCCCCCCTCATCTGCCTCTGAGCTGTGACCTACCTCAAACCCCTGTTGTTAATCTATACTGTCTTCCTCTTCCTCCTCCCTGGAAGGGTCAGGATGGGGAGGCGGTCTCCATCATTCCTCCTCTGCCCAGTCCCTGACACTTACCAATCAAGACAGTCTAGCTGGAAATATGGAGACTGGTTTCATTCTGAATCTGTTCCTTTTAATACAATTCCAAAATGACATTCGGTACAGTAACTTATTGTTGACTCATGTTTACATTAGACTTCCGTGACTCAAAGCAACATTAGGAAAAACTATTTTAAAGAAAAACCCTCCCTACCACCATCTCCCTGCCAATTAAACAAAGGTTGCTTATTACCTGCTTAGAAGAAGTTGAAATGATACTACTGGAGTTTCAACACTGAGGTTTGAGGACAAGATGTATGTTTGTGTGAGAGGGTAGTATCTCTTACACAACTCACTTCTGCACAAATTGAGACAAACTGCAAGATATCTAAATGTAGAAATCTGTTTCAACATACAGAAGCACATCTACATCCGGGTGTCTTGGTTAATTTTTTTATCTACACAAATGATGTGAAGGCAGACAAAATATGTGGCAATCAAGTGCTTTAACAAGTACTGGACAGAACATTTTAAAAATAGGTCTGTTGTATTTTCCCTTGCACATTTCTTGATTACAATGGCTAAATCTCTGCCACCTTAAACTGCAGAAAGAAGTGGAATGCAAAAAAAACCCTTTGGCAGCTTCTCTCTTGATTTATGTCATGACTACGTAAAACAAGCTGTTACTAAAACTTAGACAAGATTAATATATAGTTTATAAGCTTCTCCCCTCCCCCTTTTAAATGGCATACCTGCTTTATAGGATTTGCTCTACCCTGCTTTCAAGACAATGCTGTGCAATGTTTTATGTAAATATATAAAGAACTTGGATTATCTCTTTTAGCTTCATGAGTGAGACATCCAAGATCCATTTGGTGCACAGATAAATGTCAAGCAAGATCACTCATGCTTGTACACACCATGTAAATTATGTTTACCCCAACTATTATTTAGATCTGTAACTGGCATTAGTGACAGCTAAAGGGAGCAATCTTAACTTCCAGCTGGAAAGCAACAGGGCCAAAAGGAGTGACGTAGCCACTGCTACAGCCCAAGCCCATCTGCTTATGTTGGCTAGGGCAGAAGGTTTATGTGGGGGCTTTAAAAGTACAAAACTAAAGATCTGGTAGGCGACTGAATCTTTCCTGCAAAATAATGACACTGTGAAGGCACCCTCAGAGCAGTTTGATTTTACTGTCTATTTGAATAGACTGTTGCTTTTTTGGGTTGGTTGGTTTCTTTAAAAAGATGATTGTTATTGTTAACTGTACTTTTTTGTTTCTTAACTATCTTGTTAGCCACCCAAGGAGCATAAATTTATGCAGAAGTTGCAGGATACAAGTCATGTAAACAAATAAATAGAAAGCTACAAAGTTTTGAGCTCTAGTTGCTGTAAACCAAAGGAGGGAAGCGTGCTCTTGTGCTCGAATCCTGCTTGCAGGTTTTGCACAGCTTTGGCCACTGTGAGAACAGGATGCTGGACTAGATGGGTTACTGGCCTGATCCAGCAGGCTCTTCTTATGTCCTTATTATCTTACCTGAAATCATCACCTTTCTGTTTACTACACCCTGGCCTTTTTGATGTATTGATTACTTTCATGGATTATACAACAATTTCAAGATCTTCCATTATGATATATTCTGTTCATCTTTTTTAGCCTGCTTAATGACTGGAAGCCTTAGACTGGTGTTTTGCTAAGTGCCACTGGTAAGCTAACACAAAGCCATTAAAGATGTCCAATCAATCAAGCTGCCTAATTATCTAATTTATGGTAGACTGACTAAAAAAACACACCCCCAGAACGGATTACTTTCTGTAAATGATGGTTCTATTTTAAGCACATAAAAGATATTAGGATGGTGTATGGTTTTTTCAAAAAACACATGCTTCAGAATAAAGGTCAGATCTTGATATCTTTAAACACAGCAGACAACACTTTCATAGGCAGTAACACCAAGCTGCATAGATCTGTTGTACAATTCAATGTTCTAGTTTAGTAGATTGTTGTTTAAAAAGAAAATCACCAGTATCCTGAACACTCACACCTTGATCCCACATTTTTAAAAAACATGGGAAATCAAGTGAACAAATAGAGAGAGAGAATATTTTACATGCTTACACAGAGAGAGAAGTTCCCATGATTCACAATCCACACTCACAACCACAACATGAATTCAGAGTTGCTCCACAGTGCTTATTTTGGACTTCAGACTGAGAAAATTACCACAAAATTGATTAGCTGTCACAAACACAAGGATGAAAGGTGGGGATTTCTAGCCAGTCTGCTTGCTTAATTATGAAATAAACACTGCAGAATGCTCATAAAGAAGGGTTGCAAATGTATATTTGAGTGTTTGGGACAGACCTCCCTCCCCGCCCCTGAATATCAACCTTCAATTAGGAGACTGGATAAATGTCATGTGACTTTGTATATTATGTATGTTTTTTACATTTTCAGTAGCTATCTATTCCCAAACTAGACTGCCTGCCAAAATCATTAATAAGAATTATTTAAAAGGTATTTCAAAGGCAGAATGGAAAATAAGATCTTTCAATTGCTATATATATATCAGTTAGTGAATAATTCTGAAAAAATAACTGAGAAAATACTGATTTGAAAATAGTTCATAAATGGGGAATCTGAAGAATCCTTTAAAAAGAGAAAGGGAGCATTCATTATAGATTCCTTGGCCAGATTTACTTTTGGCTCAAGCACCTTTAGCTTAAGAACCTTTAAAACTTTATCACCATAAACTTCATTACTTTTTAACAGATATCCTAGTGAAGTTTTCCTTTTCCAGGCACAGCAGAATAACTTTAGGGACTTGTTAAAACTGAACTCAAAGCAAATATAAGCTTTACAAGCCCCTGAATTCTTCTCTGGCTCAAATTAAAATCTGACACACAAAAATTGTTGGCTTCCCTGGCTGACATGTGCTTTGTAGGGCCAGGAGAGCTCTCCGAGGCCAGCAAAGCTTGCAGGGGGTTGCCCATCCCAGGCTCAGAAATTCCCCATGGCTGTTTCTAAGACAGGGCTGGGCTGGTTTAGCAGCCAGAGATCACATGAGCTGACAGAGTTATCATTCAGTACAATCCCCTGCTGCCAAAGCAGGTAGTTCAGCCTATGGATTCTGGGTAGAAATAAAAGATGAGGGAAAACCCAATTTCCTGCTGCAGTCCCAGATGTGGTGAATTCCCCTACACATCCTTGGACTTTGCACCTGAAATCTCATAAATCTACTCCTATTGAATGTAATGGAACAGAGTTAAGGAGACATGGTTCATATTTCGGGTCATGGATTGGCTAAAAAATTATTCAATATATTCCTCTCCCCTTTTCCTTCCTTCCTTCCTTCCTTCCTTCCTTCCTTTCTTGCATGCTTTTTTTTTTAAAAAAAGATTTCATTGTATTATGTTGAATTGGCTACTTTTTCACATCAGAAGCACATCTCCTAAAACAAGAAGAGTTGCAACCTGAATAAAGAAATCTTAGCCAATGAATTATATGAGTTTTAATATATTACTTGAAAACATATACACACACATATTACGACAGGGGCATAACCTGGTTTTCAACACTGCAATATATCACCAGCTAAACATCACAATATACCAATATATCACAATGTCTGAAATAAGAATGGAGCTACTATATAGAGAGGCATTGGCTGGCTTCAGAGTTTTTCCCCACATTGTGATTTTTGCATAGCATGCACACGCACACTCCCCATGATTTGTGATATATTGCCAGGTCAAAAAATATGAAACCAATATCACGATATGGACTTCAAACCGGATTTGGGCAACTAACACATATGAATAAAAAATACCATATTTTCCTATGTATAAGACTAGGCTTTCCCCCTTAAAAATAATGTCAAAAATTAGGGGGGATCTTATACACGGAGCTGTCTCCCCCCATTTTCTTAAATCTGAGTCCCCCAAAATAGGGGGTATCTTATACGTGGAGGCGTCTTATAGATGAAAAATATGGTATTTCCAAATTTGAATTTAGGCAATATATGCAACAGTAGCAGCATTAGCCATCTCAGAAGCAGTATTCTCACCTGTGTATAACAAAAGCAGCGTGTCATGAGATGGTGATTGCTGTGACATTAAAACCAGCTGTCCAATTAATCAGGGACATTGGTTTAACTGATCAGAATATTTTGTCAATTAATTTAACTTATTTATCAACTCAAACAACATTGTAACCCTCATACCTGGTATGAGGCCTCTTATAGTGCCAAAATAACCTCCTGCCAAGTGTGTTGTTCCTGCTCCTTCCAAATGAGGTTTGTGCCAGAGGCCTCCCCAGTGGATTCCAATCAACCATAAAAAACTGATAGTGCAAAACTTTCCTGAATGCCCAAAGTAGTAGCTTCTTTGGCAATAAGCACCTGGAGGCAAAGTAGCTCAAATCCATTAAAAAACACTCCTGCCTATAATTTTCAATCAGTCACTATATTGTTGAAAGAGACTGAGTGACAGCCTAAGCACGGCATAAGTGCTGTATTGTATTCTTCCATTCTAATCAGAATGGGAATGAGAGCATATAAGGCACTCAACTTGAGATGCTGATTTTACAACGCAGGGGACATGCTGTGATCAAAGATGTGGCACCAATCCCTCCATTTATCCTTTAGGCAGCAAGGCTTCCTGCAGATTTGCAATAAACATATGCAAGGAGATACAAAGCCACCTTGGTATAACTGTGGTTCTTACTTGGAGGCAGATCCTTCACTCTGGGAATATGAAAACATGCACGCAGGTGTTTTAGTTCATCTTCTTCATCTAACTGAACAGCAACTTCCTTATCCACTGGACTGCATGCTAGCTGTGACGCAACGGTTTCTATAATGGCTGCCGGCGAGGCATAAGAAGACAGATCCATTTCTCACTCTAAAAATGAAAAGGGAGAAAATATTTTCATTTAGATTCTGTTGGCTAGTGTCTGATGCAAAGATTATAGTTATGTCTGCTGAGGTACAGCCTTCCAGCTTTAAAAAGTGAAATACTTGGGAGTGTAAGGAAAGAGTGAGAAGTTCTCAATTCCAGCATTTTTCAAGGCAGCATATTGCTGTAGCCCTAAAGCCATTAGTTTTAAATACAATGCTTTCTCTATAGAGCTACATCAGCAACTTCTGTTTTCTACCACTGCTCCAATAGCAGTAACAAATTCTATAGTGTCATTCAAACTTGCAGAATCAGAAAGCCGCAGGCAGCATTATTGTTTCTACAATCTGTGCTCCTGAAAATGGCAGGTGCATTGCCACATTTAAACTTGCATTTTCAAGCCTGAGCAATCTTTTGGCTCCTTTAGCTTCTTGATGTGGATGTGCAAGTTTTTAGCTTGGGAGGCACGACTGGAATAGGCAGACTAGGCACTAAAGAAATAGTGCAAGAGGAAATTTCAGTTGAATAGGCCTCTGCCGGAGAAAAGCTGTTTTCTCACAAACCACAAGGATATAAAATCTAAACAGTTGTCCCCTAAAATTCCTTTTCACTGACACCAAGATTTCCTATAGAGCCAGATTCAGTTTCTAGCCTCCATCTGCATTTATCAGATTGTCTGCATCACTGGAAAACACATCTTGATGAACTAGCGTGATTCTTTCTGTGTGGCAGAAAGAAGCTCAATGCAAGGTACAGATGAGATCCCTACTGAAAGTGAAAAACACAATCACATATTCAAAATGGTTTCTGTAGTATTTTTTATTTAGTTTTATTTAGTTTCAGCATCTCCCCAGGCCTCATTATTGTACCCTCTTGCCTTCCTATTTTCTATTTCCAGTCTTATCCTGATTCCACTTGTCTTAACTCAGACAACATTCTAGTTGACTAAAATTGTATTGAGCACAAATCTGGCAATTGGAGCATTCAAAGTGGTCACCACTCATAGTGTCTTCACTACCTTCATGTTTCAGTTAAAAAAAAAAAAAGTTCAAACAAAAGCTACAAGACAGAAATATTTTCTTTTACATATTTCTGCATGCTCAAATTTGAGGCCCTAATGAAAAGCCATTTTTATGTGGAAAGTGGCCAGATAGTGGCTTTCAAAAGGTTTATTCAAAACTTAGCCACTTCCATTGATTAATGCAAATAATGAATTAGTCATTCATTTGGTGGTAGGTGATGAATCAGCCTACATCCACTATGAAACAAGCTTTTTCTGCAGCACAGAATCCATTTGTTACTAATTAAAGTAAGTACTGATTACTAATTAATTACTTATCCTAATTAATAGAAGAGCACCACTTGGTCACCTTCAAAACATAATTTGCTATTCACCTAAGTTCCACAATTGAGCAAGAGAATTATTCTTCCTCCATCATTGCCCACAGAATGCTTCAAAATACAGCCTCATTTGTACTATCAGACACAATTGAGCGCAGCATCTGGAAAACTGATCAAAAGCCTTGGCCTGTTTTTCACATAACACAAAGCCAAACTATAGCTTACCATAAGCGAGCAAGTGGGCTGGTACAGAAAGAGAAAGTCACGACCACTTTGCTTCTCCCCTGCTCCTGCTGCACTACCAGAAGCTAGGCCATGGTATGGCTCAGTGCTATGTGCAAACCTGGGCTAGTGGTTTGTCTCGCTTCAAACAAACCATGCTGTAGCTAAGATTTGCTCTTGGTTAACTACTTGTGGTTTGTTGGGGGAAAGCAAACCGTGAGTCTGGGTTAGGATAATGCTAAGCCAAATCATGACTTAGCTCTGAGTAGTATGGAAACAGCATAAGTGGGGAAAGAACGAAGCAGCTGAAATTTTCTCCTTGTGCTTGTTTTTGGTAGGACATAGTCTGGCATAGTGCTATGTGTGAACAAGGTCATTGTGCGCCATGGGCCAAAACACTATTCAAAACAGCTATTCAGAACCAGATGACAATGGGATGGAGCTGGCACATACAATATTTAAATGCATTTCCCTCATACCCAACAATTGTACAAAAATCATACAAATATTCAGTATGAGGCAGTTTCATTCACATCATGAGAGCTAGTATGGTACAGTGGTTAGAATATCAGACTAGGACTTGGGAAACCAGGGCTCAAATCACCCAAGTTGGCCATGAAGCTCAATGGGTAACCTTGAGCCAGTCAATGCCTCTCAGCCTAACCAGTGTTAGAAACTGAGATATGAAAGCTAGAAGCTAAATGGCACCTTATCACTAGAGATGAAGAACCAGATAATGTGGTTCTTCCACGGAATTATAGTTTGGAGAGAGTGTGAGAGAGAAACAGCATTAATTCATTTTATTTTTGTGCCTAAAATAAGAACAGCCCTAATAGGTACCAGCTAGGCCCGGATTACAACTGGTGCTTGCAGAAAAAAATCTTGCATTGTGCCAGTCAGCCAGCCATGTTGTCTGAGCATATTCCATTTGATCCCTATCCCCTGGTTTTCCAATTATCCTCTTATCAACAGTCAGCCAGCATTCTGGGGGGTTTTGTTTTGTTTTGTTTTGTTTTTTAAAATACTTCTGCATCTCTAGTGCAGTCAATGTGCCTGAACAGTGATTTTCATTAACTCTGGATACTTAAGTTATATTAAATTTTGACATAAATAGAGCAGTAAATGCACAAGTCCTGCATCTAAGTGGAAAAATGGAAAATATTCAATTTAATATAAGAATTATGAAGTGTAATAAAATAACTAAAATGAAAATCAATTAAATACTATGGATTGAGTTTGACCAAACTGCGGGAGGCAGTGGAAGACAGGAGTGCCTGGCATGCTCTGGTCCATGGGGTCACGAAGAGTAGGACACAACTAAACGACTAAACAACAACAGCTAAAGTCTAAACAAGTCTAAACTTTAGGAAACCAATAAGGGAAATATTTTACTTGTAGAATAACAATTAGGGTAGTGACCCAAGTCAAAAGTTAAGCACTTTTAAGTCGTCCTTTCATTTCAGTGGGAGATTGAAGTATACATGCATTTCTACACCACTATTGATATTACTTTAAAAGGCCTAACTTTGGCTAGAATACACACTAGATTTTATAACAATGAATAACTTTCCCTTGCATTAATTAAATACTGTGACTACTACTAGTTACAAGACCTTTTGCAATTGGCACCAAGAATAATATCAGTTTTACTGAACCACTGATTCTTCTAGTAATCTTAAATTAGATGAAAATTAATGTGTGCTGTGTCCCTCTGAAACAGATTTTGCTTACCTTCAGCTAACAATGTTACTTCTTACGAATTCATTCTCTTTTCCCCTTTGCACCGTAACACACATTTGCCTCCCCTTACTATCTCCTCTGTTTGCTTTTCCTTTCTACTTTTTGGACTTTGACCTCTTTTCACCCCCACTTCAATCTGGAACTCGAGCATACTTGTCAGCAATCCTGTTCCTATCTCACACAGCACAATACAGTGGTACCTCGGGTTACATACGCTTCAGGTTACAGACTCCACAAACCCAGAAATAGTACCTCGGGTTAAGAACTTTGCTTCAGGATGAGAACAGAAATAGTGCAGCGGCGGCGTGGCAGCAGCGGGAGGCCCCATTAGCTAAAGTGGTGCTTTAGGTGAAGAACAGTTTCAGGTTAAGAATGGACCTCGGGAACCAATTAAGTACGTAACCAGAGGAACCTAAAACCTCCATATGTTTAAGCTGCATTTTAATTTCATTCTCCAAATCTTTGATTTAATGCTTAAGGAGATTCCAACTAAACATCAGGAAGAACTTTCTGATAGTAAGAGCTGTTCAACAGTAGAACAGAATCCCTTGGGAGGTTGTGGACAATCCTTCATTGGAGTTTTTAAGTAGAGGTTGGTTGGCCATCTGCCATTGATGCTTTAGTTGAGATTCCTGCATTGCAGGGGGCTGGACTAGATGACACTCAGGGTCCCTTCCAACTCTACTATTCTATGGTTCTATGATCCACTTCTCACATTTATTCTTTAAGTGTACATATTCTGTTCCACTTCTGCTTTGTAAAGTTGCTATCAGCTTCCAGTTCTCATCTTTTAGAAAATGATTTCACAAAACAGAACTCACCACTAGCTTTGGCAATCTATATAGTCTCAGTCTCAGTCAGTTTTATTGCACATAGCCAAAGGCTGCTGCAATGTACACAGAATTATTTGACAATTAAAAGAAAACCGACAAGATACGGTCTATATTAAGCTAGGGAAAATCTACTCTATTATTCTATCAGTATAAATATCTGATATACTACATATTAATATCGCTTTTAAAAACAACATGAAACAAACCGCAATGACATATAGTCCATGGAGATTCAAAAACTGTCACACTGCAGAAGGAACTTGAAATATTTTAAAATATTTGCTAGTGCACCAATAAAGTGTCTCAAATAAAGAGTAAAAAAATGCAGTCTCATGTAAACCATCATACAAAGACACAATGCTAAAGGTTTTGGGTTATATTTTGGAAAGAAAAAAAACGCACACATGCAGTTTATTATTATGCATGTTTGTTCAGAAATAAGTTCAACTGAGTTTAATGGGACTTGTTCCTCAGTATCCAACCTTTCTAAGCTGTAAGTTTAACTGAACTCTGAGATGTGGTTCCAAAAAGATGTGCCCATGATCAGATTTCAGTAAGCATTCATAACTGTATTACTGATGCCATAGCTACTGAATGCAAAATCAACAATTCCGCAAACATGTAATCGTGTAATTAAGTAAGTTATGCAATATGGTGCTTGCATCTGGAATAACAGACTGTGGCATGGGGGGTGGAATGAGAAAGGGCTGAATTACTGAGAATAATTTGTACAGTCCATTTACCTTATCAAAAACTGCAACAATGTTGGAAGTTCAAGACTCCATAAATAAATAAATCCTGTCTCTCACACAGAATTAAGAGAAAATTTTGAAAACTTGACAAATTTCAATTTAACTTTTTAAAAAAATGACTTCACAGCTAACTGAAAGAGAGACTAGACTGACTGACTGACTGACTGACTGCACAATTCAAATTCTGATATAGTAACTTTTTTAACATCCTGTTTTTTCTCAGGTGAAAAAAAATACCAAAATGCTATACAGATGTCAACGTTAACATACTGTCAGAGTTCAAATACTAAATACCACTAGAGGTCAACTTGTCAAACTGTGTATCAAGTTAGAATTTTTCCAGACAAATATTTTGAGGAGGTATGGGAGGGGAAAAATCAGATTTATCTTCATTATAGTAAATTAAAATACTTATTTACAATTACAGCCTTGCAATTAGTCATTCAGAGGACAAGCGATATGCAAGATCCCACTGCTCTAGCTGTGGTGGGAAATATGAATGGTTTGATGTGTTTGTTTGTTTTTTTAAAGCAAGAATTTATGACTGGAATGGACAAGGATTTAAATCAGATACATGTTTCTGAATGCTTATCTGTGTTGCTTGTCACATATGTACCAGAGTAGATCAACTGAAAAGGTAATTAAACTGTAAGTATGTAAGTAAACACCAAGGCAGTGGAGAACATAGCAGTCAGTATATGCAGGTAGCAAAGAATATAGCAAAAAGATTGGAAGGCATCTGCGTAACAGTAGTAGATGTGTGACACGTAGATCCAACACTCTGTTTGAGAAAATCCTACTTTATTTTTGTTGATATTGACACAATTAATAAAAAGCAATTGCTTCTCCGTTCATCCTTCAACCTGTCCAATAAAAGAGGGCAGGCACTGACTGCATGCTTATAATAAAAAAGTTTAAGGCAACCACAGCAGCAGCAACAGACAACACAATGAACTACAATAAATTCAGCTGCTCTGGGGAAAAAATGCAAACGCTGCAAACGTGACCAAAATTAAAAACTACATTTCTGAGCGTACCTAATTTGAAAGTAAGTTGAAATCAATGGTATTTGTTTCTCAGTAAAAATGTATATACTTCAGAGTGAAAAAACCTGCCATACTTCAAGTTCTATGTTCTCCCTTGTCCGCAGTGTGTGGCAGGATATCATCTACAGTGGTACCTCGGGTTACATATGCTTCAGGTTACACACTCCGCTAACCCAGAAATAGTGCTTCAGGTTAAGAACTTTGCTTCAGGATAAGAACAGAAATTGGGCTCTGGCGGCGCGGCGGCAGCAGGAGGCCCCATTAGCTAAAGTGGTGCTTCAGGTTAAGAACAGTTTCAGGTTAAGAACTGACCTCCAGAACTAATTAGGTACTTAACCCAAGGTACCACTGTATTTCAATGTTGAAAAATAGGTTTAACATGGTCACAACTATTATTGGTTTCAGGCAGTTTACAGTTTTTGGTGTGGCATATGGTGAGGATCCAAATAAACAGGCTAACTAGTGACCAATACAACCACACTGCCTACATGGTAGGAAAATGTTGAGGGGTGTCAGAAAGCTCACATGTAGCCCAGTACCATGAGCATCTGTGAAACCTAGGTGTGCGGCAGGCATGTTAGCTCCCAAACAGGCCGGGGCCTCGAAGTGACAACCAAAGATCCCTTAAGAGGGTCATCCAGTGAGGAATCATTCCTGCTTACCCCTGCAATAGATCCAGCCACGAGTTGTGACAAAACTATGCACCACACACTTTGTCCCTCTACCAGGCTAGCACTCTTGCTCACCTGCTCTGTTCCACTCATAGTGGTCAGTGGGGCTCTAAGTAGCAGGAGGAGGAGCAAGTCTCCTTGGAAAAGCATGTTTACACTCACGAAGAAAATGGAATTAGAATCTTCAAGAATCTGTCCCGAATCCTTTGTGCCTGTTCGTTATTAAGACCTATAACGACTTTAATGTGTTTTGTACTTCTTTTATGAATGCAACTTTATTGTAAGTTTTATGCTGTCCGCCACCATATTTCCCCCCTTAATGTTAGCGGTGTAAAATTTTTCTCAAATAAATTAAATCAATAATGTATTGACAATATTGTATTTTCTTTTCTTTTTTTTCTTGTTTTGTCTCTGAAGCACTGTGGGGGATGGGAGAAATAATTCTGGGTTTTTACCAGGCCCTCATATTTCTATCTTACTCATTAAGTCAGTATTCAATCTATTTAACGGAGTTGCATCCTACCTGGAGCTGAATCCTACCTGCAATATATTTACAACGTCCGCCTACGAGTCGTGAAGGCCACTCCCTGCAAGGCCTTTCCACCTGGTTTAAAGGGCGGGGCCCAGACTCACCCAGCTCCATTACAGAGGCCCCTGGGGAGACTGGAGGGACATTGCTATGCCTGACAACAAATCCTAATTGCAGTGGTACCTCAGGTTAAGAACTTAATTCGTTCTGGAGGTCTGTTCTTAACCTGAAACTGTTCTTAACCTGAAGCACCACTTTAGCTAATGGGGCCTCCTGCTGCTGCCGCGCTGCTGGAGCACGATTTCTGTTCTCATCTTGAAGCAAAGTTCTTAACCCGAGGTAATATTTCTGGGTTAGCGGAGTCTGTAACCTGAAGCGTATGTAACCCGAGGTACCACTGTATTGTATTCTTTTGCCCCCTCTTTTTGTTACTGCCAAACAGCCGTGTCATGCTTATAATATTTTGTTCTTGTTAATTATGCTGTTTTAAATGTGCATTTTATATTTGACTTCACTTAGCAATGTTTTCCTTGAAATGTTTAAGATTTTGTTTTTGTTTTTTGTTAACTTTGTTTGTGTTAAATATGTATTCTGTAGTTGACCTCCACTGTAATATTTTATTTTGAAACCTTTGAGATGGTATTTTGGTTTCCTGTTAATTGTTTTGCTTTGACTGTGTACTTTATGTTTGACTTTCTTCAGAAATGTTTGATTGTGCATTGTTTTATTGATGTTTAATATGCTGTAAACCGCTTTGAGATTTTTCTTAAAAATATAAAGCGGTATAGAAATGAAATAATAATAACACATAATACAACATATATTGGGGAAAATTCAAGATTTCATGTTCCTTATTTACTTGCCTACATTGATATTCAACACAACCCTGCTAAAAGTAAGCAGTTGCAATTGGTGGTGGTGGTAAAAACAATAACTGTAACAACAACCACCACACAGTAAAAGGTGATTTATAGCAAAACGAAACACAGGGCCTGCTTCCACAAGCAACTAAAAATCTTTACTTTGTCCAAAAAGATTTTTTTTAAGAATGTGTAAAATGTAAATAAATGTATCAATAATAATAATAATAAATTAAAAATCTTAAGTGTGACAAAAGTGGGAGAACGGTAGCAGTAAATTGGGGAATGGTGGGATAAACCACAGAAAATTAAAATGTACTTACAGTTAATCGTGGCTTGAGGGGAAAATGGAGACTGTCAGGGCCTAGCCCAGCTTGAGGCTTTTAGGACAAATCTGAATGCAAAGAGACCTTATGAGTGCTGAGTTCAAGGACTACATTTCCCAAAAACTTTTCTGTCTTCCTTAAGACTGAAAGCCAGAGAAAAATGGGGGGGGGGGCCGCTGGTTCCGGGAAGCAGGGAGAGGTAAATTGGGAATGAAGTTGGGGGGGGCGGGGTTGCAGGTGAGCTCAGATGTGAGCTCAGGTGGGGCCTAAACAGGTTGCAGCAACTGAGGTAAGAGAATGGGCTGTGCCATTCCGGACAGGGGGGGGGGTCGTCATATTTTTGACTGCTCTCCTGCATTCAAAACCCAGCTTCAGTTGAAAACACAGCAAAACAGCACAGTGACCAAAGGGATGGGGTAGATCTTTCCTCCCTGCTGTGCTCCTTTTCTGTATTCTGGCAGGTTTTTGCAGAAAGAAGATTTGTCGTCGTCCCCTCCCCATACACACAGTCTGAAATGGTGCAACCCACTCCACCTTTCAGCTTCCTGTGTTTCCTCTGTACTGCGGAACAAGTGTCTCAAAGCCCAACCATAAACAAGTGAAGTTCTGTTCTGATGGTCTTTCTTTCTTTCTTTCTTTCTTTCTTTCTTTCTTTCTTTCTTTCTTTCTTTCTTTCTTTCTTCTTAAGCTTGTTTTGTAATTTCTATAAATAAATAGAACAAACAAAGCCCATGTACCCACCCCAAAAAACATTCAGTGCAAATACAATGTAAATAGTTCTGTCACATGCCTAGGTTTGTGGTTTACAGTTGCTTTCATCAGTTAGGAGTCTTCTGCTCTCTATCTTAACATATCCCAGGTGATTGTCCTCTCCAATGTTCTGAATAAACATGTACTATAACAGGTTAAAAATAATTGTTGATCTTCATGCTCCTGAGCACACTTAAGATGCTTCATTTGTTGCTTCATAAGGGCTATATTATTCCATATTCCATCCCACCATGCCCCTGATGGCTTCCTAACACATTATACAGACTATGAAAGCCTTGGAAGAGCCCTTGGAAGGGCTTAAAATAATATTGAATTGCAATCACATAAAGATTTGGATTCATTCATTTTTAATCCAGGTACTATGTTAGTGCACCTGGTTTGGTTAGCTGTATGTCATTTCGATTTCCAGGGCAATAACAGGGTTAGATCATTAACACAAGTGGTGGCACCACATGATTCCAATCCAGGTTACACTAGTTTATCTTCTAAGTACACCAGAGAAAGGAAGAACTTCAGAAGAGACCGTTGAATCAGGCTAATGTCCCATCTAGTTCACCACCCTGTTCTCACATGGCTAGAAAAGGGAACAAGCTACACCTTTTCATTTACTTCATTTTAATATATAAATACAGTGTGCCTCTGGCTGGTCTGAAACCTGTATGTTAAAGTAAGCACATATTTGATTAACTCATGGCTTGACTAGTTATAATTCCCTTTTCTTGCCTGCTGTAAGAAACCAGAGATTTGCTGAGTATTGCATCTCCTGTTTTCCATTTAGTGCATATTGCTAATGTGCTCCATTATACTGTTTCTGCTTCATATTTCTGTCCATTTGTATTGAGTCTTCTGACCTTGTAAAGTGATAATTCTGACACCACTTAAACCCAATTTCAGATTTTCAGACTTCCTACCTTGTTTCTTTGTCCTACAGTTAGTTCTATCCCCTTTCTTCCTAATTAGGATCCTTCCTTCTAAATTTATAGAACAGCATGTTGTAGTGTCTCTAAAACCACAAACTGCCTTTTTCACAACCATGCTGGAATCTACTTGCTTGTTCGACATTACTTTTTCTTTCCTGTTTTTATTTCATCTGAGCTTTGGGGAACACCCCCTTTGCTACATGTGGCGGTTCTTCATCATATGACCTGTTACTGACCTCTCTCTGTCTTTATGCTTCTATACCAAGTAGTGCAGTCTCTTTCAGCTTTTTGAGCTCCAGCTCCTGGTACAATAGGCCATATGGAAGAAATAAGCACACCTTCATATGTAGGGTTATGTCTGTTAGCAGTTGGATTTCACAGGAATATAGGTCGCTGCCTTATACCAAGTCTGACCACTGGTCCATCTAATTCAGTCAGTCTTGCCCAGCCTGGTGTCCTCCAGATGTATGGGGCTACACCTACCATTAGCCTGGCTAGCATCTCCCCTTCTGGCTGGTATGTGCAATGGTGGTTCCACTTCCCTAAGGCCTGCTGGGCAGCCAACGATCAAGGTTTCGATTGCACTATCACTTAACCAGCCTGTAGTCTTCTCTCTCAAATATGTCCTAGAACACTTTCCAGTACCCTTTATCTCAAGGTCTTCCCAATAGTCCAAAGCAGTTCAATTGATATAGCTGATGGGGTGGGGGGAAACACAACATGCTTTATTATGGTTTAAATATTATATTTAACAATAACAACAAAGAGTCTTGTGCCATCTTAAAGATTGCAGCATAAGCTTTTGTGGACTACAGTCCACTGATACATGAAATGTTTGGAGGAAAGAGGGAATTATAAACAGAGAGGCCATAGGTAATGAAATGCAGAAAAGCACAGATGTTGATAATGCCATATTTGACATTCCAAAAAACAGCTGGGTTGATAACACAGGCATCCTGGCATTGGTGAGCCACCCATGCATGCACACACCTCCCCTCTGGCCCCACCTATCACTGACATACAGCCATCAAAACGGGCCATGAAGCAATGCGACAGTTGTGCTGAAAAAGTTCCACCACCCCTGCTTTCAGCCCAAGCCCAAGCCCAAGCCCTGCTTTCAGCCCATGAACAGGAAAATTAGAACAGGCCCAACCAAGATGAAGTCTCTTCGGCATTTCACTTTATACATATATATCTAATAGAGCTACATTTGAACTACAGCTGACTTCTCTTTTAAAGGGTCCTTTATTAGTACTCCCTGAGGCGCTGCTAAAACATTTTTAAGCCAATTGCAATTGTCTCACTTGTGAAGAGAACAAACCTATCAGTTTCTGGTGAGTTGCTTCATGGAAGGTTACAGGTCTCCATAGGGACTGCCTGTGATCTTTAGAAAGTGCATTTCCCTCCAGCAAGGCATAAACACTCAGGAGAATTGCTAAATGTCACTCAGAACCTATTACTGAACACTCTGTTGTTGCACTTCTCATTTTACTTACATTATGGTACAATCTCCTTTAAGTATATGAAAATCCTTCCTAAATGAAAAAAGTGGATTCAGTCAGTTATGTGGAATAATAGTGTGTGTCACTTTTCCCAGCCTAGAGAAAATAACTTTTTCTATAATCTATATAAAAAGCTGTTATTTCTGCTCCAACAGGATGGAGCATGAAAAAGGATTCATCTTTTTCACTGTTGTGCTTTCTTTTGGCTATTTCAAAATATTGTCTCCTGAAGTTTTAACAATACATTGATTACACAGAATTTTCGAGATCCTGCTTTGGAACAATTTCCTTGATGGAAATTAAGGCAGCAATCCTTATCTGGAGGTTACTCCCATTGAATTTAGTTGGACTTACTCCTAAGAACATAGCTGTCAACTTACAGATTTGAAAATAAGGGACCAGCAGCCAAAATAAGGGACCTGCAGCCTCACCTGTTCCAGGCACTCCAGTCTTCCTGTCCTCCTGCAGTCTGGTCAAACTCATGCTGGTAGCTTCGAGAACACTGTCCAACCAACTTTGTAACCAGAGGTTCAACTGAATAGACTCTGAATCACATGCACCACAAGGCCTATGCAGCCTCAACTTAAGATGGCTCCCCCGGCCTGGCTTTGCACTGCAAAGTTTGTAGCAGCACGTGCAACAAAATGGCATCCAGCATTCAAAAAACCCCTCAGCTTGCATTAACTAGCCACACACACACACAGCCTCCCCCCCTCCCACGAGATCTCTTTTCTTTTTCCCCCACCATGTGCCCCCGCTCCAGACAGACCTTTTCGCTGGCAAGGGTGAGTGGGCCGTCAATGACGTATCCATCAGATTCCAATCCGAGCACTCAGCACAGGTATGTTCAACTTCTGAGCCCCTCTGAGCCAAAGGCAGAAAGCCCAGCCAGCAGCCAAACGAAGCCTCAAGGAAAACCACCGTCACCTCTCCGCTGGGAAGCGCTGAGCAAAGGCAAGTCCCCAGGATCAGCACAAGGCATGCAAGCTCCACCCCCCAGTCGTTCTTAGACCTCTTATTGGGTGAGCAACATAGCCAAGCAACACAGTTGGAGCCTCCCTCCTCCCTGGCCGGCAGGGGGGGAGGGAGGGAGAGGAGCTGCTTTCTTTGAAATTTAAGGGACATCATTTAAGGGACATTCATCAATAAGGGACAGCAGCGGGACATGGCGCTGGAATAAGGGACTGTCCCTTCAAATAAGGGGCACTAGACAGCTATGTAAGAAGTCTTGCATAAGTTTGCATTGCCGGGAATATAGGCTTGAATAAAGTGAAGCCTGTCCTCCTATTCAAAGTGCTCCTGCACACATGGATACTGGCAAGTTGTAGGGTCTGGCAGCAGTTCCTTATCCCACGTGGACTTTTGCAGGGAGGCTATTACTGGAAAAGAGAAGTTGAAATTGCTTGCAGAACCAATCTTCTGCCTTTCTGGATCTAAACCTTATTGAGGAAATGACTGTGACAAAAGGTAATACAGATCACCTTAAAAAAAAACACCCTTACAGATCTGTCATCTATGACACTTTGTTCACAAGCATGTTCATTAATGAACAACAATTCAGAATGTGAACATTTCATTATCTGAAAAAAAAAAAAATTCCATGGAATGTTAGTCTTGTGAGGAAGTTCCTGTTACGTATTGAAGTTCTCACCCTGGCCACCAGGAGTATCGAGTTGCTTCCTTAGAAGTCTGCTCACCTTTCATGGTGGGCGGTGTTGCGGCTGGGCATCGGGTCATTGTGCTGATCTGGCATGGGGGTGGGAGGTTGACGCTCCCCTCATGCCGACCCCCCGCTGCGTCACGCCCTTGCCAGCCAATCAACACTGGCAGAGATTTAAACCACGGTGCAGCCAGGGGCATTCCTTCTTTTGCCTCCTCGCCAGATCTCCCAACCCACCTGCCCTCTTTTTATGCTTTAGTACAACACGACCTGGCTATGGACAAATGTTGGCGGCCATATTGTTGTGGTCGGGTAGGAATTTTTCCACTTGGCAAATTGGCACCAGCCATTTGGTTTTCGCCTATCTTGTAGCAATCGTCACAATGTTGTAAGGTTAGGCATTATGTAAGCCTTTTTCAATGGAGGGGAGGTTGTAGCTTCCGCCTGCCCCTCCTCAATAAGGGTATCCTGTTAAAGGGATCCAGGGGTGTGGATCCTGCCCGGACATCAGCTAGGGTCATGCCACGAGCCCAGGAGGGACCCCTCTGGTGCCCCTATTTGCTGTAAGTCATAGGGCTCCCCTGTTGGTGGTTTACTCTTAGTTGAACTCCCTGCAGATGGGTGGGAGTCAAGATATAGCCTGGCTTCACCCAATGCTTAAGCCAAACCACTCACATCTGTAACCAATAAAGTTGTGGCCTTTTTTATCCCATGAACCTAAATACTCATGTCCATGTGTTTATTAATCAATAGGGACCTGCGGGGCACGGAGCCTCAGCATACAAGCATGAAATTTTTGACTATTTCATTCATATGTTCAGGGACACCATAAAGTTGATGCTATTCTGCTCCTTGGAACAGCGACACTT